GCACTGCTGCTGCAGCCACCTGGGGAGGGGGAAGGGGCTGGGGGCACCTGGGCACTCTGAGATGGGCAGGGGACTGATCACAGCCATTCCCAGCAGCTGGGAAGGGGAAGGAAGGGTTAAACGGAGTGCAGAGAGGAGGAGAGGAGCCAGACGCCAGCCTGGCTACTGGAAACCACCATGGGCTGGCAGCGACTGGGACGGCTGTGGAGAGAATTCTGCTCAGGGCACCCGCAGCACTCAGAGCTGCCCAGTGCCAGCCCTGCCACCCTCGGGTGCAGCGCGGCCCTGCCACGTCCCCCCAGCACAGGGGCAGCAAGGTCCTCGTGCAGCACAGGGCCGTGGGAGAGCCCCGCACCAGGGGCTGCCAGAGGGCTGCTTGGTGTCCAGCCAGGTGGATTTGGGACTGCTGAGAGGAAATCCAGGCCAGCGAGGGAGCTGGGAACCGAGCCGCCGGTCCGCTGCTCCTCGATGGCAGTGCCAACTGTCCCGGGTCCCCAGAGCACCCCTGCCAGGCAGGGACCCTGCAGCCAGCCCGGGCACGGGGCTGTGCTGGGGGCAGGGGGCAGGGAGGGTGTGCACGCACAGCTCGGCCCAGCCAGAGACAAGAAATGTGAAATAATGAGAAGCCATCCCGGGCTGAGCAACCGTGCCCCTCTGGAAGGAAACTTGGCACAGAGCAGCCCGTGCCCGCCTGCCAAGCCCTGCTGGGAGCGAGGCTTCGCACGCGGGCTGGAAACCCCAGCAAGTTTATGAGGGACCCGCTGACACGTGGAGGAGCCGCTGGGCCCTGACAGGAACCGGCCTGGCAGCAGAGCCCCGAGCACAGCCCGTGCCTGGGGCACGCCTGGGATGCACCGGCATCTCCCCGTGCTGGCACCGCCTCCCAGCCCGTCCCCTTGGCATCCCGCCCCTCCATCCCTGCCAAGGGCAGGGGGAGGCGTGGGAGCAGTGCCTGGCCGTGCCACGGGGCATGCACGGGCCCAGCACCTCTTTGGCCAAGCTGCCACAGGATCTGGCCCCACAGCCCCTTCCCCAGTCCAGATGTCCTTCCCCCAGTCCCGATGTCCATCCCCCCAGTTCAGATGTCCATCCCCCAGTCCTGATGTCCATCCCCCCAGTCCAGATGTCCATCCCCCAGTCCAATTGTCCTGCCCAGCACCTCTGGATGGCTCCAGAGGCAGCAGCACCCAGGGGCTCCAGCACTCCAGGGAGCATCATCTGCTCATCTCTGCCTGGGTTTCTGTCTCAGCAGGGAGGTTGTGCCCAGAGTCCAGGGAGCAGCAGCAGGAGGTGGGTGGGTGGCTGCCTCCCAGGGAAGGCTCCTGCTCTCCCAGGGAAGGCTCCTGCTCTCCCAGAGGGCTGGGGGAACCGGGCAGCTCCGGCAGCTGCCGGCCACGTGTGCCCTGGGCACTGCACCACAATTGGATTTGCATCTGCCCTGCCTTTTACTGCATGGAAATTGAATTGTAAAATGTCAAAGACATTTCCTAACTGCGCCATATTAGCCCGGTTTTATTAAATACTGTTATCAGAGCAGATTATGAATGCAATCAACTGCAGGCAAGAAAACCCAGAATTAACTGGCCACTGTGCAGGAGGACACACCGGAGGGCAGGAGGCAGCCCATGTCCCCAGGCGCTCCGGCTCTGCTTCCCACTGTCCCCAAACCCTGGAGCACCGGTGAAGGAACGTCCCCACCCAGGCAGTGCAGCTCCACTCACATCCCAGGATGGCTCCCCAGGGACAGCAGCACCCTGGGGGTTCTTGCTGAGCTTTGAGGGCCCTTCCTAGGCAGGGCAGGACCTGCTCCCTGCACATGGCAGCAGGGCTGGGATTGATGGGACAAGCCCTGAGGTGCCAGAGCTGCTGCCGGTGGCACGCAGGGCAGGATGCAGAGCCCTGCACAGGTGGCACAGGTGGCAGTGCAGGAATGGGGACCTCCTGCCAGAGTAGGGACACACTGAGAGCTGCCCAGGCCTCGGCACCAGCACCCCGGGCAGTGGGGCCAGGCTGGGCTGGCTTACCCAGGGCTACCCTGACGTGGCAGGACACAGGGGATGCAGAGCTCTGTGCCCAGCCCTGATCCCAGGCAGGCAGTGTGACCCCAACACCCACAGCACACCAGGACACGAGTCCTGATGGCAACCTGGGGCACCAGGATGGCACTGAGGACCAGGCATGGGGAGGGCAGCACAGTCCCTCAGGACACAGCCCTGGATTCCCCCCACACGGCCAGCTCCTGCCATGCCGGGTGCTCGTCCTGGCACTGCAGGGCCACGTGCGGGGACATCTCCTTGGCCACACAAAGCTGCCATGTGTGGAAGTGCTTTACAGGGCCCCCCAGCCTGGCAGGAGGAGAAACTGGAGCAGAGGATGCAGCCCTTGGCTGGAGGTCCCACACTCAGCACCGGCAGCACCACACAGGAGCTGTGGATGAGCCCTGGCAGCACCGGCCCCACGGGAAGGAGCCAGCCCGCTCCAACCCTCCACAGCCACGGAACTGTGGATCCTCTGCATGGCACAGCATGGCACAGCTCATCTCCCACCGCCTGGAGCCCCAGGTGCCCAGCACAGGGATGGCACAGTGGGCACAGTGCTCCCGGAGACACCCCACGGTCCCATCCCATCCCACAGCGCTGGAGCCGAGGGGAAAACGCCAAGTCACCACATTTCTTCGAGGTAGCACCGAGAAGGAGGGGACAGGGAGGGAAACAGTTCGCTGCCAAATCCCTGCATCTGATTTGCGCAACTTTCAGACAACCTCATCAATTATGGATGCCCGGGAAGCAGGCGCGGTGCGCGCTGCGGCCGGCCCGGCCCGAACCCGCACTCGCACCAAACGGGGCCCCCTGTCGCCATGGCAACCCGCGCTAATTCACACAAGGATTTTTAAAATCTCGTCTATTAAACCCCACATGAATAGGATATTATCCAGATAACAGAGCTAAGTTACAAATGTTGCTGGTGCGCGGGGAGCGCCGCGGGCGCGCGTGGGACCGGAACTTGGAGGGGACGTGGGGACACCACGGCGTGGGGACAGCCCTGCTCGCTGCTCTCGCACTCCCTGCGCCACTCCAGCCCCAGCCATGGCCACAGGTACTTCAGCACCCCAGGCTGGGAGCATGGCACCCATGGCACATGTGGCACCCACTGCCACAGCGGAGAGCGGGGTCCAGTGGGGAAATGGCCCCAGACGAGCCTGGCACTGGCACTGGGGGGTCCAGCAGAGCTGGAGATGGGCAGCCCAGCATCAAATGGGGTAAGCACCCGCCCCAACAGCAGGCTCGGCCCCACTGGGTGTCCCTAACCTGTGACCCTGGCACAGAGAGCACTGCTGGCCATCCTGCCTGGTGTCCGGAGGGCTCAGCCCCGGCAGATGCAGCCCTGGGAAGGACAGGGATGCAGGAGAAGGTGGTGGCACTCAAGCACCTCTGGTTGTTGCCACAGCAACACCAGCTGTGTGCCCAGGCCAGCAGGGAGTGGAGAGGGCTGTGTGGGGACACTGCTGGGCACAGGCCAGGCGTTGTCCCCATGCCCACACTGCCCCAAGAGGCCACGGCAGCAGCAGGGTCTGGGGTGGGCTGGGATGAAGCAGGCTCTGAGCTGCAGGTTCTTCTTGCCCTGCACAGTCCCTCAGCAGTGACAGCAACGGTGGCACTGGGGGCATGGGCGACACCACGCCAGCCCTGCCTGGCACAAGGAAACACATGCTGGCCCCATGTGGCACTGTGGACACGGTGGATGCAACACCAGAGCTGGGACATGGGGAGTGCCATGCCAACCCTGCTTAGCACCAGGACATGGGGCACCACGCTTGGCCAGGAACAGCCCTGCATGACCAGGGACAGGGGACACCTCACCGTCCTGCACAGCTCCAGGGGTGCCCACATCTGGGGGGTGCCAGCCCTGCAGAGAGGGGCAGTGGGCACAGCCATGGAGGCACCATGTGTCCAGTGACCCAGAGGCACCCGAGAGCTCCCCGTGGTCCCTGCCCGTGCCCAGGGACGGTCCCCGGGCGCCCAGCTCGTCCCCGGCACCAGGCCTGAAACCTGCGGCTGCATCAGCACCATGAATTATTCAGTCCCGGGCGGAACGCCTCGACGGAGCAGTTCCATCCTACAGCGAGTAGATACTCATGGAGCTACACACACGTACGCCCGGAGACGCACACGCACAGCCACACGCACACCCCCGCAGCTCACACCTGGCCACGCACCCGCCGAGCCGGGCACGGCCAGCCGCGGGGACACACCGGGAGCCACCCGCGGAGCCGGGCACGGCCAGCCGCGGGGACACACCGGGAGCCACCCGCGGAGCCGGGCACGGCCAGCCGCGGGGACACACCGGGAGACACCCGCCGAGCGACATCCAAACACCCCCTCGGCGAGAAACACCAGCAGCCCAGCCAAACGCGCAGATGCCAGGGTACACACCGCCACGCAAACACCCCACGCACCCAAACACAGCCGCACACGCAGCGCGGCAGCGCGGACACACGCAGAGGGGCGCGGGCAGCCAGCCCCGCCGCTCTCCCGCGCGGCCCGGGCACACTCGCCGCACGCACACGCAGACGCGCCCGGCCGCAAACCCTGCCCAAACCCCCGGGAGCACCGGGCCCGGCTCCCGGGGGGTCCGGAGTTGCTCCGGGGTACGGGGCGAGGCCAGCCCGGCCGGAGCCCGACCGCGCCGGGGGTGCCCCGGGACCGGCGAGCAGAGCCTCAGCAGCGCCCGGGGATGCTCCGAGCCCCTCGGCGTGCTCTGACCCACGCCGGGCAGCGCCCCCCGCCCCTCCCGGGGCGCCGCCGGGGGTCCTCGGCACGTCTACGGTCCCCGCCCGCCTGCAGGAGCCGCAGCCGGGGAAGGGCCGGGGATGCTCCCGGGGCGGGCAGGGCGGCATCGCGGCCGAGAAGCGCTAGGATGCGGCCCCGAGCCGCCGCGCCCGCTGCTGCGACGCCGGTGGCCGTGCGTGCCCCCCCCCCGGGTGTCGCCGCCGCACTCACTGGCTTTGCCGGGCTTGGGCCTCTGCAGCAGCTTCTGCACGGCCGCGATGTCCTCCGCCTTCACCGCCTGCACCAGCTCCTGGTCCTTGCCCATGGCTGCGCCGCGCCGGGGCTGCCGGCTGCGGGCTCAGGGCCCGAGCATCCTCCGCGGCGCGGCGCGGCGAGGGGCGGGGGGCGGCGGGGCCGCACCGGGAGCGCGGGGGGCAGCGCGGGAGAGGAGGAAGAGGAGGAGGAGGACGAGCAGCGGCGGGCGCCCGGGGCGGGGCGCGGCGGGGCGGGGGGGCCGCACCGGGAGCGCGGGGGGCAGCGCGGGAGAGGAGGAAGAGGAGGAGGAGGACGAGCAGCAGCAGGAGGAGGAGGAGGAGAGGGCGGGGGCCGCCCGGTGCTGCGGGCGGAGCGCGGGGATCCCCCTCCCCGGTGCCGGGCCCGGGGGACGCCCCGGTGGGAGCCGCCGCGCAGCCGTGGCGTGTAACGAGCTGGAGGGTCTCAGCAGCCGGAGGGGACGGGGGCAACGCGGCTGCTCGGCGAGGATCCTGGGGGGGTCCAGCAGACCCCTCCCGGGGCACCCCCTGCTCCCCAGCCCGGCCCCAGGGTGCCCTTCGCCGCTCCCCGTCCCGCGGTGCCGGTAACGGAAACCGGGCAGGAGCAGCCTCCTTTATTCCTGTAAATAAAGCGCTCATTACCGCGTCATTTTCCACTTTTGTTGACACAATGGCCGGTGACATTCGTCCCTTTCAGTTTTAAGGCTGAAATGACCGAGACATTACAGCTGTGCAGGGTTCCCGGCTGTGCCGAGGGCTGAGGAAGCTGAGGAACCCGGTAGGAAATGGGGCCAGTGATGGACGAGGCGCTGATGTCCCCGCGGTGCCACCAGGGCAGAGCGCGGACACCATTCCCACGAAATCGGCCCAAATCTCTGCCCTCTCGGGCAGTTCCCAGTTCAAATCCTGGCGCAGTCCCGGCTCCAGCCGGCACTGGCACACGGGGCCGGGAGGCTGCTCCAGGCTGGCACCGAGGGTGCGGTCACGGGGCCGCAGGGTACGGGGGCAGGGAGCTGCAGCCCCGTGTGAGCCCCCGTGGCACACGGGGAGATGGAGGAGGGACCCCAGCTGCCCCCGGTGCCCCCCGAGCCGGAGCCCAAGGCTCCCCTGCACAGCCCCCCACTCCCGCCCGGGCCCATCTCCGGGCTGACCCCCCCTCGGGGATGGCGGGGTCGGTCTCCTCTCCCCACCCCCACTTTCCAATCCAGGACATTTGGGTTGCCAGCACGGAACGCCGTCTAATCTGCCCTCTAATCCCGCAGCCGGGCGCCGCGCGGGGCCCTGAGCCGCGGCCGGGCTCCCGGGGCTGGGGGCTGGGCCAGGGGCTCCGGGGGCTTCCTCGGCATCTGCCACCACCTGAGAACAGCCGCAGCGCCTCGACAAAGGTCCCTTTGTGCCCCACGGCTCCCTCCTGCTGGGCTCCCAGCCCGGTCACCCAGCACCGACACGGACGGGGCAGCTCCTGCCCCCGCGGGCACCGGGCACCGGGCACCGGCACCTCCGTGACCGGGGCACGGCACGGGCCAGCGGGGCCCGCCGTGGGGCCGGTGGGAGCACCAGCCCTGTCTCTCCTCCCGCCCGAGCCGGGCTTTGCGGGAGGAGCTCCAGCCTGGCGTTCCTGCGGCTCCCTCGGGCTCTTGCCAAGTCGGGTTGGTCTTTGCAGAGCAGAAGAATGTGCAGTGAAATGTCCCCGCTCCTGCCCTGCACACGCCGGGAGAAACCCGCGCCCGGAACGGGCAGAGCCCGGGGCACGGGGGGTTTGGGACGGGCGCTGCGGGCAACAGGCACGTGGAGATGTGACTGTGGGAACCGGAGCCAGCAGCAGCAGGAGGGCTCATCCCACGCGGAGATCCCCACGCATCCCCCCAGCACAGCTGCCTTTCCGATGGGAAAGCAGCACAGCAGGGCCCCTGCCCGGGCTGGGGAGAGGGGGGCCTGGAGCACACGGGGCCCGCGCGCTGGAATAACAGAGAAAAGGAAGAGATGAAGGAAGAGATGAAGGCAGAGTTTGGAGGTGAAGGAGCCGCCGCTGTGCTCACAGCCCTCCCAGCGATCAGGGACTCACAGAGGCTGAGCAGACACAGCGCTGGGGAGCGGGGCTGGTGCCAGCCTGGCAGGGCCCCTGCTCGTCCCTCTGCCCCTGCCCTGCCCCAGGTGCCAGGCAGGGCCCCTGCTCGTCCCTCTGCCCCTGCCCTGCCCCAGGTGCCAGCCTCGCCTGGCACACGCAGCAGGCAGCAGGCACACGCTGGATGCCGTGCGGGGAGGGCACGGCCGCCTCGAGGCCAGCACAGGCACACGGCTGTCCCCACCAGCTCTGTCACACCCTGCCCCGTGGCTGCCAACCCCTCCGGCCCCACCCGAGCCTGAGCAGGGCCCGGGAGCTGTCCCAGGGTGGAACCCACCCCTCCACAGCAGCCTCCCTGTCCCTGCACGCGGGGCAGAGCCGTGCCCCCCAGCCAGCAGCAGTATCTACGAAAATACTTTATTGCGGGGGGGAGTGCAGGGGCTCTGTACAGTGCAGACAGCAGCAGTGCTGTCACCAGCAGACACACACACGGTGGTGGCCCCCAGGGCAGGGGGCAGCGGGAGCCGGGGCTGCAGCCCCTACGTGGCCTTGGGCCGCCCGTTGAGGCGGATGATGGCCCGGTAGTCCCGCACCAGGTCCCGCAGCTGGTCCAGGTAGGGGTTGACGTTCTCTTCCATCCACTCCTCCACCGTGTCAGGGAAGTAGATCCTCTCCAGCTGGGCACGCAGCTCACGGACAAAGCTCTCCCAGTCCTCATGGAGCCTGGAGGGGCGAGAGCAGGGGTGCAGCTCCCTCCTGCGAGAGACCCCTCCCAGCCCCATCAGACCCCTCCCAGCGCCCAGCACCACCTACTTCAGCACCTTGCTGCCAAAGCTCTCCATGTTGCGGGGGTTCCCAAACTGGCGTTTCCTGTGGTAGGGGCTGAACCAGCCCTTGATGGCACTGGAGAGGCACGAGGGACTTGGGGGCACGGGAGCTGCACACCAGGCAGGTCCCCTGCCATGGAAATGCATGGCCGGAGGCACCAATGGCACGGCTCCCCCTGCCCCTTACCTCTCCTCCTCCAGCGCCTTGAGGATGCTGTCCTTCAGGTGCCCATTAACCTGCTCCACCATGTGGTAGATCTCCGCACCGGGGAACGCCCCCCTGCCCTCGCTGGGGACAGGGAGGGGAAGGTGAGGGCTCAGCACGTGAGGGGCACAGGGCTGGCTGAAGCCCAGCACCCTGGCAGGTCTGGGACAGGGCATTTGGGTGACCAAGCCCCTGCCTCCCCCCAGTGCATCCCTCCTGATGCAATTGCCTGACCCCGTGCCACGCACCAGGTGCTCTGCTCCAGCTGCACGCCCTCCAAGCCCAGCACATCCAGGACCTTCCTCTTCGCCTCTTCCGTGAAGCCCCCTGGGAGGGCGAGGAAAGGGACAGAAGAGCTTGGGACAGGTCACCATCAGGCTCAGCCCAGCTTCAACGGAGTGAGCTGAAGATCTTCCTCCTCTGGCTCCCTCCTCCCCCGGTGCCCTGCCCAGCAGGACGGGCTGTGCCAGGCAGTGGGAGGGGGGCTGAGCCCGGCCGTGCCAGCAGGGCTGGGGGCTCACCGTTCACCAGGGTCTGCAGGCAGATGGCCAGAGAGGGGATGCTGACGGGCAGCAGCTCGCAGAGCACCGAGTAGTGATCATACCTGCGGGACAGGGACAGGGACAGGGACAGGGACAGGGACAGCCACCACCGTGCCAGCAGGGCTCTGTGGGCACCGGGAGGGCACGGGGGTCCCACCTCCCCTTACCTCTGCCAGCCGGTGAGCACGACGCCCTGCAAGCGCAGCGGGGCCAGCCGCGGCACGGCCTGCATCACCTTCAGCCAGCTCAGGTGGTTTTTCAGGTGGTAGCCGAGCGGGGGCCAGGCCTGCGCCGGCCCCGTGGTGCCCTTGAAGGCGCTGGCGAACCACACGGCCTCGAAGCCGCTCTCCACGTACTTGGTGAGGAAGGGCACTGCGGCGGGACAGGCGCGAGCCCCCAGTGCCGCCGTGCCCAGGAGGCTGCGGGGGGCTCGGGGGAGGTCCCCCCACCGCCCCCGGGGGCCTGGCACGTCGCCTTACCGATCTGCTCAGCCTCGAAGTCGGGCGCGTAGAACCACACCACGGGAGAGACGTGCTTCGCTATCCCAGACTCTTGGGGACAGCAGAGGGGACATCAGTGCCAGCAGCAGGAGGGAGCTTCGGGCTCCTCACGCCTCCCCCACGAGACCCACGTTCCCCCAGGGCAAGGCATGGGCTCCTGCTGGCACTGGGCGCCGTGCCGGGGTTTGCACAGGGTGGATGCCACTGAGGAGCCTGGCACAGGTGCCACCACGGCCGTCCCTGTCCCTCACCCCGCAGCGCTCCCACGCTGATCTTCCTCAGCATGTCGTCCCACATGAGCACCCGCAGCCCCCAGTACTGCGCCGTGAGGAAGCCCAGGACCTCCTTGATGTGCCTCAGGTACATGGTCCCCACGTCGCCCTTGTTGTGGCTCATCCAGTTCTTGGAGTCCATCCCCTCCCCGAGGTGGAAAACCTGGAAGGTTTGGGGGAAGGGGATGCTGCAGCCCTGGGAGCACCCCCAGTGCCTGGGGTCCCTGCAGAGCCCCTGCCCACCTCGTCTGCACCGATGTGGATCCAGGTGGAGCGGCGGTGCTTCTCCACCACCTGAGACAGGATGCTCTTGAGCAGGGCCAGCGTGGCGGGCACGTGCGGGTTGAAGCTGTTGGGGAAGCGCTCGACCTCCCGCAGGTGCTGGTACTTCTCGTGCTTGAGGATGAACTGACGGGGGGAGCCATCAGGGGGTGTCCAGGGGAGCCCCTGAGGTCTGGGGAGCAGGACTGGGACCCTGTACCTCCACGTGGCCAAAGGTCTGCACCAGGGGAACCACCTCCAGCTTGTGCTGCTCCGCCAGCTGCTGGATGCGCTCAATGTCCTCCTCGCTGGGAGGGCAGGGACAGGCTCAGCAGGGGTGCCAGGGCAGAGGGCAGAGCGTGGGGGCACTTCCCCCTCCTCCCCCTCCTCTGGCACCCTGCCCACATGGCCCCACAAACGTGTGCACTTTACTGAGGGGCACAAACATCGACCTGTCAGGGCAGGAACACCTGCTGCTCTGCCCAGCAGCACGGCCTGGCACTCTGACCGTGGTTATCGTGGGCACAGTGCCCGGTGGGTCACACCCAGCCCCTGCACACGGGGACCTGCAGGGCCCACGAGCCCCACAGCCAGCTCGGCACACAGCCCTGCTCACCTGTAAGCGTACGGGGACCTGAGGGTTTCCAGCTCTCCCTTGAAGGGGAACATGTCCTCGTACTCGATGAGGACGCCGTTGGCTCCCAGCTGGGCCAGGAGGGGGAACACCTGCAGGGTGGGCAGCGTGGGCTCAGCAGTGGGGGTGGCACAGCCCAGGTGTCAGCAGGGGCCCAGCCCCATCGGTGCATCCCCTCTCCCTGTCCCTGGGCACCCTCACCTGTTCCAGGTAGGAGACTCTGGGCGCGGCTCCCTTGAGGTCCAGGTGGACCAGCCTCATCTCGGTGGCACTGACATCCCTGGGGACCTGCTGCTTTTGCTTCAGGGTCATTATCTTTGCCGCAGGGACCTCCAGAACCTGGCTCTGGGGGATGACATCCTGGACGACGTCACCTGTGTCCCCCCAGAACCCGCTGTCCTTGCTGACGTGCTTGTGCAGCTCCAGGGTAAAGCTGCAGGGATGGGGGTGTCCGTGGGGCTGTGGGGGCACCAGCTGCCCCCAGCACCAGGCACCACACGAGCACAGCCCGGGGAGTGCCACCCCCCGGCCCCCGGGGGTCCTGCTGTCACCTCACCTGTCACGGAAGAGGAACTTGATGCCAGCCAGGGCCACGAGGAGCAGCACGACGAGGCGCAGCAGGTTCAGCCGGTGGCTCCGCTGGAAGGCCATCTCGGGGCTCTCTGGGGACACACACGGGGTCTGCTACTCCAGAGGGACCCCAAGCACAGGTGAGCCCACCCAGCCCCACGTACCGTGCCCTGCTCCCCTGCCCGGGGCAGCGCGACACCCAGAGAAAGGCGACATGGGGGCAGCCCCTCTGGCCAGCCCGGTGCCCGTCGGGGACGCGCCCGGCGGTGCCCCGTGTCCCTCCTACCTCGTGTGCCCCAGCGTGGGGCCAGCGCCGGCTCCGCCTCTCGCTCGGCCCGCAGGGGTGAGGCCGGTGCCCGAGCAAACAGGGCGGTGGCTGCAGGGCCGGTCCCCGCCGGGGATCCCCAGGGGCTGCCGGGTCACCCCCGAGCCAGGGGCCGTGTCACAGGACGGCTGCGTGGGGCGGCATCACGGGCAGGGCACGGTGCATCCCTGCGGGCAGGGAAGAGGTGACTGGGAGCCACCCGGGCACATGCCAGCACTGGGGTGGCACCAGCACAGCCACGGCACTGGCGGGGTGAGGATGGCAGCCCGGACACCTTTGGCACCAGCAGCGGCTGTGCGAGAGGCAGCACGGATCCTCTCGGGAGCCACCCTCAGGCACTTCTGCCCGTTCTGTCTCTTGTTTCCCTGGTTCTGGAGCGTTCTGTGAGGGCAGGGGCAGCACAGCGCCCTCGACCCCATGGAACTGCCCCTGCTGCCACCAACACTGCTGGTGAGCTCCTGGTGAGCTCCTGGTGGGCTCCTGGTGGGCTCCTGGTGAACTGGTGAGCTCCTGGTGAGTTCCTGGTTAACTCTTGGAGAGCTCCTGGTGAATTCCTGGCTAGCTCCTGGTAAGCCCCTGGTGAGCTCCTGGTGAGTCCCTGGTGAGCCCCTGGCGAGCTGCCACCCAAACACACCCGGCTCAGGGTTGATCCCAGTGCCAGCACGCTGGGGAAGCACAAAGCAGGCTCTGGCAGCGGCGGGTGCCCAGGCACTCAGCTGATCGCCAGGGTTTTGTTTGCGTTGCCAGAGCGGCGGCCCCGTGGCTCCGAGGGAGCCTTTCCCAGACACAGCCCTGAGCCCTCCCGAAGCCTCTGCGGGTGCGGGGCTGAGCACCGGGACCCCCCCGGGCAGCGGGACGCGCTGTGCTGGCTGTCCCCAGAGCACCAGGCGCCAGCAAGGCCAGGTCACAGCGCGGTGCAGGAGCCGGAGCATCCCTGCTCCATCCCCGCGGGTACCCAGGCCTCGGTGCCCGGGGCAGGAGGAGGAGCACGAGATGGTTTTGGGGATCAGGCTGCTCCCTGCGCTCCTTCCCTCGTGGCACTGCAGCTCCGGTGCTGCGGGGGACAAAAGTGGCTCCCGCTGCCCGCCGTGCCCAGCTCGGGATATTCCTGGCAGCTCCGGCACAGCCCGCAGGGATGTGCCAGGCTGGAGAGGGCTGCCAGCCCTGGGGTCGCCACTGGCTGCACAGAAAGGCACCGAGGGCACACAGGAGGGCTCAGCGGGCACGGGGAGCCCAGCACCCAGGAAGGCCATAAATATGCCAAGTGCTAATGGCGCTGTCATGGGAACACAGCGCCTGATCGGAGCGGGGATAAATATTTAGACAGAGGCTGTCAGCTCGCCAGGATCGGGTGTTTTTAATGCACGTTATCTCATTTAAATAGGGCAGGTTCCCAGGGCACTGCCAGGGCGAGGGTGGGCGCTGGAGTCCCGAGGGTGCCGGGGACAGCCAGGGGCAGTGTCCCTGCGCTGTGGGGACATCCCTGGGGGCTCAGCCGGTGATGCCGCCCCCAGCCCGGCACCTCGCCGCGAGCACCGCTGTATTCCTGAACACCGCTGCTGCTGCTGCCGCGGGGATGTCCGGACCGACAGCGCTGCACCGGCGGGGGGCGAGCAGGGCCCGCGGCCCCCGGCCCCTCCCTGCGCCACCGGGGCTTTGCTGCCAGCCCCGCAGCCAGCCCCGCTCCCCGCTTACCCCCAGAGCCCCGAGGAGGAGGATGGAAGGAAACCAGCCCAAAGCTGCGCCTGGAGATGGCACGGCCGTGCGGGGAGGGAGCCCATGTCCGGGGGTGGCAGTGCCACTGCGCTCCCCGGGCTGGCAGCGGGGGTTTCGGGTGCCAGCCGGCTGCCCCCAGCCCCGCTCCCGGTGCTCCCGGTGTCCCCATGCCGTGTCCCGGCACCCCCGGCAGGGCAGCCCTGGGGAGCCCTGCACACCTCGGGAGCACGCTCACACACACGTGCACACGCTCGCGTGCTTCCAGAGCGTTCCACGGGCAGCCTGGCCGCCACCAGCCCGTGATGCCAGCCCGTGCCACCGCCAGGACCCTCGCCAGGGCCACGGGGCTGCAGCCCCGCAGCCGGGGACTCCCGCTGCAGGTCCCTGTGGGGCCGCACCCCAGGGCAGCGGGAGGGGGCTGTTCCCTTATCCCCGGGCAGAACCGGTGCCTGCCCCATGCCAGGGTCCTGCAGCACACACGGAGCAGCCCCTGGGCACAAGGGACCCTTCGCACGCCCCACCCGTCCCTCTGTGCTGCGGGGCACCCCCTGCAAACCCGGCACACCCCACAACGCCCCGCGCCAAGGACATCCCCCGGGCACCCCCGCTCTGCAGGGCACCCTCCGGGCTCGGCTGGGCCCCTGCATCCTCCCAGGCATCCCTGCATCCTGCCAGGCATCCCTGACTCCTGCCTGGCATCTCTGCATCCTGCTAGGCACCTCTGCATCCTGCCAGGCATCCCTGCATCCTGCCTGGCATCTCTGCATCCTCCCAGGCATCCCTGCATCCTGCCTGGCACCCCCGCATCCTCTCGGGCTCCCCGCGGCCCCGGCCCCCGCATCCCCCCGCGCATCCCCGCATCCTCCCGGAGCGCCGGCACGGCGCGTCCTGGCCGGGCGGCACCGGCACCAGGGGCGGCCCCGGGGCGGCTCCGCTGTACCCGGTGTAGGTGCCCGGTGCCCGGTGTCGGTTCCCGGTGCCCGTTCGGGCTCGGTGTATACCCGGTGCTGGTCCCCGCCCAGCAATGCCCGGTGCCCAGCTCTGTGCCCGGAGCCCGGTGCGTGTCCCGTGCCCCAGCTCCTGTGCCCAGTGTCAGTCCCGTGTACTGTGTCCCATGTCCCATACTTGGCACCCGGTGTGTGCCCTGTGCCCAGTGTTTGTTCCATATCCCAATCCCATATCCCAATCCCAATCCCATATGCCATATATCCCCCATATCCCATATATCCCATATATCCCATATATCCCATATATCCCACCATATATCCCATATATCCCATATATCCCATATATCCCATATCCCAATCCCATACCCCATATCCAATCCCATATATCCCATATATCCCATATATCCCACATATCCCACATATCCCACATATCCCATATATCCCATATATCCCATATCCCTATCCCAATCCCAATCCCGTGTCCAGCACTGCGCCCCCTGGCGGCACGCTGCGCACACGCTCTCCCCCCGCCGCTCTCCGTGGTCTCGCCCGTCGCTCCCCCCGCGCCCCGGCCATGGTCCGTCCCTTCCCTCGCTCCCGCGCATGCGCGCTCCCGCCGGACGCGGCCCGTGCCGGCTGCGCGCTCGGGAGGCGCCGCGCGCACGCGCAGTGCGGGGCACCGGGAGCGGAGCGGGGCCGGGACCGGGGGACACCGGGTGAGGGGGACCCGCGGGCCGGGCCGGGCCGGGCCGGCACCCCGCGCGGTGACACTGACCCCGCAGGCTTTAGGGACTCCCCGAGCGCGGCGGCACCGGGAGCGGCGGCAGCATGAACGCGGCGCAGGGCACGGTGGGCAGCGACCCGGTGATCCTGGCCACGGCCGGCTACGACCACACGGTGCGGTTCTGGCAGGCGCACAGCGGCATCTGCACCCGCACGGTGCAGCACCAGGACTCCGTATCCTTCCCTCCTTGCCCGCCGCCCCGGCCGCCGGGGCCGGCCCCGGTTCGGGCCCCGCTGCTGCTCGGTAGCGACCTTAACGGAGCCCGCAGCAGGTGAACGCCCTGGAGATCACCCCGGACCGGAGCATGATCGCGGCCGCAGGTGAGCGCTGCTGGCCGCCGGGCAGCCGGGCACCGCGCCGTGCTGAGCCGGTGCTGAGCCGTGCCCGGTGCTGAGCCCTGCCCGGTGCTGAGCTCTGCCCGGTGCCCAGCCCCTGCCCGGTGCTGAGCTGTGCCCGGTGCTGAGCCCTGCCCGGTGCTGAGCCCCTGCCCGGTGCTGAGCTGTGCCCGGTGCCCAGCCCCTGCCCAGTGCCCTGCCCGGTGCTGAGCTGTGCCCGGTGCTGAGCCCCTGCCCGGTGCTGAGCCTGTGCCCGGTGCTGAGCCTGTGCTGAGCCCTGCCCGGTGCTGAGCTGTGCCCGGTGCTGAGCTCTGCCCAGTGCTGAGCCCCTGCCCGGTGCTGAGCTGTGCCCGGTGCCCAGCCCCTGCCCAGTGCCCTGCCCGGTGCTGAGTTGGTGCCCAGCCCCTGCCCGGTGCTGAGCTGTGCCCGGTGCTGAGCTGTGCCCGGTGCTGAGCCGGTGCTGAGCTGTGCCTGGTGCTGAGCCCTGCCCGGTGCTGAGCTCTGCCCAGTGCTGAGCCAGTGCTGAGCCCCTGCCCAGAGCCCAGCCCCTGCCCAGTGCCCTGCCCGGTGCTGAGTTGGTGCCCGGCCCCTGCCCGGTGCCCAGCTGCTGCCCGTGCTCGCAGGGTACCAGCACATCCGCATGTACGACCTCAACTCCAACAACCCCAACCCCGTCATCAACTACGACGGCGTGAGCAAGAACATCACCTCGGTGGGGTTCCACGAGGACGGGCGCTGGATGTACACGGGCGGGGAGGACTGCATGGCACGCATCTGGGACCTCAGGTGGGCACCGGGGCTGCCCCCTGCCACAGCAGCCCGGCTGCAGGGCGAGCTCACCCCTCTGTCCCTGTCCCAGGTGCCATAACCCTTGAGTGCCCCTCTGTCCCTGTCCCAGGTGCCATAACCCTTGAGTGCCCCTCTGTCCCTGTCCCAGGTGCCACAGCCCCTGAGCTCCCCTCTGTCCCTGTCCCAGGTCCCGGAACCTCCAGTGCCAGCGCATTTTCCAGGTGAACGCTCCCATCAACTGCGTGTGCCTGCACCCCAACCAGGTGAGGAAGCTGCCTGCTCTGGGGCTCCCAGCTCAGGATCCTGAGGAACAGCTCAGTGCCCATCCATGCCATGGCAGGGACACCTCCCACTGTCCCAGGCTGCTCCCAGCCCTGTCCAGCCTGGCCTGGGCACTGCCAGGGATGCAGGGCACCCTGGGCACCAGAGATGTGTCCCAGCAGCAGATGGGGTACCACAGGAATGGCTGGGGGCTTCACACGGTGTGTTTGTGGTGCTGACCTGGTGGCTGCTGCAAGGGACAGCACAGGGGCTGCACTGAGCTCATCCCATGGCAGGAAACGCCCTTGGAGCAGGATCTGCCCCCCAGCATCCCTGGGGAGGCCATGGGAGCAAAGCTGGGAGAGTGGGGGCAGCTGGGAAGCTGGAGGGTGACAGCACTGCCAGGGACAAGCTTCCTGGGGCCTTTGGCTGGGATTCCCTTCAGGTGGGGCTTGGCTGAAGTTCCCCAGTGGGTTCAGCAGCTGCTGCTGAGCAGGGGGAGAGTGGGGGCACTTGAAGAGGCTGAAGGGAGCAGGAGCAGGGAAATCAATAGCGATCAATCAGTGCTAATGGCTGGGCTGGGCTTGCAGGGCTGTGGTTTTGCCTGCAGACAGGGCCGGGCAAACCTCTGTAAAGTCCCGAGTAATGGAAATGTTCCCTTGCATTTCATTTGGCAAAGGTTTAATTTTGCAAGTCAGGCATTTCAGGCTAAATTTGAGATCAGTAGTGCTGTGAGGGTGTGTTATGTTAAATGAATATTACTGAACATAGGTCTTAGATGTGAAATAATCCCTGACACGGTGCTGCTGAGGTGCAGAGTGTTGGTTTGTGAGCAGAAGGTGGTTAATTAGACCAAAGGTGGCAGCATTTGTTTGGGCAGTTCCCTCTGCAGAGATGCTGATCCAATTATCCAAGGATTCCTCACGGCCTGAGTAAAGCCATGAAAAGTTTGGACTCAGCGTTTACACCTGCTGACAGGGGGCTGAGGAGCCCAGAAGAGACTTCAGTGCAGTCAGAGAAATGCATTGAGTGGTGTTTGTGGGCTCAGAACCAGCCTCTGCTCCCAGGAACAGGATTAGCTGTGCCTGATGACCTGATCTCCTCTAGGGATTCTGCTGAAATTGTGGACAGTGCAGGGCTGTCGATAAAGGCCGGGTTTGAGTGGAGACATGCCAGCATTGTCTCCTGCTCTGAGCACGGGATCAGAGCCAGGGCTGCTGCCCTTGGCTCTTGTCCTTCCCCTGAGAAGGGGAGAGAGAGAGAAAAACCCACTTCAGGTTGTGTTTTTCTGGTGTCTGCACCCTTGAGTGCTTCAGTTGTTCAGTGGCCAGCCTGTCCCTTAGTGCTGCCTCTCAGACGTGCTGAAAACCACTTGGCTGCTGTGGATGTTTGGAGCTGTGGCCGTGCCACAGCCCTGGAACTGGGACAGCTCTGGGGTGTAGAAAATCAGCAAACCCTTCTGGGGAGGGAAACAGCCTTCTGTGGAGTGTCACAGGAGTCATGCAGATGGGACAGCCAGGCTGGGGGACAGCCCTGGGCTGGGGGAGAGGAGGCAGCACAGAACTGTGCTGCTTAACCCCAGAGCTGCAGGAGCACCATGTGGGACAGCCCTGGGCTGGGGGAGAGGAGGCAGCACAGGACTGTTCTGTTTCACCCCAGAGCTGCAGGGACACCATGTGGGACAGCCCTGGGCTGGGGGAGAGGAGGAGCACAGGACTGTTCTGTTTCACCCCAGAGCTGCAGGGACATCATGTGGGACAGCCAGGCTGTGGGACAGCCCTGGGCTGGGGGAGGGGAGGCAGCACAGGACTGTTCTGTTTCACCCCAGAGCTGCAGGGACACCATGTGGGACAGCCCTGGGCTGGGGGAGAGGAGGCAGCACAGGACTGTTCTGTTTCACCCCAGAGCTGCAGGGCTGCAGCGGTGCTGCAGGGGCACCACGTGGGTGCCAGCTGCAGGCTGCTGCTCACGGTGCCCACAGAGACACGGCCGTGTGCCCTGCAGGCAGAGCTGATCGTGGGCGACCAGAGCGGGGCCATCCACATCTGGGACCTGAAGACTGACCACAACGAGCAGCTGATCCCCGAGCCCGAGGTGTCGGTGAACTCGGTGCACATCGACCCCGACGCCAGTTACATGGCAGCCGTCAACAGCTCGGTGAGCCCTGCTGGGCTGGCCTTGGGTGGGCATCCCCCAGCCTGGCACAGCCCGGGCACGGCTCCCTCTGTGTCTGCAGGGAAACTGCTACGTGTGGAACCTGACGGGCGGCATCGGCGAGGAGGTGACGCAGCTGATCCCCAAGACCAAGATCCCGGCGCACAACCGCTACGCCCTGCAGTGCAAGTTCAGCCCCGACTCCACGTGAGTGTGGAGCCCCTCACCTCCCTCCCCGGGCAGGCAGGGGCCAGCCGTGCCTGCAGCCGTGCCCGCAGCCGTGCCTGCAGCCCTGCCTGCAGCCGTGCCTGCAGCCGTGCCTGCAGCCGTGCCTGCAGCCGTGCCTGCAGCTGTGGCTGCAGCTGTGGCTGCAGCTGTGGCTGCTGCTGGCTGCACACTGCAGGTCCCCAGGGAGGAGCAGGACGAGGCAGGGGATGTGGCACCAGGGGTTGCTGTCAGGGTGTCCCCCTCGTGCTCCCTGAGCTCAGCAAGGTTTGCAGCCAAGAGCTGTTCTGCAGTTGGCATCCAGCTGCTGCAGCGTGAGCTCCTGCACGGAGTGTGTTCAGCTGCAATCTGCTCAGTCAGTGCAGGTGCAAGGAGATGTGATTGCCCTGGGGACAGGTCCCCAGGCTGCCACTGGCCCTGGCCCAGCTCTGTGCAACCAGAGGCCCGCAGGGGGACAGTGACTGATGAGCTTGCCCTCAGATGTCTCCTTCTTGCAGGCTCTTGGCCACCTGCTCTGCAGATCAGACGTGCAAGATCTGGAGGACTTCAAACTTCTCTCTGATGACAGAGCTGAGCATTAAGAGCAACAACCCCGGGGAGACGTCGCGGGGCTGGATGTGGGACTGCGCCTTCTCCGGGGACTCCCAGTACATCGTGACAGGTGAGGCTGCCCTGGGCTGTGCCAGGGCCCTGCAGCAGCCAGGCCTGGCCAGTGACCCTGCCTGGCACGTGGGGCACAGGGGCTGCGAGCTGGGAGCAGCCAGTTCTGCTGACTGCAGCATTTGTGCTGCTGCAGTGGGGCAGAGGAGATCTCCAGCCGTGCTGTTCACCTCACAGCTCACAGCTGTGAGTCCCTTGAACACACCTGTGGTGATTTCCACACTCGCTGCTCTCCAAAAGAGCTAAAGCCCACATGCAGAGCAGTGCACTGAGCTGCTCTGCCTTGCTGGTCATCACCAGCCCTAAGGATGGCTGAAGGAAGCAAGAGCAAAGTATTTCTTAGAATAATAGTAAAAAAAAGAAACTGAAAAGGTAATGTACATCCCACTCTTCTTTTCACTCTGTGTTCCAGCCTCCTCTGATAACCTGGCCAGACTGTGGTGTGTGGAGACAGGGGAGATCAAGAGGGAGTACAGTGGCCACCAGAAGGCCGTGGTCTGCCTGGCCTTCAACGACAGCGTCCTGGGATGATGGCACGTGGCAGGGACAGCACCTCTGCTTGTTCCCCCTTGCCTTGCCAGACCCTCTCCAGAGCCTGGGACACGCTCTGCACCCATCCCTGTCCTTGTGCAGAGGGCTGGGGCTCTGCCAGGGGACAGCCTTCAGCTCCAGGCAGGACATGGCTGAAACGTGTGTGGCCCTGAGGGAGGGGATGGGAGAGGGAGGCACAGTCCCACTGCGGGGACACGGGTACAGTTCAGCTGCAGGAATCCCTGGGGCATCGGCTGCTGACTGCTCTGGATGTTCCTGTACCTCAGAGTGGGGAAAAAATAAACGTCAGCCTTTGCCAGTGATGGGAGAGGCTGAGCAAAGAGGAGAAGCAGCTCTTGTCTTGGTTTGCAATCCCTTTATTCAAAGTGTTTCAGAGTGACTTGGAGAGCTGCTCTCCTAAAGCCAACCACCCCCAGATGTAACAACAACCACCTTGTGTTGAGCAGAGCCTGGAGCCCCAAAACTCAGCTGCTTCCTGGGATTCCTCTGGGCCTGGGTCTCCTGATTCCTAATTCCAGGCACAGCCCTGGAGCAGAGCTGCAGAGTCTGTGCTGACAGGGCTGAGCAGAGGCCTCCTGCTTCCCTAAACTCTCCTGATGCTGCTTCCCTCAACTCTCCTGATGCTGCTTCTCTAAATTCTCCTGATGCTGTTTCCCTAAACTCTCCTGATGCTGCTTCTCTAAACTCCTGACCTGCAGCACGGAATCAGCAGGAAGCTCTGGGGGTGCTGTGGGTGTTCCTTCCTGGTGGAAGTCAGAGGCTTTTCAGGAGTCCAGTTCCAGTCTGGGGGCAGAGGGCGGCCGTGGCTGCAGCACCTACTCGGGCAGGTAGTAGAAGCAGATGGAGACACAGATGTTGCTGGGGAAGCAGATGTCAATGCACAGGTAGATGAGGCGCTGCCTGCCCGGCCCTGCCCAGGAGCAAGGACAGCAGTGAGAGCAATGCTTTGGTGCTGCAGCTGCAGGGTCCCCAGGGATGCTTTGGTGCTGCAGCTGCAGGGTCCCTGGGGAGCTGAGCAAGGGGAAGCCTCAGGGAATGACCTTTCTCATCCAAGCTGGATCAGATGGAGCAGGCTGACAGCTCAGCAGCTGCTTTGGCTGAGGATGAGGGTGACAGGGATTAAGCAGCATGTCTCAGGGACAGCTCTGTGCTGTGCTGTGCTGCTGGGGCAGCTCAGAGCCCATCCCAGTGCCACGGCTCAGGACAGGGTGGGTACGAGCCAGCTCTCAGGGGTGGTGAACAATGGTCTGATTTTGCACTAGAGGTCACCGTCCCTGGGCCTTGGCAGCCTGTCCTGGGCTGCATCAGCTGCTGTGCAGCACAGCCTGATCCTCTTAGAGGTGCTGCAAAGCTCCTGCTTGCCCTGCCAGGGGAGGGGGCCCACTTACCGTGGCCTCTGCGCACCCAGAAGATGGAGCTGTGCCCACACAGGCTCTGCACAGCCTGCCCCAGCCCCCTGGGCTCCAGCTGCTCCCCGGCCACGATGCCCAGGAACTCCCGGTAGAACTGGGTCTGGTTGTTGGGCTGCAGCAGCTGCTCAGCCTGAAAGAAACGTCCCTGTTGGTTCCTCCCGAGGCACTTTGTGCCCCTCAGCCCTGCTCTGGCACCCAGGAGGGTCTGTACCCCAGCAGGTTCCTCCTGCCAGCTGCCAGTCCTGGCTGCCAGCTCTCATCTCCTGTCTGTGGGCTCTGCCAACCCAGCACTACCAAGTTTTATCTCCATTTAGGAGCCTCAGGGCTGGGCAGGTGCTTTCCTCTCCCTGCATCCCTTTTGGGAGTCTGTGTTCCTACACTTCTCTGGGAGTGAGGTGGGGACCAAGGAGTCCCCAGGAGCCACTGAGGAAATGGATTGCAGATGGCAGGGGCACAAAAAAATGGGGCTTTCTGTCTTTGGAAATGGAATCTGCCCCTGCCCAGGCCTCCACTGACACTTTGTTCTGAGGGTCCTTGTACACGACTGCCTCCAACTTCCTTCCCTGCAGTTGGTAACAAACCCCCTTTGTTTTTCCTCCCCCGGATTTTTGAGCAGGTAACAGAATCCAGGGGGAGCAGGTCCTGCAGGAGCTGCTGTTCACCTCCAGGGGCCACAGCCCCCTGCCCCAGGCTGCTTCCCACAGGAATCAGGGTCTGGATAAAGCCCTGGCTGAGAGCCCGGCCTGGGGCACAGCTCTGCTCCTGTGAGCAGTGCATCCCCCAGAAGAGGGGCTGGGAGAGCCCTGCCCGGCTCCCTGGGGGTGGAGAGTCACCCCTGCAAATCCACACAGGGCAGAGCACTCGGTGACCTGTGCAAGGCTCAATCCACCCCCCAGCTGTCCCGGGATGCTGCAGCAGCTGCTCACGCTGTGCTCAGAGGTGTTGAGAGCCGTCTGCAGGGTCTGCAGGTCCCAGGGCTCCATCCTCCTCACGTAGCAGGCTCGCTGCTGCAGCGGCTTGTAGCACACGTAGCCCTGTGGACAGATGTGCCCCTTGCAGCAGGCAGCACACACCCACCCTGCCCCAAAACCCCTGAGGAGGCCACTCTGCTCTCCCCTGCTCTGAGTTCATGGCTGAAGGTGCAGAGGAAGGCAGAAAGGGCAGCTGGGGAGGCAGGGTGCCCAGCACTCACGTTGCTGCTGTCGTACAGCACCACGGCGCTCTGGTTGCTCTGCGAGGTGATGTAGTAGGTGACAGTGCTCCTGGCCTTGTCCACCACGGCTGTCTGGTTCCTCAGCGGGTCCTGCTGGCCCTGGAGTGTCACTCGGAGGAGCTGGGAGCCAGCCTGGGCACGAGGAGGGAGGGCAGCACCCACCAGAGCTGCTCTGTGTGCAGCATCTCCCACCAACACCCCCAGCTGGGCCTGGGCTGGCCCCTGCTCTGTCTGATCCGGTGGGGAGGAGCAGGCTCTGACCCACTGAAGGATGATCCACGACTCCATCCTCACCCCCAAAGGGAGGGAGGAAAGGGCCAGGGGACCCCAGCCCTGCCAGCACCTCCCTGCCCCTTCCTGCATGGGGCAGGGTTTGATCCAGCCAGAGCTCAGCCCAGAGCTCTCCCATCCCTCCTGGGAGCTGCTGCCACCCAGCCCAGGGCTGCTGCCTGCCCAGACCAGCATCCCTTACCTGGGCAGAGCTGGGGGAGGAGCTGAGAACCCCCACGACACTGACACCAACAACCACAAAAAACAACAAGGCGACGGACAGGAGGATCCAGAAGGTCCTGGAGGGAGCTGGGAACTGTGCTGTGGCCCTCCTGTCCTGCGAGCCAGGCAAAAGGAGGAACAGGAGTTAAAATGGACCCTTCTGCCAATTCTTCCTCATCAATCAAGTTTCCAGCTCGTGACACAAACCCTTGTGCAGACTGGAGTGCAGAGCTGCCAAACCATTGCAGCACCTGGAATAATCCCACAGCTCTGAATTCCAGATGCAGCATCCTGGCACCAGCACTGCCAGGAAAGCTGCAAAGCCCCCAGGGCAGCTTTCCAGACATGGGGACAACAAATTAAATTATTGTGGTTTACAGCAGAAATCCCCAGGGGACAGTCAGCATTGGAATCAGACCCTGTGTGGAGTGATCCTGCTTCTGTCCCCCTCCCTGTGCTGGATTTTCTTGCTAAATTATTCTCCATGAGACCAAGGAAAAGAGCTTGGCAGTGCTGTGACATTTCTATTGGCTCTATTAATTTATTTTAATTCTTATATTGAAGCAATTAAATTTAACTTCATGGCACATAACGGGATTTTTACAAAGCAGAAAATGTGCTTTCAATAATCTCAAACACAGCCCACATTTAAAAAATAACCTGTTTCTCAATCCTCTGAAGCACAGAGGAATTCAATCCATGCCCAGGATTACACGTGCATGAGGATGGGCTCATCCAGCCTTGGGACAGTTGTGGATCTTTACTGGAAACTGGGAACTTCCAGGTTATTCTCTGAGAAAAGCAGTGAGTTAAAACTGCACCTCTCTGAAATCCCACCAGTCCAGCAGAGCAGGGCCCCAGCCCTGCAGTAACTGGCAGATTTTCAATAACCAGTGGAATTCCCTCCAGTGGCAAAGGTGCACACCAAGAAGTGCAGCAGCTCCCGGCCCTGGCAGGGCACAGCTCACACCCAGCCTGAGCTGAGAGCAGCTCCTGGCAGGAGCTGGGCTGGGGGAGCTGGGGACCAACAGGACCCTCCCAGGAGCTGTGGGAATGGCAGCAGCTCTGCCCTTGGGAGGGGGATCGGGCAAGCACAGAGCAGCACTGCCTGTGAGAGAATCACCCACTCCTGGGAGGGACCTCAGAGCCCACCCAGTGCCACCCTGCCATGGCAGGGACACCTCCCACTGTGCCAGGCTGCTCCCAGCCTGTCCAGCCTGGCCTGGGCACTGCCAGGGATCCAGGGGCAGCCACAGCTTCCCTGGGCACCCTGTGCCAGGGCTGCCCACCCTGCCAGGGAGGAATTCCTTCCTAACAGCCCATTGAACCCTGCCCTCTGCCAGTGGGAGCCATTCCCGTGTCCTGTCACAGCCTTGTCCAGAGAAGGACACAGGGACACAGAGCCTTCAGCCAGGAGCTGCTGGGACAGGAAATGCAGGAACAGGGAATATTCAGGAATACTCACTGCAGGAACAGGGGATACTGACTGCAGGAACAGGGGATACTGACTGCAGGAACAGGGGTGCTCAGGGATGCTCAGAGCAGGAACGGGGATGCTCAGGGATGCTCAGAGCAGGAACAGGGGATACAGCAGGAACAGGGGTGCTCAGGGATGCTCACAGCAGGAACAGGGATGTTCAGGAATGCTCACTGCAGGAACAGGGATGCTCAGGGGTACTCACAGCAGGAACAGGGGATACAGCAGGAACAGGGGTGCTCAGGGATGCTCACAGCAGGAACAGGGATGCTCAGGGGTACTCAGAACAGGAACAGGGATGTTCAGGGATGCTCACTGCAGGAACAGGGATGCTCAGGGATACTCAGAACAGGAACAGGGATGCTCAGGGGTACTCACAGCAGGAACAGGGATGCTCAGGGGTACTCACAGCAGGGGCAGCACCGCCGGCACCGTCCCCTCCTTCCATCCTCCACTTCAGGCGAGCGCCTGGCTGCTGCTGCTCTGCCTCCTGCCCACGCACGGGCTGGGCATGATCCCGGCCCCAGGCACAGCTGGGGAGCCTGGCCGTGTGTCCGGGGGCCATAAATACCTGTCCGGGAAACCTGAGGAGGGAGCAGGAGTGAGCGCTGCTGTCAGTGCCCAGCACAGCCCTTCCTGCCCAGCCCCGGCACGGCCAGGAGCCACAATGGAGCCCTTTGTGTGCCCAGGGCTGGCACGGCCCCACACGGGCCCAGGTGAGGCTCTTGGAGAGAACAAATGCCCAGAGGACAGTGGCAGCCTGCCCTTGTGGCAGTGGCAATTCCCACATTTCATCGGGAACTCAGTGCTGCTGGAGCTCCTGGGGCTGGGGCCAGGTGTGATCCTGTGCCAGGTGTGATCCTGTGCTGATCCTGCTGTGCCTGGTGTGATCCTGTGCCAGGTGTGATCTTGTGCCTGGTGTGATCCTGTGCCTGGTGTGATCCTGTGCTGATCCTGCTGTGCCTGGTGTGATCCTGCTGTGCCTGGTGTGATCCTATGCCAGGTATGATCCTGCTGTGCCAGGTGTGATCCTGCTGTGCCTGGTGCTGATCCTGCTGTGCCTGGGTTGCACAGACACACAGACACACCTGTGCCACCCTCGGAGGAAAAGGGAAAAGGGCTGTGCCACAAAGTCACCGCCCCTAGGTGTGCTCCCGCTGTCCCTGGGCTGCACAGACACACAGACACACCTTGCCACCCTCGGAGGAAAAGGGAAAAGGGCTGTGCCACAAAGTCACCGCCCCTGCCCTCACACTGTCACCTGTGTCCTGAGAGCCTCCCTGTGGGAGCAGAGTTCCCTGAGCACACAGAGCCTGAGCAGTCCAGGAGCCCCCAAAACGTTCCAGACCTGACATGACCAAGGTGTGGAGGCAAGGAAAAGGCAAGAATTCCTTCGTGTGATGTCTGTCCAGGGAAAATGCAGGCTTTGGACATTTTCCTATCACACACAGCCCAGGGCTGAACAAACTGGGTGGCAGGAGCCCACAAGAAAGGAGGAGAGGGACTTCGGCCAAGGGCACGGGCAGGGCAAAGGGGAATGCCAGGGTTAGATTTGGTGTTGGAAAGAAATTCTTCCCTGGGAGGGAGGGCACGCCTGGCACAGGTGCCCAGAGCAGCTGGGGCTGCCCATGGGTCCCTGGCAGTGCCCAGGCCAGGCTGGACAGGGCTTGGGGCAGCCTGGGACAGTGGAAGTGTCCCTGCCATGGCAGGGTGGCACTGGGTGGGCTCTGAGGTCCCTTCCAACCCAAACCATCCCTGACCCCCAGGATTCCCAATGCACAGCTGCACCACAGCTCACAGAGACCAGACCAGTGAGACAACGCTGGGGAGAGCAGGTTTGAGTTTAATGGGAATTCAAGTAGAGGATTAAGAACAGTGTGGAAGTCAGAACAGAGATTTGAAGCACGATTGACACCGCCACCAGCCCATGCCAGCACCCTGAGCCCAGGCAGTGGCTCCCTTGCCAGCCAGAGCCCTCGGCAGGGACAGACTGACGAGGGATGCTGCACTCTCTGCTGGCCTTCTCCTGACACAAAAAGCACCACCAGAAACAGAGACTGGATCCAAACCCACAATTACACCAGACACGACCTGCAGTGAGTGCACAATGTCCACCTCCACGTTACCCAGAGCAAGGGCCAGCTCTGCCTCTGGCACTTTGCACAAGAGATTTTCCACACTTCTTCCACAACTCCCACCTCACAAACAAACAGCCCTTCAGAGGCTCAGCCAGTGCTCTGAACACAGAGACCCTCTGGACTGCAGGGTTATTGCTGTACAAAGAAGGTGACAAGTTACCAGGCAGGAAATGGCATCAGCACTGCCCGAGCTCCTCAGCTGGGCAGGAAGGAAAACCAGTGCTCAAATGGAACTGTAGGTACTGGAATCTATGCGATAAAAGCGTGTTATTTGCATATATAATTTTCAGTTAATTCTATAACGCAAAAGCTTTCACTGTGGGATTCAGGCAGCACAGAAACCACCCTGTGGTGAGCCCCTCATTGCCCAATCCCACCTGGAGATCAAGAGGAATCATCCCTGAGCAAGCCAGCACTCCTCCTGCCCACCGTGCCCGGCCCCCGCCGGCACACGCGGAAGATCTGAACCTCAGGGATGGGGAGGAAGCACGAGCTACCCTCACACACAGGCAGCAGCCACAGGGCTGCTGTGGACAGCTCTCCTGGGCACTACATCCTTCACGGACTGACAGGAACTGGGATTGTGCAGCTAAAGCCTCTGATGCTGAGGGAAGTGCAGGAGCTTGGTCTGCATTGATCCAGGGGTTTCTGGGAAGCAGCAGCAGGAATGAGGGACAGTCCTGTGTGGCTACAGACTCTCTGCATTACCAAATGCAACGGTTTAGGAGAATTAAATCAGTGAAATACATTCCTCTCATCCTCCCTCCTGGGAAACAAGATATATTATCAATCATAGTCTCTATTTATAATTTAAATATACTCTTAACTTTATGCTCAGGGAGTGCCAGTGTGTACATGTGCTTTACACACTCTCGACCTTGGACAGACACTGTGTGCAGCAGCCAAGGGCTGGAATTTCGTGGGATCATCCCAATCTGCATCACAAGTGCAATGTGCAGTGGTCAAATGAAGGAGATGAATCTGTGTGACCTGAGGTGGGGCTGTGCCCTTCAAGAGGGCCCCAGCTGGGAAAAAGCCACCCCAAGGGCAAACACCAGCTCCACAAGTGTCTAACCACAACCAGAGCTGCTGCACATCCCAAGAGCCTGAACAGACTGGGCTGAGCCACGGCCCAGCCTGGCCAGGACATGATCCTTCCCCTCAGACCAAGCAGCTCCAGCTGCCCAGCTCAGCGCAGAGGAGCCGTGCAGGGGAGCACCACCAGCACTGCATCCATGCACTACAGCTGCACTGCATGGGTGCACTACAGCTGCACTGCATCCATGCACAACTCCACTGCATCCATGCATTACAACTGCACTGCACGGATGCACCAGAACTGCACTGCACGGATGCATTACAACTCCACTGCATCCATGCACTACAGCTGCACTGCATCCATACACAACTCCACTGCATCCATGCACTACAGCTGCACTGCATGGATGCACTACAACTGCACTGCACGGATGCATTACAACTACACTGCACGGATGCATTACAACTGCACTGCATCCATGCACCACAACTGCACTGCACCCATGCACCACAGCTAAAGCCAGCGGCAAGCCCCAGCCCCTGTAATGCCCCCTTTGTTCAAAGTGCATTTCAGACTGAGATGTAAACAGAACCGTACCGAGAGGACAGCGAGGGGACAAGTGAAGGGTTCTAACCCCGGGGAGTGCCCGGTGGGCACGCCACTGCCACGGGGCTGCTGCCCGGGCCCGTTACTCCCCCAGCGCCGGGAGCAGGTCGGCGATGCTGTCCACGTAGTAGTCGGGGACCAGGCTGTGCCTGGCGGGACAGCCGCTGTCCTGGTGGCCCCGCACCTCGTCCAGCGCCGTCACGCCGGTCAGGGTGAGCAGCGTGGTGAGGCCGCAGCTGTTGCCCATCAGGATGTCCGTGTCCAGCCGGTCCCCCACCATGATGGTGCGCGCGGGGTCCACCGGGAACTCCCCGGCCACGCAGTCGAACATGAAGCGGTTGGGCTTGCCCACGATGAACGCCTCGCGCTGCGCCGCCGTCTCCACGGCCTTCACCAGGCAGCCCGTGCCTGTGGGAACAGGGACAGGGATTAGGGACAGAGGGCATCTCCACGGCCTTCACCAGGCAGCCCGTGCCTGTGGGAACAGGGACAGGGATTAGGGACACAGGGCATCTCCACAGCCTTCACCAGGAATCCTAGCCTTCACCAGGCACCCCATCCCTGTGCGAACAGGGAGAGGGATTAGGGACAGACAGTGTCTGTATGGCCTTCACCAGGCAGCCCGTGCCTGTGGGAACAGGGACAGGGATTAGGGACAGACAGCGTCTCCATAGCCTTCACCAGGAATCCTAGCCTTCACCAGGCACCCCATCCCTGTGGGAACAGGGAGAGGGATTAGGGACAGTGTCTCCATGGCCTTCACCAGGCACCTTGTGCCTGCGGGAATACAGAGAGGGATTAGGGACAGTGTCTGCATGGCCTTCACCAGGCACCCCGTGCCTGTGGGAACACAGAGAGGGATTAGGGACAGTGTCTGCACAGCCTTCACCAGGCAGCCCGTGCCTGTGGGAACAGGGACAGGGATTAGGGACAGAAGGCTTTCGATGCCCACAGGAGCCAGGACAAACCCCCCCCAGGACACTGGGGATGGACACTTCAGCTTTACAGGCAGAGGGACGAGTGGGTCCCAGGAAAAGTGGTGCTTAAAGCCTGCCAGGAGATGGGAATTGCATCCCACAGTGGCAAAAGGGAACTCCCATCTGCAAGTAAAGGATCAATAAGGATTCTCTCTCTTTAAGGGTGCTGTGGAAAGGCTCTGGGAAGCCCAGGCTGCCTCAAAGAACCCCAGGACAGCTGGAGCTGAGGGACCTCTGGAGATGATGCAGTCCAACCCCCCTAGAAGAAAAGGCCACCTGGATTAGGTGACACAGGAGCGTGCCAAGGCGAGTTTGGAACACCTCCAGAAACTCCACACCCTCCCCGGGCAGCCGCTCCAGCGCTCCGCCACTCCCCGGGCCAAAAGGCTCTTCCCGAGGTCGAGGAACAACTCTACCAACACCACCCCGAGGCGTGCCCAGCAGAGCACGGAGACCCCCCGCCCCACCCCCGGGACCCCCCGCTCCCGCTCGCCCCGCGCACCGGGGATGCCGGCGCCGCCCTCGAGCGGCAGCCGGTGGTCGCGGTTGGTGCCGACCAGGAGGCACTCGGCGCCGCCGCGCAGCAGGTACCGCAGCGCCTGGCACAGCTTGGCGTAGCTGAAGTGCTCGTCGAAGCCCACGAGCACGGCGCGCACGGCGGGCTCCAGCGGCGCCTGCAGCCAGTCGCGGGGCGCGGGCCCGGGCAGCGCGGCGGGCCCGGGCCCGAGGTGCGGGATGCCCACGGCCTCCAGCTCGGCGGCCAGCGCGGCGCTGCCCAGCACGTAGGCGGCGGCGCCGGGCGGCAGCGCCTGCCGCAGGTAGCGGGCGGCGCAGAAGGCCGAGCTGAAGACGTGCCGGGGCTCGGCGGGCGGGAAGCCCAGGCGCCGCAGCTTCTCGGTGTAGGCCGCGCGCGTCCGCCCGCTGTTGTTGGTCACGTAGCACAGCCGCTTGCCCGCCGCCGCCAGCCGGCCCAGCGCCTCCGCCGCGCCGCTCACGGCCGCCTCGCCGCGCCACAGCACGCCGTCGCAGTCGAAGAGCAGCGTGTCGGCGTTGGCCAGCACGGCCCGCGCCGCCTCGCCCTCGGCCCGCGTCCCTGTGGGGGGGCGCTGATGGCGGCCACGCCCCCCGCGCCGGGAGCCGGCGCCCGGTGTCCCCTCCGTCCTCCCGCACGTCGCCGCCGATGGCGCCCGGCGCGCTGCGCTCTCATTGGCCGCCCGGCCCGAGGGCCCGCCCCCCGCGCGCTGCCATTGGCCAGGGCGCGCCGGGGCTCGGTCGGTACCGCGCTGGGCCACTCCGCGGTAACTCCTCGGGAACTGCTCGGGCTCCGCTCCGCCGGGGCTCGGCGGTCACCGGGGCGAGCGGAGGGACCGCGCCCCGACAGCGCCCGACAGCGCCCGGAACCGCCGCGCGGCGGGCGCGTTCCCCGCCGAGCCCCGTCCCGTTGTTATGACGACACGGCCGTAAAGCCGCCATCTTGCGGCGCGTTGCGACACGGGGGCCGCGATGGCAACGGGCGCGGGGCCGGCGGCGCTTACGGCAGCAGCGGCCGGGCCGGGCCGGGGCGCCCGGTGCCGGTGCCCGGTGCCGTGGCCCGGCCCCGCTGACGGCGCTCTCCCCGCAGACGAGGATGACGTGCACCGCTGCGGGCGCTGCCAGTCCGAGTTCAGCTCGCTGCAGGAGTTCGTGCAGCACAAGCTGCAGAAGCGCTGCCAGCGCCCTCCCGACGCGCTGGCCGGCCTGCTCGGGCAGGACGGACAAAAGGTGACTGCGAGCTTTTATCAAAAATCCCGTGTCGGGCTTTTCCCCTCCTGAGGAGCTGAGGGTTTCAGGAGAGAAATGTAAATAATAATTGTCTGCTGTAGAATGCAACAGGTGCAGCTGGGATTGGGGCAGGTGGGTTGTTTCTAATTAAGAGCCAATCACAGATGAAGCTGCATCGGGCCCTGAGAGTCACAACGTTTTGTTACGCATTCTATTCTTGTTCTGTGTAGGTTTCCGATCATTTTTTTCTCTCTGTTCTTTTAGTATAGTTTTAATGTAGTATTTTACTATAATATATATCATAATATAACAAACCAGCCTTCTGAAAATAGAGTCAAGCCTTGCGTCTCCACACATGCAGAGTTACCAACAGGTGACAGCGGCTTCTCCCAGCCTGGGCTGGAAATCATTCGGGTCTGCTGGGTTGGAGGGAGGGAGCAGTGTGCTCAGGCGAGCAGAACTGCCTGCTGAGGGCTGCTCTGTGCCAGCAGGTGGTTCCTGCTGTCGAGGAGTCCATCACTGTTGCTCACATTGTCGTTGAAGCCTCTTCCATAGCAGAGGAGATCAGCGACGCCTCGGCCATCGTAGGTGAGCTCTGGCAGTGCCGTGGCACCCCGGGGGGGTCTGGTACCTGTTCCCTCATCTGTGACCTTCCTGATGGCTTTGGGTGGGTGACACCTCCGTGTCACTGGGATTTGGGGCTGTTCCCACAGAGCCCTGGGCCAGCTCTGCAATCCTCTCCCACCAGGGCCGTGGAATAGCCATGGGATGGGTTGGGTTGGACAATTCCTTTGCAATAGCTATTCTAAACCTACCCTCCTTCAGCTTAATTAATACAACTAATTAATACAAATTAGATGTTAAACTCTGTTCCAGAAGTGCCCATTTATGCTGCCATAATGAGGAGGTTGCAAATACTCCAGTGGCAGGTTTAAAACATCTTTTCTCCTTCTTCCTGCTGACATGCTGAGACAGGGGATGGTTTGTTGTCCTGCAAGGAACCCAACTGTGTCCCCACCTTTTCCCAGGCAGTGGGCACATCAAAGAGGTCATTGTAGCAGGAGAGCACGTGTTTGAGAGCCCGAATGGCCACGTGGATGGGGAGGTCAGTGAGGAGCAGGGCAGCCCCGAGGAGCAGGAGCAGGACATGTCCAGCGAGCTGATCAAGGTCAAGCTGCAGGTCAACAAGGAGGGGCGATACGTGTGTGAGCTGTGCCAGAAGACATTTAAAACTGTGAGTAGCCCCTCTGCTGGTGTGGCTTGGGGAGCCTTTTAGGCTAAGAGATGCCAAGACTCAGCAGCAGTGTGCTTTACTGCCTGCCACCCTTCCCAGAGGGAAGTTCTGCCTTCACAAGGAGCCTTGTTGTTGTTCTTTACAGCTAAAATGTAAAATCTTTAAACTCTTTGGAACGTCTCTTAAAGGAAATTCTTTCCCTAGGCCAGCATCCTCAAAGCTCACATGATCACTCACAGCAGCAGGAAGGACTATGAGTGCAAACTCTGTGGGACTTCCTTTAGGACAAAGGGGTCTCTGATCCGACACCATCGGCGGCACACGGGTGAGAGTTCTCCCAAACAGAGCTCCTTCTTACTGGAGCTGTTTGTGGTTATCCATTTGCCTTCCAGTGGAATTCCTTGCTGCTTCCCATGTTTTGCTGAGCTGAGACCATTGGGGGCTGGGAGGCAGTGGAAGGTTCTGGGATAGGCACAGTCATGTTCTCTAGAAAGCTGAATATGTTCTTCAGCCTGTCATACAGTGCTGATCCTGGCAGTGCTGGCTTTAACATGGTTGTTTTGATTCTTGTAATTTCCAGATGAAAGACCTTACAAATGCAAGAAATGTGGGAAAAGCTTCCGGGAATCAGGAGCTTTGACTCGGCACCTTAAATCTCTGACGCCTTGCACTGAAAAAATCCGCTTCAACGTGACCAAAGAAATAGTTGTCAACAAAGATGATCTGCCATCAGGTCAGTGATGCTGCCAGGACCTGCCTCCTGTCTGAGAAAGCCAAACCCTCACAGCACTTGGAATAGAAATTCCTTCTGACACAGGGTGCCAGAGCAGCTGTGGCTGCCCCTGGATCCCTGGCAGTGCCCAAGGCCAGGCTGGACAGGGCTTGGTGCAGCCTGAGATGGTGGAAGGTGTCCCTGCCATGGCAGGGGTGGCACTGGATGACCTGTAAGATCCCTTCCAACCCAAACCATTCCATGATTCTTGTTTATGATAAGAAGTATTCCCACGGTTTTGAAATTACATTTTCTATACCAGAAAAAAGTAATTTATAGAGCAAAGTTATTACCTTGAAGCCAGGTGTGAACTCAAGAATGTTTGAGAATCTGGTACCAAGGTGGTGTTAACAGGCACCTTGTGCTCTGAGGCAGGTTTTTTAGGGCACAGGGAGTTGCTGAGGGGTGCATTTCCCCACGTGGTTCATCCCTGCAGGGCCCTGCAGCTCCAGCACAGACACGGTGTCCTCCATAGCGAGCGAATCCATCGAGGCCTCTCCTGTCATCCACCTCGTGACAGATGCAAAAGGCAATGTGCTCCATGAGGTCCACGTGCAGATGCAGGAGCTTCCCGTGGTGGATGCAAAACCCCTGGAGCCAGATGTGAGTGTTGTTTGCCTCAAACACCCTCTGTGTGTTTTACACAAAGAACATTCCTCGTGAGCAGAGGTGTCTCGGGTACTGACAGTAAATCCGGGTGTGGAATGAACTTGGTGGGCTTGTGCCACCTCCTCCTCCTCCTCAGCCCGAGGTATTCCCTGGTTGATCTTTGCACCCCACAGCACAGCACTGCAGACCCCAGAGAGAGTGGCCCTGCAGCAGTGTTGCTGTAAAACGTTGTGGGTTGGCTGTGCCCAACTTCCTCTCTGTTCCTTCAGCAGCCGCATCCTGAGGAGCTGCCCTGCGAGGGGGAGGTGAACAGTGAGAACCTGCTGAGGCAGGCCATGAGGAATTCGGGCATTGTCATCGAGAGAGTGGCCGTGGAGGAGGTGCAGAAGCCAGAGGAACCTGTGGCAGCTGCTCCAGAAGAGCTGGAAAACAAAGGGGTGGAAGTAGAAGAGGAGCCTTGTGGGGAGCAGTGTGCTAAACTGGAAGGAGCAGAGTCTGTATGTTTGTATTCCATCAACAGATTCATTTTTTAACCTTCCTTGTCTCTATTTGGTTGTGGGCAGCACTGTTGTCCTCATGTGTCTGCCTGTGGCTTTGTGTCAGGTTTTAGAGTTACATTGTGCAGGTGTGATTTAAGGAAGATGTTCCTTCAGGCACATGGTGTCTCTTTTCACAACAGAGAACTCTTTCCTGTCAAAGCTGCAGTGCTTAACTGGGAATTTGGGTAGCAATCCTAACTGGACACACCAGTACAAAAATAGAAAAGCAGTTTTCCCATTTTCTGTCCAGCAGACACCTGCAGAAAGAACCAACGGGTACAAACGTTACATTTGCTCTCACTGTAATGAAGCCTTCAGTGAAGCTGCTGCCCTGGAAACTCACAGCAAGAGTCACACAGGTAAAGTGCTGCTGGGGCTGCTGTGTGGCATGAGCTGTGGCTCAGTGAGCTCAGCCATGCACAGCTCCCCTGAGGAGGAGAGACTGCAGGAGCTGGGCCTGGTCAGTCTGGAGAAGGGAAGGCTGAGAGGGGATCCATCAATCCATACAAATCCCTCCCAGGGGTGTCAGAGGATGGTGCCAGACTCTGTTCAGTGACAGGATGAGGAGCAATGGCCAGGAACTAAAACACAGCAAGTTCCATGTTGACATGAGGAAAAACCACTTTGCAATGAGGGTGGCAGAACCCTGGACACATTCCTGTGTCACCTGCTCCAGGTGACCCTGCCTGGGCACAGGGCTGGACTGGATGATCCCCAGAGGTCCCTTCCCACCCCAGAGGTCCCTTCCCAACCCAGCTATTTTGGGGTTCTGTGAAAGCCCACACACATGGTTGACAATACAATTCCTCCCCTTCTCCAGGTCACTTTTTATAACACTTCAGTCACACCTGTACCACATCCTTGTGCTGCAGCTTGCCCTGGATCAACCACACATTTTCCCCCTGTGTCCCTCCAGAGTACAAACCTTTCAAGTGTGAGGAGTGTGGCAAGGAGTTCACCAAGGGCTACCTGCTGAAGAAGCACCAGGAGGTGCACGTGAACGAGCGGCGGTTCCGCTGCGGGGAGTGTGGCAAGCTCTACAAGACCATAGCCCACGTCAAGGGGCACCGGCGCGTGCACTCGGACGAGCGGCCCTACGCCTGCCCCAAGTGCGGCAAGCGCTACAAGACAAAGGTGGGCCCCCCTCCCAAACCTCCTCAGGGCATGCCCAGAGCCTGGCTTTGGCACAGGGCAGGAGGCTTTGCTCCTCAGAGAGCTCGCCTGTCTCGTGTAGCCCAGAGAAGTTGTGGCTGCTCCGTCCCTGCGAGTGTACAAGGCTGGATTGGACAGGGCTCGGAGGAACCTGGGATAGTGAAAGGTGTCCCTGCCCGTGGCAGGGGGGTGGAACAAGATGTTCCTTACAGTTCTTTCTAACCTAAACCATTCAGTGATTCTGTGAGCTGAAACTCCAGAAAGATGTTGGGGTTTAGTGGGCAAAAGGACAGTCTTTGTAAAACCATCACGTTTCTGAAGAAACTGTTCCTTTATGTGTGGAGCAAATATGTAATAACAGTGTCCTGGTTCTGGCCAGGACTGGGTTAATTTTTGCAGTAGCCAGGAGGGTGCATGGCTAGAACAATCTGGTGTGGGGGGAAAGGGGTTCCTTCTGTCTATTATTAGGGCAGGTGAGTTGCTCACCTCTTTCTTGCACTCTCCGTGCAAGAAACTATCAATAGTGGTTTTTTATCTTATTTCTGTTTCTGGTAAATTGTTCTTATCTCAATCCATGATCTTCACCTTTTGTGCCTCCAATTCTCCTCCCCAGCCCACTGTGAGGGGAGGGGGAGAGGGAGAACGAGTGAGTGGCTCATGGTTTGGAGAGTCACGGTGTGAGCACTGACTTGGGAAGTACCATTCCTAAACCACCACCCCAGAAAACCATCCTCATGCCCTATATAAAACGTTGAGTTCCAATGTGGGAGGAAACCTGTGAGCTGGCCGTGTCCTTGCTGAGCCCTTGCCTTGCCTCCCTGGGCGTGCAGAACGCCCAGCAGGTGCATTTCCGGACCCACCTGGAGGACAAGCCCTACGTGTGCCAGTTCTGCAGCCGGGGCTTCCGGGAGAAGGGCTCCCTGGTGCGCCACATCCGCCACCACACCGGCGAGAAGCCCTTCAAGTGCTACAAGTGCGGCCGCGGCTTCGCCGAGCACGGCACCCTCAACAGGCACCTCAAAACCAAAGGTGAGCAGTGCCTCCCACTGTGGGGACACGACTCCATTTTGCTCAGAAGGCTGATTTATTGTGTTATATATTATATTAAAATACTATACTAAAACTATACTAAAAGAACAGAGAGAGAAGAAAGATCAGAAGGTTACAAAGACCAAGAATAGAATAGAATAGAATAGAATAGAATAGAATAGAATAGAATAGAATAGAATAGAATAGAATAGAATAGAATAGAATAGAATAGAATAGAATAGAATAGAATAGAATAGAATAGAATAGAATAGAATAGAATAGAATGCCTAACAGAATCTTGTGACTGCTCACAGCCTTGGCACAGGTAGCTGTGATTGGTCATCAATTAAAAACAATCCATATGGAGCAATGGAAGATGCGCCTGTTGCATTCCACAGCAGCAGATAGTTATTGTTTACATTTCTTTCCTGAGGCTCTCAGCTCCTCAGGATGGGAAAATCCTAGGAAAGGATTTTTCATAAAATATCATGGTTGCAGAGCAGGGCTGCCCTGGGCTTGCACCTGGGAGTGGATCTCAGCAGCTGACAGAAGCAGAGGACACATCTCAAGCAATGTCAAGGGAAATATAGGTTGGATATTAGGAAAGGTTTTTTACAGAAAGTTCTGGAATGGTGTGCCCAGGAGGTGGTGGAGTCACCATCCCTGGATGTGTTTAAACCAAGACTGGATGTGGCACTCAGTGCCATGGTTTGCTTGAGGTGCTAGGGCTGGGTTGGACTCGATCTTGAAGGTCTCTTCCAAGCTGGTCATTCTGTGAATTCTGTGGATCTAATGGCCCACATGGAGTTCTGGGAAGGAAATGTCTGGGTAAAGTTTTACCAATGATCTGGTCTGGTGGGATTAGCTGAACTGGACTTGCTGCTCCTTTAGCTCCTAGACAGGGATTTCCAGACTTCTTCAGGTAGTGCTGACGGTGTTATTCCAAAGGAACAATGCAAGTTTACTGGAGGAAAAAATGGACTTTTGTAGGAGATACTGAGATGTATCAGCAGAAAAGATCAATTATGTAAAATATTACCAAATTCTTACTGTATGTTACTCACAAATGGCTTGGAAACCCTTGAGTGGTTTTACCACCTGAATTTACCCATGTGGTGCTTGGAGTTGCACTGGAGAGCTGCTCTGCTCCTGGTGGCACTGGGACTCTCCTGGGCTGTTCCTTGGCTTGTCCTGGTGGGCCAGGAGCCCCTCACGTGCCACTGGTCACTTGTCCGTGGCATCCCCTTGCTGCTGCTGGAGATGGTCACAAAAAATGATGTTTTTCTGGACTCCCATGCAGGCGGCTGCCTCCTGGCTATGAAAGAGGTGGAAGAAGTGATAGTGTCAGAGGAGAGCCAGTCTGCTGACAACCTGGCAGCCACGGTCCTTTCGGAGGATCCGCACACGGTGCTGGTGGAGTTCTCCTCGGTGGTGGCAGACACCCAGGAGTACATCATCGAGGTGAGGAGGGGCAGCCAGCCTGCTCACGGGGAGCTTGGCACAGGCTTTGGTCAGGAAAAACTGCAGTTGTTCATGTTCCTGCTCCAGGCTCTGCCCTGCCTGCAGTGGGATCAGCCTTGTTTGGGAGGAAAGCACTTGGAGCCTCCCCACCCTCCCAAAGTGCTGTGTGTGCCAGGAGGCTGAGCCTGAGGACTGACCACACCAGATTTTAGGTCCTCACAAGCTTGCTTCAGCTTTCCCTCCTATTTTCTCCCATTTCTATTTAATTTACTGTGCCCCAGATAATCTCTGTTGTTTCTAACAGAGGCTGCCAAAAGCAATGAATTCTGCATTTCACTTTCTCCCCTCTGTCACACAGAGCCAGTTCTCAGCAGGGTAACACAGCTCAGTCGTTGAGTGCTGCTGTAGTTCTCCTCCAGTAGGAGAAAAATCTGCTGCGTGGCCAAATCCTGCTGAGGGAGGACATTCTCTTTCAGTTATTTGTCAACATTGTGCATTCCTTTTAAGTAGTTCCTGATAATGGGATTGGGAGGGAATGTCAAGGAGTTGTCTTTGGAGCAGCTGCTGCATGTGAGTGGAACAGAAAGACTTGTGCAAAAGATCTTAGTGAATTATATCCAAGTGATAAAATTCTTTTTATAAGAACCTAAAAAGAGAATAATCTTATTTTGTCTTCCAGACTTCTACCGAAGACATGGAGACCAGTGAAGCTACTGAAATAATAGAGGGAACAAGGCACGAGGTAAAGCAGTGGCAGGAGGGGTGACACGTTGCAGAGTGTGTGTTCCTGGGGTGAACAGCTGGAGCAGCTGGATGCAGAGCTGCTCCTGCCGCCGCCCCGTGCAGTGAAAACTGCTCCTAACCACGCCAGCCAACGCAGCAGCCCTGTCCCCTGCAGGTGGACAGCCACATCATGAAGGTGGTGCAGCAGATCGTCAACCAGGCCAACTCGGGCCACCAGATCATCGTGCAGAACGTCACCGTGGCCGAGGGCGCCGCGGCCGCCGACGCCGCCGACACCATCACCATCGCCACGCCCGAGAGCCTCACCGAGCAGGTGGCCATGACGCTGGCCTCGGCCATCGGCGACGGCGCCGTGCTGGCCGCCGAGGGCGGGCTGGCCGCGCAGGAGGCCACCGTCACCATGGTGGCCTCCGAGGACATCGAGATCATGGAGCACGCGGGCGAGTTCGTGATCGCCGCCGCGCAGGAGGGCGAGGTGGAGGTGCAGACCGTGATCGTGTGAGGGGCTGCGGCGGCACAGCCGCGCTCGGGCTGCTCGGGGAGCACGCGAGTGGTCAGGGGACAGGGCAGGTCTGAAACAGGACAGGGCAGGTGTGAAACGGGACAGGGCAGGTCTGAAATGGGGCAGGAAAGGGGAGAGGGCAGGTGTGAAATGGGACAGGAAAGGGGACAGGGCAGGTGTGAAACGGGGCAGGGCAGGGCTGAATGGGGCAGGTCTGAAACGGGACAGGGCAGGTCTGAAACGGGACAGGGCAGGTCTGAAACGGGACAGGGCAGGTCTGAAACGGGACAGGGCAGGTCTGAAACGGGACAGGGCAGGTCTGAAACGGGACAGGGCAGGTCTGAAATGGGGCAGGAAAGGGGACAGGGCAGGTGTGAAACGGGGCAGGGCAGGTCTGAATGGGGCAGGTCTGAAACGGGACAGGGCAGGTCTGAAATGGGACAGGACAGGTCTAAAATGGGACAAGACAGGCCCAAAGGGGACAGGGCAGGTCTAAAATGGGATAGAACAGGTCTAAAATGGGATAGAACAGGTCTGAAACGGGACAGGACAGGTCTAAAACTGGATAGAACAGGTCTGAAATGGGAGAGGACAGGTCTAAAATGGGATATAACAGGTCTAAATTGGGAGAGGACAGGTCTAAAATGGGATATAACAGGTCTAAGTTGGGAGAGGACAGGTCTAAAACTGGATAGAACAGGTCTAAAATGGGATATAACAGGGCAGGACTGAGGTGTTCTCAGTCTCAAACCAACACTGGGAGTTAAACCCTTGGCCTGGTCACCCCAGGAGACTGACAGGTCCCAAGTGGCACTCAGTGTTCTGTACAGCAGCCTCGAATTAAGGAGGATCCTTTGGGAGTCAGCCCCCTGTGCCCAGCACTGGGACAGCAGTGGTCTGGTTTTTAAAAGGATTCAGAAAGTGTAGCAAGTGTGTGGGGGTCTCACGAGGGATTATTGAAATATATGCATTTAAAACAAGTTGAGAAAACCAAACCTAAGGAGTGGTGGTGTGTGCTGAGCACCACTGAAACACTCTCATGCCTTTAACCTCACTCCTTCAGGCCTCCCAAGGCACGGTACTGCAGTATTTCTCTTTTCTTTGGTATCCTGGACAAGTAGCCTTATGTACTGGTCTATGAATGCATCATTGTACCCTGCAATGCCAGCCAGGCTGCTCTGAGAGCCAGCCTGGGGGCTGGAAAGCCATATTGTATAGCAATTTGGTTTTTTTTAACCATATATGGATTTTTAATTGCATATTGTACAGATTTGGCATGTAAATAAATACATTTTTAAAAATAAAATTATTTAAAGTTCTTACTACATTTTTTTTTCCAATTTCTATTCTATTATACTCAAACAGAAGAATTTCTGGAAGGAGAGGAGAATTTAATTTCCTTCCTGAAGTTAGTGCTTCAAAGGTCAGTAGGACACGGTTTCTGCTGGTAAGACCCTGCCAGAAATCATTCTTTCAGCTCAATACACACAAGCTGCTGTAGCCATTGTTAACAGTCATGGCTTAATTGTTTCCCAAAGAAAGATACAAAAAGATGCTGCTCCCTCCAAATTGACAGGAGCTCTGTTAGCCCTTGCCAGAGGTAAAGATTCACTTTGGGAAGATGGACAAAGCCCTGTGTGCAGGGGCCAGGACTGGGCTGGCCCTGAGTCCCACTGAGGGAGGGAGCTCCAGTGATGCTCTGCTGAGGCACCAGTGTGTGAATTCTGCAGTAATCCTGTTCCAAAATCTGCCTGGGGCAGCCAAGCCCAGTGCTGAACTCCAGTCTTAGAAAACATTTAAAAATGCCCAGAGAAACACCAGCAATATCTTCATGTTTTCTTCTTCCTTTCCAGCACGGTGGGAGGGTTAAAGATTTCCTTCAAATTCCTCCAGATGCCTTTGGAATAAATGTTTCTGTAGACGAGGGGTCTGGCCTGAGGCTGTGAGGGGAGAGGGGGGGAGCCCCCCAACCTTCGGGATTTGCACCATTCATTGGTGGTCTGGTTGGTGAGGGCCAGGTACAGGCTGAAGGTGCAGTATCCCCCCAGCACGAGGGTGAGCAGGATGACAAACCCCAGCATGAAGACAATCCTGGGGAAATTCAGGAAAAGGTGCTGCAGAGAGAGAGAGGAGTGAGTTAGAACGTGGGAGGGCTGAATCCCATGGGCACAGCAGGGCCCAGCTGCAGTGCACATCCATTGCATGTGGAACTGTGCATTCCAGGGTGCTGTGTCCTGCTTGGGCACCTCCACCCAGGCACCTCAGCGACTCTCAGCTGTTTCCTGAACTTCACTACAGCAGCTGATCACTGGAATGGAAATTCCATCTCTGTGAACCAGAGCTGCCGAGTGACAGATCCTGCAGACAGGAGGCTGTAGGATGGGAAGTGCTGTGAGAAAAACACCCCATTCCCAAAGTATTCAGCAGTGGCACTTTTCTAAATCTAGTTATATGTATAAAACAGCTAAAACCCTGCAGTCCATCCCAAAACCCTGCAGTCCATCCGTGAAACAGCTAAAACCCTGCAGTCTGTCCCAAAACCCTGTAGTCCATCCCAAACCCTGCAGTCTGTCCCAAACCCTGCAGTCCATCCCAAAACTCTGCAGTCCATCCCAAACCCTGCAGTCTGTCCCCAAACCCTGCAGTCCATCCCAAACCCTGCAGTCTGTCCCAAACCCTGCAGTCTGCAGTCTGTCCCAAACCTCTGTCCCAAACCCTTCAGTCTGTCCCAAACCCTGCAGTCCATCCCAAACCCCGCAGTCTGTCCTGTGCTGGGGGAACAGGACGTTGTTCAGTGCCGGACAGAACACAGGACGGACCTGGACGAGGAGGGGGATGTCCACGGGGTGCTCCTGGCCCTGGCCATCGCGGTAGGAGCCGTGCAGGGCGTTGGAGAGCAGCAGCAGCTGGGCGAGCAGGGCAGCGCTGACGGCAGCCAGGGCGCCGGCGGTGGCCGCCAGGGACAGCAGGTACAGCAGGAAGGCGCCGGCGTTGCGCGCCCCGATGCAGTTGTTCACCCACACGCAGTGGTGGTCAAAGCGGTGCACGCACGCCCTGCACACGCCTCCAGGGGCAGGGGCAAAACGAGAGCCTTGGCACTTTGTTCTGCAGTAGGCGGTTTGAGCTTTATGTGTGGGTTTGATTTTTTTAAGATGAAAATATGTGGGAGTTGCAGTCAGGGTTTAGCCGACTGTAACCTTGAATAAATTCAATTCTCTATCCTAAGAAAAACAATGTATTTCGTTTCCTCTTTTATTCACCAAGATTGCTGCTCCAAGACTTTGCTTTCTCTGACAGTACTGCCAGGCAAAGCACCTGGAAGGCAGAGATGAGAGCTCCCACCTTTATTCTAGGTGATAAAAAGAGGTGGTGGACTTATCCCTGGCAGGGCTCCAGGTCAGGCTGGCAGGCCTTGGAGCACCCTGGGCCAGTGGAAGGTGTCCCTGCCCCTGGCAGGGGGCATGAGATGGGCTTTAAAGATCCCTCCCAGCCCAAACCATTACAGGACTCTGTGACTATGAAACAGAAAATCCTGATCTGAGGTCCTGGCAGGTGACAATTTCTCATTTATAATAATTTCTCATTTATAATTCCAGCTGCTCACAAGCTCAGCTGTTCCTGACTGTGAATTATCCCTCAGAACTGGTAAATTCTGTGAGCAGAAACAGCACCCAACCAGCTCCAGGGATGGGCAAATGCAGCAGTGACCTGGGACCCCAGGAGCACAAGCACAGCCCTGTGAGCACTGAGCTGGTAACAGAACAGCTGTGGTGGGAGCTGCAGCTCCCGGGGGAGGATGCCCTCGGGAAGGTCCTACTGCCACAGTAATCGAGGAATTTCAGATCCTTACTGCAGTGCTTGGACCGGGCTGGTTTCTGCACGGCGCACGTGGGACACACGAGGCCTCTCTGAAACAGCACCCCATCGTAGGCATAAACCTCAGCCAGGGATGCAGCGTTGGATTTCGTTACTGTGCCTGCCAAAGAGGCGAGAAAAAGAACTCAAACATGGCATTCGTAGCACTTTCTTCTGTTTTCAGAGCACGAGTGTGATCTGACCTGGGTCGGCCCGGGAGCAGAGCAGGAAGCAGCCCAGGTTGGCAGCCAGCAGCAGGTAGGGCAGGAGCAGCAGCAGGAGGGGGAACTGCAGCTCCCAGCAGTACCCAAACACCTCGCAGGTGTACTCCCCAAACACTGCAGCCTGCAGGGCCACGTGCAGCACCACAAACAAACAGCTCCTGCCGAGGAAAGGGGACAGCAGTTAATACCAGCATCCTGATTAACAGGTCAAGTACACTCAGAGGTGATCAAAGACTTTCCAAATGCAGGGAGACGCCTCTTTTAGGTTTTCAGGCCAGCTTGGATTGCATATTAATAGTGTTTTCTCCATCCACTGGCTTCTCCTTCTCGTCTTCCCACATATACTCCTTTAAATATGTCAGCTAAATTCCCTGCTTTATTCACATGTCCTTTGGATGTTTTTTCCCTGTCAGTACAAAGTCTTATAATCCCTTGCTGCTGACAAAATATGCCACAGCAACGGGCCACAAAACATTCTGCCAGAAGACATTTGCTACTCTGAAAGCAAAGAAAAAGCCCCAAAAATAATCTTTAAAACTCCACAATAATAAAACCAGCTGTTAGGAAATAAGGGTGGCAGGAGGTGGGCAGTGAGCACCAGTTCCAGAGAATGTGCAGAATCCCAGCACCTCTGGCAGTGTTAGAGCAGGCACAGAACCAGCCCAGCACAGCTGCAGATTCACAGCCCTGAGGCCACTGTCACAGCGAGCTGCTGTCCCCAGGGAAAAGGTATTTAAATCCTTCCTGAGGCACCAGAGTTCACAGACACACAAAATCCACCTGGATGCAGGGGCAGGCTCCCCCTCAGCCACCTGGACAGCCAGGCTGCTGGACTGAGGCTAATGGGATTGGGGGCAGAGGATGGAGGCTGGGACAGTCTGACTCCGTGCAGCTGCCACAGAGGCTGGGGTAATTCCTGTGGGGCTGCAGCATCCCAGCACAGTCACCAACATCTGCTACTGAGCCACGTTATCCTCATTTGTCAATGTGTTCAAACATTCCAGGCACCACCCCCCAAACAAGGAGCAGGGGAGGCAGAGACAAAGGGACTCTGTAACCCCTGCCAGGCACCCCAAATGGACACAGGGTGTCTCAGGGTAATACTGAGAGCTCTGACGGTGGCAGGAGATCCCAAGAGCAACCAGGAATCAGGGTAAAAAGGAATGGCAAAGCATGGAAGGGCAATACCTCGTGTGGAAGAGCCTGTGCAGGGCCCGCTGTGCCACCCTCTGCAGCTGCCGGGGGAGCACCAGTGACAGCACCTGAGGACATGAAGCTCTGTGTCACCCGGCCATCCCTGCTGCTCAGATTTCACTGCAAGTCCCTCACCCTCAGCTCTGGAGCTGCACAGCCCCAGCACTGGGCAGCAGGATCCTTTTCAGGGGCTTCCCACCACAGAATCAAAGGTGGGAGAGACCTTCATGCAGTCCAGCCATAACACAGAACCACAGAAGGCTGGACAAGGCTTCACATCCCTCGAGTCCCAGCTGTGACAGACCCCCACCTTGTCCCAGCCCAGAGCTCTGAGTGCCACCTGCAGTCCCTCCCTGGACACCCCCAGGGATGGGGACCCCAAACCTCCCGCGCCTGAGCCCCCTCTCCGTGAGGAGGGAAGAGAGGCAGGAATGCTGCCGGGGTTTTCCACAGGGGAATGAGGTTCCATGCCCCTGGGAGCCCCCCAGGCCCAAGCAAACGTATCTGGGTTAATGTGTGAAAGTTCTAAGGAGCTTAGGCTGGGTTAAGCAGGGGATAGAACTGAGCAATTCCCCAGCCACAATATGCTCCATCAGCCCATCTGACAGCCCAGGGGAGATAAGCGAAGGGATAAAGCTGGTGGCCCCCAGAAAAGAGAGGGGAAAAAAACCCCACGAGCCACCAAACCCCAAAAATCCAGTTTGTGCAGCCCCAGCCCGATGGCTCCGTGTCCAATTGTCCTTCCCAGCAGAGCCTGCCCTGCTGAAGGAGCTGCCCTGCTCAGGGAGGGGCTCCCTGGGGCAGGGACGAGCCCCAGGGATCGCTGCTCCGAGTGACAATCTCTACAGCAACACAGCAATTACAGAGGCTGTGCCTATTTCTAGCTGACACGGAGGCAAAAATATGCAGTGAGAGCTTCTTGCCTCAGATGTGAAAGACCAGCAGGCAACAAGCATATGTGGAGCTGAGAAGATGCTAAATATTTTGGTGTGAACTGCTGCGTCGCAGCTCGGCGGCTCGAGGGACGAGTGTTTGCAAAAATAAAGTTGTTTTTTTTCAAGTGTGCTGCAAGAGGAAACCAAACCCAGCAAAAAGAACCTGCAGGAAACCTCAGCACTCTGCAGGGTAGTGCCCAGTGCCCTGAGCTGCTCCCCCGTGGCCCCTCCAGGCCCTTCCCCACCCCCTGCCCCTCCTCTGGATGCTCTCTAAGGGCTTCAGACCCTGCTGATATTCTGGGGTTTGCATTGCATTGCTCCTTATCTTAAAATAATTTATCTTGTAATAATTTACCTTGTATTGTGACCTTGCACTCAGCATTGCCTGTATTTACATCCCAGGTAAAATATTGATTATATCCACATATATTTATTTCCCAGGCACAAGTATTGACTGGATTCCTCCAGACAGTGGCTTCATACCACAGCAGGAATTTAATTGCTGCTGTTTAAACACTTCATAGCAGCAGCTATTAAGATATGGGGGGAAAAAAAAATCAATTTCTCTGCACAGTGTGTCTATAAACCAAAAGGAAGTATAATACCAGTAATAAAAAAAAGTCTGTCTGAACTCCTGTGAACAGCATTAAACATAATTTACAATTTAAGTGATAATTCTCTCATCCTTTACCTTCCAGAAGTATTACAGCATTTTTTTCCCCTTTTCATTCAGACACAGCCCAACAGACAGAAAAACGAACTGGTGCTTTCCCAATTCCCCATTTTCACAATAAAATGCCAATTCTTAATCCTCTTTTAAAGCTCCTCATTCCTGCTCCTTTCTTAGAGAACAAGAGCCTGCAGCATTAGTACACACATTAAAGAGCTTTCCCTCAAATATCTGCCACCACTTATAATTCTCTCCCGATTTTAATCCTCAAACATCCCCCACCTTTTCCCTCTTGATGACAGCAGCAATTCCACAAAACTGCAAATTCCTGTTTAATTTTCCCAAGCTGTGTTGTGGTGTTAGTGAAGAGGGCACTCCTGGCGTGGTGAGAAGCTCCATCCTCACCCCAGGCAGGGACAGCAGCTGGCAGACCCAAGGGATTTGTACTGCCTGCTTGGGCAGGGTTTAACCATCTCAAAGGAAGTGCACGTCCACTTCTAGCTCACTTCCTTGAGAGCAGGCATTAAAACAGGGTGAAATATCTATATCTATATCTATATCTATATCTATATCTATATCTATATCTATATCTATATCTATATCTATATCTATATCATTGCCTGAGCCCGGGGATGGAGGCACCGAGGGCGCTGCTTGGTGCAGCTCTGAAACACAAACGCGCAATCCCCACATCCTTTAGGCTAGAAATTTCCATCCTTTCGGCTGGAAATGGCCTCCCAGCCCACGGAGCCCCGGCTGTGCCCATGCCCACCTTGTCCCCAGCCCAGAGCTCAGTGCCACCTCCAGGAATTCCTGGGACACTCCGGGGATGGGCACTGCAAACCCCCCTGGGCAGTTCCAGTGCCTGAGCAGCCTTCCCACGGGGAAATTCCTGCTGTGCCCGCCCTGCCCCTCCCCTGGCCCAGCCTGGGGCCGTTCCCTCTCCTCCTGTCCCGTTCCCTGGGATAAGACCCCAAATCCCCCCGGCTGTCCCCTCCGGGCAGGAGCTGCGCAGAGCCAGACATCCCTCCTGCTCCCCGTTTTCCTCCAGGCCGAGCCCCTCCCCAGCTCCCTCGGGACGTCCCCAGCCGCTCCCGGCCCCGCTCCCTTCCCTGGCCGCGCCGCAGCCCCGGGGCTCACCGGGGCCGGCCCCGAGCAGCCGCGGCCCGGCGGAAGCGGCGCCGCTCCGGCTCCCGGTGCTGCCAGCGCCCTCCGGCGCCCCGGCGGGAGCGGGGCACAGCCGCGGAGGCCGAGGGGGAACACAGCCGTGGAAACACCCGCGGAACGAGCCCGCAGCCCCCGCGGTGCCGCAACCCGCAGCCCCGGGCCGGTGATGCGCTGCCTCCGTCCCCTCGCTGTGCCATCCTCAGCAACCGCCAGAAATTCCCGCAGCCTGAGGGAGTTTTTGTTGGAGTCCCCAAAGCAGAATTCCCGTGCCTTCCCGGGGCTGGGAGCGCGATGTTCCCCGGTAGCCCCGGTCCCCCGGTCCCGCCGTGCCCAGGTGCGCGGCTCGCTGCCCCGGTGCCGGTCTCACCTGGGCCGGGCTGAGCTCCGCACCCTGAGCGCTCCCGGCTCAGCCCGGCCCTGCGGGGCTGACAGCTGAGACCGCCGGGGCCGATCGGGTTACGGGCCTGCCTGCCTGGAAGCTGCCAGAGAAACGCTCCGGGGGCGGCCGCGCCGCCATCCCGAGGCTCCCCAAGGCTCCCAAGGGCTGGGATGGTTTTCCCGGCTCCGGGGCCCGCTGTGCCGCTGGCTGCAGCTCGGACAGCACAGGTAAGCCTTCCAGGGATGCCCCAGGGGCTTCGGCCAAAGAGGAGAAGAATCGTCGTGGTGGGAGGCAGGAGAGGAGCTTGAGTTTCAGGAAGAGTCTTTTTTTTTTCCCTTGGTAAGCCCAGTGCACCAAACAGGACATGAGAGGGAGAGATGCAGCCAAAATATTCCCGGGGCACAGCTGTCTTGGAGTGCAGCCCAACACATTGGGTCCTGGTGGAGGATGGAGGGAAAAAACATTTCCCCCAACCTGCTGAGACAGCAGAATTTCTGCAGGTACAGAAACAGCTCGGCTCGGTCACTGGATGGCACAGAAGGGGCTGGGGTGGGCACCAGGGGGTTTATCTGTGGGGGACAGGCAGGCACAGGGTGTGTGCCATGGTCCCTGGGCACAGCCAGGCCAGGAGCTGCAGGGAGGGCACTGGGACTGGCACCGGCACTGGGGCTGGCACCAGCAGTGCCCACTCTGGGTGCCCTCACAGGCTGTGCTCAAGGACAAGCAGCCAGCAAAGAGCTGGGCAGAGGCTGAGACTCAGAGGGGTGAAGCTCGCTCAGTCCAAGCACTGAAAATCACTCAGAAAATCTCATCTGGCCAAAGCCTGGCAGAAGGTTTTAATGGAAGGCACATCCATTCACTCGGGATCCCAGAACTCAGCTCTTTCGAGGATTAACATTTGCTGTCAGTGTTTAAAGTGCTCAGGTCAGTTAAAAATGGAGGGAAAAGAGGCAATTACCTCACTGGCTGAACAACAACAACAACAAAAGGGAATTAATTGCAGTTTTAACTGTTTGGGCAGGGAATGGCAACAGAGATGCTGAGTTTGTAGGAGCTGTGGTGTCAGTGCCAGCTCAGGGGGACAGATGCCCCAAAGCCCCGGGATTACTGCTCAGAAGGAGATTTGTGCAGCAGAACCTGCCAGAAAGGAGCTGCAGGGGACAGGAGGAGCAGGAGGAGGAGGAAGGAGTGGGTTTCAATCCCCTGAGGCAGTGACATGACCACAGAGGTCCCGAGAAGGAGGAAAACCCCGCAGCTCTCCTTGCCCAGCCCCATGCCAGCTGTGCCAGCTGTGCCAGCTGTGCCAGCTGTCCTGGGAGGTTTCCCAGCCCATCCATCGCCCGGCAGCACGGCCGTGCCGGAGCCGAGGTGGGGGGGATCACGGCGTGGTCCAGGGGGAGATGCAGACCCCCCTCCCGCTGGAGCCGCGGCAGGACGTGTAATTCCCTGAAACCTCTTAGCGTGCTAAGCCCCGGCATCCCTCGGTGCCGGGGAAGCCGAGGAGAAAATCAGAAATAGCAGCTTAAGGGACAGTCGGTGACAGAGCGGGGGGCTCTGCGGCCAAACGCTCCCTGCTCCCCCTGCCGGGACCCCTCATCCCCTCAGGGAGCAGCCTGGGGACAGCTCTGCTCTCTGGGACAGCTCTGCTGGCTGGGACAGCTCTGCTCCCTGGGGACAGCTCTGCTCTCTGGGACAGCTCTGCTGGCTGGGACAGCTCTGCTCCCTGGGGACAGCTCTGCTCTCTGGGACAGCTCTGCTGGCTGGGACAGCTCTGCTCCCTGGGGACAGCTCTGCTCTCTGGGACAGCTCTGCTGGCTGGGACAGCTCTGCTCCCTGGGGACAGCTCTGCTCTCTGGGACAGCTCTGCTGGCTGGGACAGCTCTGCTCCCTGGGGACAGCTCTGCTCTCTGGGACAGCTCTGCTGGCTGGGACAGCTCTGCTCCCTGGGGACAGCTCTGCTGCCTGGGACAGCTCTGCTGGCTGGGGACAGCTCTCCTGCCTGGGACAGCTCTGCTCTCTGGGGACAGCTCTGCTCTCTGAGGACAGCTCTGCTCCCTGGGGACAGCTCTGCTCCCTGGGGACAGCTCTCCTGCCTGGGGACAGCTCTGCTCTCTGGGACAGCTCTGCTCCCTGGGGACAGCTCTGCTGCCTGGGACAGCTCTGCTCTCTGGGCACAGCTCTGCTCTCTGGGGACAGCTCTGCTCTCTGGGCACAGCTCTGCTCCCCGGGGACAGCTCTGCTCCCTGGGCACAGCTCTGCTCTCTGGGGACAGCTCTCCTGCCTGGGGACAGCTCTCCTCCCTGGGACAGCTCTGCTCTCTGAGGACAGCTCTGCTCCCTGGGCACAGCTCTGCTCTCTGGGGACAGCTCTCCTGCCTGGGGACAGCTCTCCTCCCTGGGACAGCTCTGCTCTCTGAGGACAGCTCTGCTCCCTGGGCACAGCTCTGCTCTCTGGGGACAGCTCTCCTGCCTGGGGACAGCTCTCCTCCCTGGGACAGCTCTGCTCTCTGAGGACAGCTCTGCTCCCTGGGCACAGCTCTGCTCTCTGGGGACAGCTCTCCTGCCTGGGGACAGCTCTCCTCCCTGGGACAGCTCTGCTCTCTGAGGACAGCTCTGCTCCCTGGGACAGCTCTGCTCCCTGGGGACAGCTCTGCTGCCTGGGGACAGCTCCCCTGGTGAGCCCCAAAGCCCTGGACCCCCAAATCCCTGCAGCACAGCAGGTGGGGGCTGCAGTCCCAGCCCCTCGGTGTGTCGCTCACCGTGCCGGGGGCCCGGCTGGCCCCGCTGTCCCCGGCGCTGGCCCCGCTCTCCGCACGGCGCTGTCGCTTCGCATTTGCCCTGCGGGAGGAGGATTTCCCTCCCCGGGCACTAATCTGTTTTCCCTCCTTGCAGCTCCTAATTCCCCCCAGATCTGCAGGCTCAGGTCAGCGCCAGGCTCAGCCAGGACGAGCACGGCAATTAGTCTGCCCGCGCCCCTCTGTGCGCTGGAAATAAAGTTAATTAGGAAAGGAAAAGGCCAGGATGACCTTAGCGCGTGTGTGGCGCTGAGCTGGAGCGCCTGGCAGGGCGCAGGCTCCCGTGAGAAGGCCGGGAAGGGGCAGCCACCCCCTGCCCGCCGTGTCCCGGTGCCACGGCAGCCGTTCCACCGGCCCGGAGCCACCCCCAGCCCCGGGGGCTGCAGGAGAGCGGGGAAGCCGGGAAGATGCTGCCTGGAGCCCTGCGGGTACACGGGAAGCGCTTCCCGGGGTGATGGAGGAGAGCCAGGAGAGCTCCGAGCGCTCGGTGGGGCAGAGCTGAGAGCCCCCGGCGTGCCCGATGGAATTCTGTAAGTGCCGAGGGCCGGGGAGGTGCAAGGGTGCAGACCCCGGGCTTCCCCCTGGGCCCGTCCCAGGGCTCGCTGGGCTCCTCCTGGGGCTGTCAGAATTCCCGCTGGGGCTGTCAGAATTCCCGCTGGGGCTGTCAGAACTCCTGCCCAGCAGCTCCGGGGATGGGGTTTGGTCACAGGTGGGTTCATCCCGCCGCTGCCAGGCTTGCCCCGAGCTCCACCCTCAGCTCTCCCCCTCTGAGTCTCAGTCTCTGGAAGATGATTTGCCCAGGTGAAATTGTCTGGGTTTCATTTTTGTAAGTGCTTAATGCGTGTTCAGTGACACGGATGGAGCAAACACGGGGGTAAAAAGCACCTTCACAGACAGCTGAGATCAAGCAGACAGGAAAACCAGATAGGAATTACTTCAGTGAGAGTCAGCGGGCAGTGCAGGCACTCACACATCGCACAGAACGCGAGGGTGGGGAGGGACCTGGCAGGGTCATCTGGGCAGCACAGCTCGGAGAGGGCACCCGAGGGCACCGTGCCCATCAGCCAGCCGGGATCACCTCGGGCAAAGGCGACTCCTGCAGATGTTCAGATGTGCCCGATGTCTCCTGGAGCATCCGTGGAGCCAGTCCAAACCCTTCACGGGAACCACAAACCAGCCCTGCTGAAAGCTTTCTCCTGCCATTTCGGGGTGCTGCCATCAGGGCAGCTCAGACACGGGACTGAGAGGGCACAGAAGTGATCCTGGGAGGGCTGAGAGGATCTGGCAAATTCGAATGGATTTACAGTAATTTTGTAGTGGCAAACTGCTAACATACTGAGCGTTGAGAAGGGCTGGTTAAAACCAAGCTGGTTTAAGTCCTTGGATCATCTATTCATTAATGTATGAGAAATTCATCATGTCTCTGACTTGCATCATGTCAGAGAAATGAACTAATCGTTTTGACAGGCAAATAAATACAAGAAGATGCCCAAGTGAGGCTCCTGGGGAAGGGGCAGAAGGGTGCCCCAGGTGAGACCAGGGCTGTGCCAGGTCACATCTGAGTGCCACGTGTAGCCCCAACCTTCCCAGCCAACGTGGCCTCCTCAGTGACACTGCCAGCAGCCAAAGACAGAGTAAAAGCTGATATTTTCAGGAGATCTAGAGGAAATTCAGGCTTTTGGGGCACGGTGAGGGGGACACAGCACACGCTGTAACCCCCCACCCCATGGGCCCCACACGGCACCTACAGGAACGACCCCAGAGGATGGAAAACCCATCCCAACTCCTCTCTTTCCCTCCTTCTTTTCCAGTCGCAGCCATGCCGGCAACCAACCAGGGCTGGCCCGAGTCCTTCGGGTTCCGGCTCGGCGGCTCGGGGCCGTGCTACATCCTCTGGGTGCAGGAGGGCAGCAGCGCGGCGCTGGCGGGGCTGCGCCCGGGGGACGAAGTGCTGGAGCTCGAGGGCCAGCCCGTGTCCTCGCTGGGCTGCCAGGCGCTGCTGGGGCTGGCCCGGCGCTGCCGCAACGTGCCCCCGAGCATCGGCGTGGTGTCGCGGCTGCAGCACGCCAGCATCCCCCCCGGGCCGCGGGGGGGCTTCGGCTTCGAGCTGGCGAGCGAGAGCCCCCCGCGCGTGGGCAGCGTGAGCCCCGAGTCGCCGGCCGCGGCCTGCGGGCTGCAGCCCGGGGATTACCTGCTGCAGGTGGACGGCAGCCCCGTGGCGCTGCCGGAGGCGGCGGCCGCGCTCGTGGGGTCGTGCCGAGGGAGGACCCTGCGCCTGGCACTGCTGCGGCCACAGCGCGGGGACACGGCTGGGGACACGGCTGGGGACACCGTCCATGACATCGCCCGGGACACCGCCTGTGACACCGCCCGGGACCCCGGGGCCAGCGGCGGCTCCGCCCGCCGGGACAGGAGGCAGAAGGCGCAGGAGTTCAGCAGGAAGGTGAGGCCGGGGTGTGCGCTGAGGGGTCGGGGCGCTGGGCACCCCCTGTGCCCAGCGGGGTTGGGGATTGTCGCCGCCAGCCTTGGCACGCTGCGGGGGAACGGTCCCGGCTTGGCCACGGGGCTTCGGTGCAGATCTGGGGCATGACAACCCGAGAGAAGAGTCTGGTATTGCCTGGGGGCTGCAAAGGGCTTGAGAGTCCCTGGGGATGACCCCAAGTTCTCGTTCCCTGGCACTGTGAGAGGTGGAGAGACCCACAGGGCAGGTCCTGCTCTGCTGCGTGCCTGGGTGTCCCTTCAAAGCCTGAGCCCGTCACCCCGCAGACATTTGAGTTCTTGTTTTGTTGCAAAAGGGAAAACATCAATGCGATTACATCTTCATTGTGCTCCTGAAAGCTTCCTAGTGGGTGTTTTACCAAACACCTCGCCTTGCGCTAATTATAAATTTGATCACAGTTGTTTTTTTTCAATCTTTCTCATTTCCATTTCAAAGTAGCCTTTTAAAATGCTGTTATGAAAATGCCCAGGCTGGTAGGGCTTCTTCTTTTTTTTTTTTTTTTTTTTTAATTCCGAGTTAATAAAGGAAGAAGACATCCATAAAGAGATTTGTGGGTATCAGGCGAATCCCCTCAGTCAGCTTCTCCATTAAAGATTCACGAATACCCACCGAGGTTTGGATTCATGGGCGTGGGAAACAGATACCTGCTGATTGCAGGAGATTAACGAGGAGGGAATGTGACTGTCTCTGAAGTCACATTAAGCGAGTAAAAGATTCCTGGACAATGACAGGACAGCAATTCTGTAGCGGTGCTGTGAGCAGCCCATGGGGACCGCTGTCCCCTCCCTCCCCAGCCCACGGAGCCCCCTGGGCCAGCTCCAGCCAGCGTGGGCACAGGCAGGAGCACAGCGCTGCTGGAGCTCAGCTCAGCTGGCAGAAGCCTCTCCAGAGGGAATTCACAGCGCAGATGTTTGGAGTGGCTTCAGTTTCTCTGTGCTGTAGAAAATGCTGAACCAGGGGGGGTTTTACCCCTCCTCTGCTCGGTGCTGTGAGCACCCGGGGGCTGCTGCCTGCCCAGGGTGAGGCTGGAGGGCTCAGGGGGTTTGTGTTTGACATTGCACTGCCCACGGGTCACCTTGGCCCTGCCTCCTTCGTCTGGGAGAGCCCCAGGCTGAATCGCCTGCCTGGCAGACAGTGGTGGCCCTGTCAGTGGCAGCGGGCAGGGCTGGGCCGTGTCCCGGTGTCCTGGGGAGCCAGGGAGGTGCTGACAGTCTCAGTTCCAGGGCAGTGCCTTCTCTTGCCCCCTGTGTGCTCAGGGGACCGCCTGAGGGCTGGCAGCACCCCTGTGGTGGTGGGGTCCCCATCGCTGTCGGTGTCCAAGGAGAGGCTGGACGTGGCACTCCGGGCTCTGGGCTGGCTGAGGAGGTGGGGACCGGGCTCAGCTGGGACTCGAGGACCTGGGAGGTCTCTTCCAGCTGAAACGATTTGTGATTCTGCGATTCCCACCCACCAAGCCCTGCAATCCCAGCCCAGGCAGAGATTTCACAGCATCCCTCTGGGATCCACCCCCCCAGGAGCACCACGGTGTGTCAGCGTGAGCTGGCCCTGGGGACTGTGAGCCCAGGGGACACTGCTGCGGCTGCCCCACATCGGGTAACCTTGAAGTGCTGCTGCTGCCGGGAGCCAGCAGCACCAGGGGGCTCTGCCGGGCTCCTGGTGCCGGTGTCAGCCTCCCTGGGGAGCTGCCAAGTGGGACAACACCTGGAGAAACGGCTCTTCCCCTTCCCCAGGCAGGTGATGCTCGCGGCTCCCTGGCAGTGCCAGCACGGGGGTGCACACAGAGCTCTGCCCACACCCCCAGTGCCCAGGGGAGGGTGAGGGGCTCCTCTCCCCTCCCTGCAGGCAAACCTGCTGGCAGCACAAAGAATCACCTTCAGGAAACCCCAGGTGCCGAGAGGTGTCACTGGGAGTTCTGCATCCCACCCCAGGTGAGGAACCAGCTCCCACTGCCAAGGGCAGGGGGCACCCCCCCAGAGTGGGAGGAGGTGAATAAGGAGGGTCCCATGAAGGGTAATTGGTAATCGATGGTAATTAACTAACACTCTGCCTGTCCCAGCTGGAGAGGAGGGGGCAGTGGTGGGGAGCTGTCAGTGCTGACCCAGGGCTGGCACTCACCCTCCTGTTCTGTGCCCCGGTGCCCAGGGCAGACAGAGCTGCCCAGAGGGATCAGGGAGTGAAGCACAAAGCACGAAGAGCTCCAAAAGCCCATTGCAGCTTCCTCTGCCAGCAGGCTCCAGCCTGATCCCACCCAGGCTGAGAGCCAGCAGAATTTTGGGAATTTGGGGTCACAGCGCTGCTCTGGTGGAGTGTTGGGACAGCCCAGCAGCTGCAGGGCCACGTGTGGGAGCAGAGCAGCATGTGATGGGCTGGCTCTGCAGTGTCCCTCTGTCCCTGCGTGGCTCCCTCTGCCCTGGCTGGGCAGGGAGTGGGACACAGGAGTGCCCTGCTCCACGGCCTCCTGCTCAGTGCCCCTCTCCTCCCCTGTGCCACACGCAGGTGGATGCCATCCTGGGGGAGCAGCCGGAGCTGAAGGAGAAGCTGTTCACCGTGCTGAAGCAGTACGCTGCCCAGAGGAGGGTGGAGAGCCTGGCCCATGCCCTGGGCATGCTGCTCACCCACGAGTCCCACCAGCACCTCATCCACAGCATCAGGTACAGGGGCACCTGACGCTGCCCTGTGCCACCAACCACGGCCTCCTGTGCCTGCTGCTGAGCAGGGCAGCTGGGAGGGTCCTGGGGAAGGGCTGGGATGGTCCTGGAGGAAGGGCTGGGAGGATCCTGCAGGGAAGGGCTGGGAGGGTCCTGCAGGGAAGGTTTGGAATGATCCTGCAGGGAAGGGCTGGGAGGGTCCTGAAGGGAAGGGATGGGATGATCCTGCAGGGAAGGGTTAGATGATCCTGGAGGAAGGGTTGGGATGATCCTGGAGGAAGGGTTGGGAGGATCCTGCAGGGAAGGGCTGGGAGGGTCCTGAAGGGAAGGGATGGGATGATCCTGCAGGGAAGGGTTGGGATGATCCTGCAGGGAAGGGTTGGGATGATCCTGCAGGGAAGGGCTGGATGATCCTGGAGGAAGGGTTGGGATGATCCTGCAGGGAAGGGCTGGGATGATCCTGCAGGGAAGGGTTAGATGATCCTGGAGGAAGGGTTGGGATGATCCTGCAGGGGAGGGTTGGGATGATCCTGCAGAGAAGGTTTGGGAGAATCCTGCAGGGAAGGGTTGGGATGGTCCTGAAGGGAAGGGATGGGATGGTCCTGCAGGGAAGGGTTGGGAGGATCCTGCAGGGAAAGTTTGGGAGAATCCTGCAGGGAAGGGTTGGGAGGATCCTGAAGGGAGGATGCCAACCAGCTTTCCAAGGGACAGCTGAGCCAAGCTTGGTGGCACTTAGCCCAGCACCCCTGTGCCCTCCTGCCCAGGGTGTGTGTGGGGGCCTGGTCCCACTGCTCTGCCTGCAGCAGGGGATGTGGCTCCCATTCTTGGCTCTGATGTGGAAGGGAGATGGGATTAGCCGCAGAGGCACTGGAGATTCTCCAGAAGCTTGGCCAGAAAATAATCTGAGTTCTGCAGGGTGAGAGCTGGTGTGGGTGAGGGCTTAGCCAGCGCTGCCAGCAGCTCTGGCAGGGGGGGCCTGGGGGTCTCTGCTGGGGCCAGGGGCTGCCCGGGGTGCCAGAGAGTGGCCGCTCACCCTGGGGTGCCCTGGCAATGCTCTGCTGGGGCTCAGGGTCCCTGGCACCTCTGGAGCCCCAGTGCCAGGGCAGCGAGGCCGGAGCTGGGCTGGAGCTGGTGCTGGCCCGGGACACGTGGTGGGATTACAGCCAGGCTGAGACCATGGCCATTAGGGAATCAGGTCTCCATCTGGCCTCGCTCCGGGCCCAGCTTTCCAATTGCTGCTTTAATCAGAGGAATTGTAAGATATTACAGTTTCCATAACAACGTCCCTGTGCGGGGTCTGCTCTGACCCACCGTGGTGGGGGGGTGGCTCGGGGCCCTGGCCATGCAGCGTCCCCCTGCCATGCTGTCACTGCTCTGGGTCCCCCAGAGCCCTGCCCACCTGGGGACAGCAGGCACAGAGCCCTGCAGGTGCAGGGGGCACAGTCAGCTGCCCGCAGTCACCTTGTCCACGTGCCCATGTCCAGCCTGTCCTGTGCCACTGAGCGTTCTGGAGGGACCCGACCTGCCAACAGCTGGGGCTGGGGGAGGGATGGATGGCACCGAGCCAGGCCTGAACCATCACTTCAAACTGAATCACAAAATAAGCCCCCAGCACTCACAATTCGGGAGAATTCTTTCCCCCAGCAAGATCCCTGAAAATGCCTCAAACGCCTCGGGTACCCCCCTGCCATCATCCCTGGGGAATTACACAGGATTACCTCCCCTCACACAGGGGATTTCAGTAAGTGTCCAAAGCTTCTTCCGGACCCAAGCCCCTCTGTGGGGGGCACAGCAGGGTCCCCCCGGGCTGTCCCTGTCCCAGCAATCCCTGTCAGTGAGCAGAGCGTGGCTGGACCCGGGGCTGCCACCCCGAGCTTGCCCCGTGCCCAGCCTGTGATGCCAGGGGCAGCAGCACCTTATGGCTCCCCAAAACAGGGTCAAACCCCCCGACTGCCCCCTGCCCCCGTGTGAAAGGTGAATGCCAGGGCTGGGCCAAGGGGCGCCGTGGATCTGGCAGCTAATCTGGCTTTAATGGAAATGAAATATTTAGCTCGGGCAAAAGATTTACCGTCTAATCTTAATGAAATGAAGGCAAGAGAATAAACAGAAGAGGTGCCTTGGAGAGCAGGTTTCCCAGCTGTGGGTGCTGGGGCAGTGCCAGGCGTGCTGCTGTGCCTGATCCCGGGGTCTCTCCCATGGCTTGGCTCCCCTGCCTTTGCTGTCCCTGCTTTTGCTGTCCCTGCTTTGCTGTCCCTGCAGGTGGTGAGCAGCTCCCAGGAGCTGTGAACTCTGGCTGCTGTGAACTCCTGGGTGACTCCAGCCGGTTCAGGCTGTCCCTGCCTGAGGAGGGGTCTGTGCCCTGGAGCAGCACCCGGGGCTGGGAGGGCAGGGGGTTCCTGCAGGGGCTGGCCCGGTTCCAGCGCTGCCTGGGGGTGGGTGCAGTGTGGGGGTGCTGCTGTGGCTGTCGTGCTGCCCTGGGGCACGGGGCAGCCACCCCGGGCACTGACGGGGGTGCAGTCTGGAGCCCTCAGGCCTGAGCCAGCGAGTGTCCTGGGGCTTGTCCTGTGGGATCACCCAGGGGGCACTTGGCACCTCGGGAGTGCCCACGGCGCATCCCTTGAGGCTGTGCCCAGCTCTGCTCTGTTTCCACCCGAGGCGGGGACAGCCCCGTGATCTCTTCCATGTGCTCACCGGGAGGAGAGGAGCCCTCGGAGGCGGGGATGAGCCTCTCCTCCCCAGGAGGGCCGTGCCACCGGCCGGGGCTGCGGTGGATGCCGGCTGAGGGGTCCCCGCCGTGCTCCCTGCCCCGGGCGGGCGGCGGAGCCCTGGCACGGGCAGGCGGTGGTGGCGGGCTGTGTGTGCCCGTGTGTGCCCTGGCACGCAGGGCCAGCCGCCGCTCCGTCCCCGTCTCCCACTGACCCTCGCGCCGGCCTGATTGGATCTTCCCTCTGCACCAGCTGTGTTTATTTCTGTGCTGTTGCTGCTGCCGGCTGTCCCCTGCTGTCCCCTCCCCTCTGTCCCCCCCTGCGAAGTGCTGCGGCTCAGCGGAGCCCCAGACCCCGGCTCCGCGCACGGATCCTCCCGGGGCTGCCGCCGCCCCTCCTCTGCCCTCCAGCCGGCCTTTCCCACTATTGGATTTTTTTTTCCACCCCTCTTTCTTTTTATCTCCAATGGATTTCATCCCATTTGCCCAGTATTAAGCTCCTGCAGATTTTAATTTGCTGACATTTTTTTCATCTGCTTGGCTGTGGAGAGCGGGGATAATGCACGTGCTGCGCGGGTCCTCCCCGCTCCCATCGCTGCCCATATGGCTGATGTGTGCGGGCAAAGTGCACAGCTCTAGCTCTGCCCGAGGATGCTGAGAGCCGGCTGCCGGGGGGGAAGATGAGCTGCCTCGGGTGAGTAACGAGCGCACCTTTCCCGGCACTGAGGGAAACGGGTTTAAATCACGTTCCTCCTGGAACGCGGCAGCCCCTGGCACCGCGGAAACGAGGTGTGCTGGAAGTTAATTAACTCTTAGCATCCTTATTGCCTCGGAGCTGCTCCGCGCGAGGGATCCGCCAGGCGGGGGAGGGAGGCTCTAATTTGGGTTATGCCATCACCTGCGACACCAGAGCGAGGGGCTTGTCCCCTCTGCCCCCCGCCGGGCCCCCGGGCCGGGGCCGGCCGGGATGGGTTATTTGGGGCCGGCCGGGATGGGTTATTTGGGGCCGACCGGGATGGGTTATTTGGGGCCGACCGCGGTCTCGGGGGTCCCGTCCCCCGGTGCTGCTCTGGTTTCTGAGCCGGTTCCAAAGCGGGCACAGCTCGGTGCCGGCTCCGTGCCCGGAGGTCTGCAGAGCCCCCCAGCCCGTCCCCGGGCTCTGGGGGCTGGAGTGACCCTGGGGGCCGGGCGGGACTCCCGGGGTGCCCTCGGTGCCAGCAGGGCTGTGCGCTGGCACACCCCCGCGTCCGGGCACCGTGTCCCTTTGCAGCGCGGGTTCTCCCGGTGGTGCCGTGCCCGGGATGCGCAGCCCCTGGCAGCGCCGTTCAGGTTAAAACCATCGGTTTGCGGTGGAACTGGGGGGAAATGTCTGGGTTTGCCAGCAGCGGGGACAGCAGCAGGGACACAGCCGGGGTCCGTGAGCCCGGCCTGGGCTGGGCTGGGCTGGGATGGGATGGGATGGGATGGGATGGGATGTGTGCGGTCCAGCCCCGCGGTCCGGCTGCATCCTCAGGAGAAGCTCCGGCTCCCTTCGGACTGTGAGGTGTTGTCTCGGCTCTCCTGTAGGTCGTGTTGTGCTTCAGGGCTGCGGGCAGGACCCTTTGGGGCAGTTTGTTCCCCACTGCTTTGGTTTGGCTCCGTTTGCTCCCGGGATAACGCCGAGGGGGCCGTGCTGGGCTGGGCCGGGCTGGGCCGAGCCCGCTCCCGGCTCTGATCGCCGGCGCAGCTGAAATCGCTGCCCCCCGGGGGCTCCCTCATGACGGGAGAAATTCTGCCGAGTCCGCGTTCAGAACGCTCCCAACACAATCTATTTGTCCCAGCTTGTTTTTCACGGCAATAAAACTGCCTGGCGTGCTGCTGTATTAAACTGCTCCAGCCATCTGTGACCGGCCCTGGATCAGAAATTCCATTTCAGCCGTTAGCATTTATATATTATGGATTGTGCTGCTTCCCTGCTTCTCAGCCCCCTCCACGGACCCACCCTCCGGGGCTGGGGGAGCTTCCCGGCTCTTTTGGGTGTGGATGGAACATGAGAGACCCCCGAGTCCCTGATGCTGACACGGACGCTGTCCTCCTGTCCATTCCCACTGAAAAACCACCTGGGTCACAGGATGCTAATGGAGGAAAAGCAGCTCTTGTTCGCTTCCATTAAAAAAAAAATCCCTAATCTGATGGCCCAGCATATGCTCAGCTGCCCAAAAAAAGGGGAATTAGGGCGGCAGGGAACAAAACGTGTCAGCAGTGAGACAATTGGGAGCGAGTTCCTTTTTTATTGGCGGAGTTCAAATAGGTCACGACCAAAATGCCTCGGTGGGAAATCTCCTGATGGGAGATTAAATTCCTTTGGCAAATCAAACTCCGGCTGGGATGCAGATGGGATCAGCCTGGCCCGCCTGCACCCTGCTGGAGCCACAACTTTGATTTTGGGAAGTGCTTACTTAGGATGAGTTTCCCAGTGTCCTAAAGGAAACAGGAAAAGCAGAGTGGAGCTGCAGGAAAAGCAGAGTGGAGCTGCAGGAAAAGCCTTTCTGGGGTCTCTTTGAAGGTCTCGGTGTCCCCAGAGCTGTGGGACCGCCTGTCCCTGCCAGGACAAGGACAAAGCCAGCAGGTCGTGGTGCACAGCGTGGTTTGGGCACAGGGACACTGGGTTTGGGACAGCCGAGGGCACCCTGGGGTGCTGCTGGGACCCAGCCAGGACGGGCTGTGGCCGCTCCGGGGCAGATGAATCCTCAGTGGGCAGGGAGGTGGCAGGAGGGTGACCCTCTCCCGAAGCTCCGGGGCGCTCTGGGCTGTCCCCGGGGGTGGCAGAGTGCCCGGGGAAGGGCTGAGGGGGCTCCAGCCCCGTGCTCAGCCTGCCTGCCCGCAGGAAAGGGGCTCTGGGCTGTCCCCGGGGGTGGCAGGGTGGCGGGGAAGGGCTGAGGGGGCTCCAGCCCCGTGCTCAGCCTGCCTGCCCGCAGGAAAGGCGCCTCCTGTCCTGGTGACGGGCGACAATGGTCCCACCTGCCCTGGGTGAGGGTTGTGGAGGCTCCAGCACGGGGAGAGCGGGGCTGGGCACAGCTCCCTGCTGCTGCTGCTGCGGGCTCAGCGAGCTCTGCTCCTGCACGAGGGGCTGGAGGCTCGGCAGCCCCGGGGCTGTGACCCTGTCCCACACACGGCTGGAGGAGGTTTGGGCATTTGGGGTTCATCAGCACAATTCCTGTTCTGGGGTAAAGCCTGCAGGAGTTTTCTCTCCTGGATTTTAGCATCTGGCTGGACCAGCAGAGCTCTTCAGGGCTGGCAGTGGTTTCCACAGCACAGTTAGATATAATCCAAGTGTAGCTCAGTGTTTTAATCCACTCTGGGACGTGTTTTTCTGCACAACTGCCAAACCCAAGGTCAGGTCTGTACTGGTTGTTTTGGGGCCAAACCGTACGTTTTTCATTTCTCCTTCCTTTGTTCCTACCTGGGGACTGTGTGTGATGTTGGCAGCTCGGGGAGCCTCACATCCTCCTCATCAAACACCAGCGATGAGCTTAAAGATGGCGTTATTGAAATCAGAGAAGGGGTTTCTCTTTTATTCCCACTGGGGTTACCCTGGGGTAAAGGATGCTCCGGTGAGGCTTTGGGCTGGGGACTCTGCTCCTGAGCCTGAGCCTGGCAGCTCCTGCCCAAAACCCCTGGTGCCGTTTGCCTTTAAGGTTCCTCACCCCTTCCTGCAGCACGTAATTTAAACACCAGCACTTTAGAAGGCAACTAATTAGCGGCAGGGAGGCATCCCCCCGGAGTTGGGCGCCGCGCCGTGCCCTCCTTTCCGAGGAGCTGGAAATCCCAGCGCCGGCAGTTTTTGGGGAGAGACGGCGGGGAGGGCACGGCTGGCACCGGAGCCGGGCACACGGCAGCGGGGGCTCTCGGCCGATGCTGCAGCGGCCCCGGGGGCTGCAGCGGGGCCGAGCCGGGCCGAGCCGGGCCGAGCCGGGCCGAGCCGGGCCGAGCCGGGCGCAGGTGCCGCTCCCCGGGCACGGCGGGGGGGCCACACGCGGGGCGGCACCGGCTGGCGTGCTGGGCGTGAGCCGAGCCTGGGGCTCAGCTGCATGAGCATCTGAGGCGTCTCCCCTTTGTTCCCGCCGCACCCCGACAAATGGGAAAGGACCGGAGTTTCTCCCGGCATTTTCGGTACGTGTCCCCGCTCCGCCGCCCCGCGGGTGCCCGCTCTGGCACAGCCTCGTGCCCCGCGGCCGTGCCTGGCATGGCTCGGCTGCCTCTGGGGGCTGGGGGGACCCCGCTGTGTCCCCGGGACCGCCGTGCCACCGCAGAGCCCTGGCACTGCCCCGGGGCAGCGGCGGCGGGGGGAGCCGGGCGAGGCTGGGGTGGGGGCGCTGGAAGAGCCGGGGCTGCTTCGACTGCAGCCTGCAGGACAGCCGGGGGGAGGACGAGGGGCTGGGGGTGTGATGGAGCCAGGCTCGCTGTCCCCTCGCTGCCCTGGCTGAGAAAACTCGGGGGAGCTTCACCCGCCCCGGCCAGGCTGGAGCCGGCCCTGCTGCCCTGCCAGGGACAGGTCCTGTCCTGCTGAGCCCCTGCAGGGGACAGGTCCTGTCCTGCTGAGCCCCTGCAGGGGACACGTCCTGTCCTGCTGAGCCCCTGCAGGGGACACGTCCTGTCCTGCTGAGCCCCTGCAGGGGACAGGTCCTGTCCTGCTGAGCCCCTGCAGGGGACACGTCCTGTCCCGCTGAGCCCCTGCAGGGGACACGTCCTGTCCTGCTGAGCCCCTGCCCTGCCGGGGACACGTCCTGTCCTGCTGAGCCCCTGCAGGGGACAGGTCCTGTCCTGCTGAGCCCCTGCAGGGGACAGGTCCTGTCCTGCTGAGCCCCTGCCCTGCAGGGGACGCGTCCTGTCCCGCTGAGCCCCATCCCGGCTGGCACTGTCCCGGGCAGCTCGGTGCCCTCGCAGGACGTGTGCGGGTGGCACAGGGGCTGGCTGGGGATGGGGGCAGCTCCCAGCCAGGGCGGGCTGCAGGAGCGGGACTGTGCCCAGCTGGCAGCTGTGGCATGGGAGTGTGGCACAGGCTGAGAGCAGCCCCGAGCAGGAGCCCAGGGCAGGGGACGGGCACAGTGGCACTCTGCCACCATCCTGGCCGGGCTGCTTTGGGGCTGGGGCGAAGGTGAAGCAGCCCTGGAGCATCTGGGACTTTTCCTGGCCTGGAAAATGCCTTGAATTCACATCCACGTCTTCGAGCAGACCAAGCTCTCCCGAATGAGTGCAGAAGCTGCTGCAGAGGAGGGCTGGTGCCCGGGGGCTCAGTGGCATCGGGCATGGCAGGGGGCACAGGGCTCAGGGATGGGGGTGCCTTTCCATCCCCTCTCCAACAGGGAACAGAGCTGGGGCTGACTCGGAGCACCCGAGGAGGAGGAGGAGGAAGCAGAAGGCACAGTGCCAGCACTGTGCCACCCTGCCCTGCTGGAGCTCCACAGGCAGGGTGGGCACATCCAGGCTCTGAATCCTGGTGGGGTTTGCTGGGAGAGGGAAACCCCAGCTGGGCACTGCTCCTTGGTGCCATGGCAGTGGACAGAGGCAGGTTTGTCCTGTGGCATGGCAGGACACTGCAGGAACAGCCTGGAAATGGTTTTTCCTGCTTTGGTGGCATTGTTTGTAGCAGTCGGTCGGGTCTCTCCTGTCTGGGCCCCGCTGTGCCCCAGCTCTGGGGCAGTGCCAGTGCCAGGTCCTGGGCTGGCTCTGGGGCCGAGCTGCTCAGCCCAGTGCTGAAGCAGAGGCTCGTGCAAAGTGGGACAGCTCTGCCGGAACAGGCAGATGTAATTTGGCCAATTAAATGGGGTTGTGCTCATTCTGCCTGTGAGGAACCCGGACTTCTCCCTGGTGGGTGCCCAGCCCGGGGCAGGGGCTTGGGGGACCCACATCTTCTGTGTCCTACAGGGTGAACTATTTATTAGCAAAATGTCACTCTTTTCTAGTTGCTGCTGTATCACAGATCACCTGTGAATCGCACCAATGTGTTACTTGTTTCAAATTGTCACCAGATGCTCTGCGTGAGCATCTGCCAGCCTGGGGTGGCTTGTGCTCTGCCTTCTCCTGCCCCAGCTCTTGTTTTGAGTTCTGCCTTCGCCTGGGGGAAGTACAGATGTCCTGCTCTGTAGGTTTGGGATTTGAAGCCTCTCCTCCTCTGTGTCCACCCAGGATTTTGTGTTCCCTTGGTGGAGCTGTGGGATCCCCTGCTTGCCCCGGCTGTGTCCCGCTGTCCCTTCCCCTCGGAGCAGCTTCTCGGGGCCCTGTGGCACCAGTTGGGCCCAGTTCCTGCTCTGGTGGGGCGCGTGTCCCCAGGCAGCCGGGGGGGACTCGCACCCCTCGGGCTGTGATGACACCGGCCGTGCTCTCACCCCGCGCCGTGCCGGGCGCGAACCAAGCCCCGGGATGGTTTTGTGTAAATGAGCTGCAGGAGTTGCTATAGAAACAGCCGGAGATGCCAGCTCCTCCCGAAACCCCAAAACGTGTGAGCAGAGGGCTGGGGAAGGTGAGCAGGTGGCGGGGTCTGGCTGCTGTGAGGCAGAAGGAAAAGGAAAAGGAAAATTGTCTGCCGGGGTTATGGAGCTCACCCGGCCCGGGTGGGAGCGGTGCCTCCTCCCTCCCTCCCTCCCCCCTGGGATCCTGCTGTGCTCTCCCTGTGCCTCCTCTGGGGGTCCTGGGGGTCCTTGCAGGGGCACAAAGGCAACCTGGCTGCTCATACCGAGCAGAGGGGAGGTGACCTGAAACAGAGCGAGTTCTGGGGGTGTCCCCTTGCCTGTGGCATCACCCTGCCCGTCCCTGCAGCACCCAAGGGACACGGGGCTCCTGCCTGGCTGTGCAGGGAGCTGGAATGTGGGGATGTTCATGGCTGGAGTATGGGGGCATGGAGATGGGGAGCAGCGTTTGGGGGGTACCAGAAGAAACAGGTCTGGAGGAGGGGTCCGACATCATTGCTCCAGCTGAGCTCTGCATGGCATGGGGGAAGAGATGCGGCTGGCGTCCCCCCGGTGTCCCCAGCACCCCCGGTGTCCCCGGCACCCCCGGTGTCCCCAGCACCCTCGGTGTCCCCAGCCCCGGCATTCTCAGCTCCCTGAGGCCTGAGGCCGAGCTCACACGCGGAGTTCTGCCCTTTCCCTCCCGGGGATGCCCGGATCCGCAGCTCCGTGCCACACCTGCCCGCGCCTCGCTCCTCACCCTGCTGCCTTGCCTCCCTCCCGCAGGATTTTCATCCCCAAGAAGCACCGGCAGCGCTTTGACGAGGTGGTGTCGCAGAGCCTCATCAGCAAGCTGTGCCGCTCCAGGAGCGAGCACGGCAGCCGCCTGCGCCGCAGCCGCAGCGAGGACCAGCAGGAGCGGCTGCTCGTGTCCACCCGCGCCAGCTCCGTGCCCCGCAGCCACGAGGAGCTCAGCAAGAGCCTCCGCAAGAGCGCCTCGCTCCTCAGCAGCAATGCGGCCTCGGGGGCGGCCCGCAGGTACCGCGCTGCCGGGGGAAAGGTGGGATGCTCGGTGTGCGGCTCTCCCGGGGTCGGCGTCAACGAAGATCTCCCCCCCTGGAAGGCTGGGCAGCTGTGTGCCCCTTGTCCCAGCTCCGGGGCACCCTCTGTGTGCCCTCAGCTCCGCGGGGCTGGCCGGAGGAGTTGGGGTGGCACTTGCAGGCTGAGAGGGGGTGTTTGCTGCTCGCTGGGTGGGATGCAGGCTGTGCCAGCGGGATTCGGGGTGCCAGGCTGTGCCAGCGGGATTCGGGGTACCCAGTTGTGCCAGCAGGATTAGGGGTACCAGGCTGTGCCAGCGGGATTCAGGATGCCCAGCTGTGCCAGCAGAATTCAGTGTACCCGGCTTTGCACTAGGATTTGGGGTGCCCAGCTGTGCCAGCAGGAATCAGGATGCCTGGTTGAGCCAGCAGGATTCAGGATGCCCAGCTGTGCCAGCAGGATTCGGGATACCCGGCTGTGCCAGCAGGATTTGGGGTGCCCGGCCGTGCCAGTGGGATTCGGGGTGCCAGGCTGTGCCAGCAGGACTCGGGGCACAGAGCAGGATGAAAGCAGCATGGAGCCAGGCTGGGGTTGGTCTCTTTTCCCAGGAGTGACAGGACGGGAGGAAATGGCCCCAAGCTGCAGCAGGGGAGGTTTGGTTTGGATGCCAGGGAAGGTTCCTGCCCAGCAGGGGCTGCGGGGCAGTGCCACCGGGCAGTGCCACCGGGCAGTGCCGATCCCCGTTCTGCCGGGGGGAGGACATGGTGCGTGTGGCACCGGGTGGCACTGGCGAGCAGCTGGTGCTGGCTGGCAGGTGGGGTTCATTACCTGAAAGGTCTTTTCCAGCCCCAGGAGCCCCTGGTTCGAGGCGGTGCCTGCCCTGCCCCAGCAGGGTCTGGGTGCCAGGCTGTGGGTGGAAGGCAGGGCAATCCCAGCCCGGGATTAACCCACTTCCCTGCCGGTGCCCGAGGGCGGGGAGCTCCCGGGCTGCCTGCAGAGAGCAGGGGGAGCCCGGCTCCAGCCACCCTCCTGCCGGGCTGCTCTGCCCTGTGCCTTGTCCAAAACGCACTCCCAGCCCGGTCCCCCTCCCTGCCAGCGCAGGATCCCGCTGGTTGGAAATGATCTCAGTGATGCTGCCGCCCCCAGCCCCCTGCAGGAGCAGCCCCCAGCTCCAATCAGCCTCCCAGCAGGGGGATTTCCTAATGCTCCTTCCAAAATTTCCTGCAGGAATTTAATTCCTCTCTCATCAGCCTACGAGACCTTTGCTCCCTGAACCACATTGTGTCTCTAATTCTCTAATAAAGAATCACAGACTGGTTTGGGTTGGAGGAGCCCTTAAAGATCATCCAATTCCAGCTCTCTGCCATGGGGGGTTGGAACCAGATGATTTTAAGCTTGTATACATACATTTATTCTTTAAATCTATATATTTATCCTACATTCCACTTTGAAACCACATCTGAAATGCTTTGGTATCAAAGGGACCTCGTGGGGACATTGGGGACTTGAACACTCAGGAGAAGCTGGGCTAACAGGGCTGTGGAGGGGCTGGGGAGGGAAAGCAGAGCTGGATCTTGTACTCTGACATCCCGTCTGCCTTTGTCACCCCAGGACTGTGCGAGTTTATAAAGGCAACAGGAGCTTCGGCTTCACGCTCCGCGGGCACGCCCCGGTGTGGATCGAGTCTGTCCTGCCAGGTAAGGGCACGGACCTGGGGCATCACAGACTCAGCTCTGCTCCGAGCTGCAAATGCTCAGTGCTGCTTGCTAGAAAAGAGCAAAAGGGACTTGCCCAAGGCTCGCTGATGGAGTTTTTCCAGTGGAATAAGGAGCATCTTTGGTACAGTTTAGCTTGGCTTTATCCACTCCTCGCTGGGAGAAGTGGGAGATGTGTTCAGTGACCAGCCTGAAACGCCACCAGTGCTCCCAGTGCGGGGTGGGAGCTCCCAGCCCACCCAGCTGGGCCAGGTGCAGGGGCTGGGGGTGTCCCCAGACCCCATCCCAGCCAGGGCTGCTGCAGCTGGCCCCCTTTGTGCCTGTAGGGAGCCCGGCAGAGAAGGCTGCCCTCAAAGCTGGAGACAGGATCCTGTTCCTCAACGGCCTGGACATGAGGTAGGAGCTGTGAGGGCACCCAGGGCAGGGTGGGCACACGCTGTGGGCACTCCTGGGCGAGGGGAATGGGAGCTGCAGGCCCTGGTCCCTGCCGTGCACAGGAGTGTGCCCTGAGGGGACAGCAGGGACAGCTCCTTTAGTGCTGCTGTACAGAACCTGCCTCTGAGAGGAGCATTTTCTCCACCCCTGCTCCTCCTCTGAGTTCTCTGTGCAGTTTATACAGCCTGGCTTCTCTGCAGCCTGCCCCCAGACCCCAACAGGCTCTCTGGGTTAATCTGTGCGTGTTAAACACCTGAGGTTCTGCTTTGGAGAGCAGCAGAGCCCCAGCCAGCCCAGGAATCACTCCCACAACGGGATCGTAACCTTAAAGCCAGGTGGGAATCCCATGTGTACCCAGAAGTTAATTCTGTGTGCTGTTTGTGGCACCAGGGGTACCTGTGCCCCTCAGCAGTGCTGTGTCCCCGGCTGTGCCTTTCTGCATAAAAACCAAGAGCAAAGGGCTAGAGGAGGCTGCAGGACAAGAGGGGGTGATGAATATTTAAAGTTAAGCTGATGCTGCTCTGTCAGGGCCAGGTTCTCACGTTTCAGCTGATCCAGCGAACTGTTGGCTGATGCAGCACTGCCAGAACAAAGAGACCGGCTTGAGGATTGTCCTCTGAGCCCTGGTTTTGGAAGGCATTGTCCCAGCCTGGCCCATGCCCTTCTCCAAGGGCATCCCAAGATTTTTTTCACCTACAAAATGACGCTTTATATTCACCTTGCATTTTCTTTCCATGCAGAATTGGGGCAGGCAAGGACAGACCTGCAGCACTGTGTTATTTAAAGGAAAAATCATTTTCTGGGTCTGGGTGTAGCTTAGCCCTGCCTTCCTGTGCCGTGGCACTCCTCAGGGCGGCCAGGGGCATTCCCTTGGTTATTCCTGGGTGCAGGGCCCAGCCTCTCCCTCGGGGGCTCCTCCTGAGCAGCACGGGTGGAGAGAACCCAGGGAATCTCAGAGTGTGTGCTCGCTGCTCGGGGCTGCAGCAGCTCTCAGGGCTCTCTGTGCCCGCAGGAACTGCTCCCACGACAAGGTGGTGTCGATGCTGCAGGGCAGCGGGGCCATGCCCACCTTGGTGGTGGAAGAGGGCATCGTCAGCTTCCCCAGCGGTAAGAGAGCAGGGGGAGGGTCTGCAGAGCCACGCCAGCCCCGGCCCCGCTGCAGGAGGGGAGTGCTGGGGTCTCTGGGATGAGCAGGTGAACACACAGCCTGGGGATGCTGCTCTGCCCAGGCACGTGGGCCTGGCTCTGTGGGATCAGGCTGGATCCCAGGCTTGGCTGCCCTCCAGGAGGGCTCATCCTGCTGCGTGGCTGTCCTCGGTGTCCCTTGTCCTTGCTGTGCAGCGTGTGCTGTCCTGTGTGCAGAAACCCAGCTCCAGGGTGCTGCACACACCCGTGGCTTGGGGCTGAGCTGGGCAGGATTGTTATCCTGCTGCAGGATCCGTGCCTGCTCAGGGCTCAGCGTGCCTGGGGCACTGCAGGGGGCCCGTGGAGGGCAGCATCCCCTGGGCACAGCGTGGTCCCCAGGAAATGCAGGCTGGGGGGTGCCTGTGCAGCCTGGGGTGACCCTGTGCAGCCTGGGGTTCCCTGTGCAGGGGTGACCCTGTGCTGCACGAGCTCACCTCAGTTCCCTGTGCAGCCTGGGGTGTCCCTGTGCAGCTCAGCGTGCCTGGGGCACTGCAGGGGGCCCGTGGAGGGCAGCATCCCCTGGGCACAGCGTGGTCCCCAGGAAATGCAGGCTGGGGGGTGTCCCTGTGCAGGCTGGGGGTCCCTGTGCAGGGGTGACCCTGTGCTGGGGGTGACCCCGGGGGTTCCCTGTGCAGCCTGGGGTGTCCCTGTGCAGCCTGGGGTGTCCCTGTGCAGGCTGGGATGTCCCTGTGCAGGCTGGGGTGACCCTGTGCTGTCCCTGTGCAGCCTGGGGTGTCCCTGTGCTGTTGGGGTGTCCCTGTGCAGCCTGGAGGGGTCCCCTGTGCAGGCTGGGGTGTCCCTGTGCAGCCTGGAGGGTCCCTGTGCAGCCTGAGGTGTCCCTGTGCTGTTGGGGTGCTGCTCCCCAGTGCCCAGAGCAGGGAGCCAGGGCCTGGCTGTCCCTCTGGAGCAGCACTGACTCCCCTCAGCCCCACGTCAGGAGCCCTGGGATGCCCCAGCTCGTTTGCAGGCGCACCCAGACCAACCCCAGCAGCCTGGAATGGTTTGGATTGCAGGGAACCTAAAGATGATCTCATTTCACCCCCCAGCCCGGGGCAGGGATACCTTCCACCAGACCAGGCTGTTCCCAACCCTTCCATCCCGACCCTCTCCAAAGCACACAGCCAGTGCCCTCCAGCTGCTCCCCTGCCCTCAAAGGAAGCCGAGGAAAGACAGAATGTTTATTTTGCAGACTCTGACTCTGCCGAGTGCCCGAGCAGCTCCTCGGCCCTCACCTCCCTGCAGTGGGTTGCAGAGATCCTCCCCTGTAGCATCAAGGTCCAGGGGAGGACGTTCCCGCAGCAGCTGGAGCACCTGCTGACCCCGCCCGAGCGTTTCTCCGTCTGCAGGGCCCTGGAGGGCTTCTTCCAGCACCGGTAACTCCTGCCAGCAGGGAGCCCTCCCTCGCCTGCCTGCAGCAGTGCCAGGGTCGCTGCCAGGCAGGGCACGGCTGGGCGGGCAGGCTGGCACAGCAGCTCTGTGCTCTCCAGCCTCCCCAGCCAGGGCTTCCCTGGCACGAGCTCACCTCAGCCCAGGTGTCCTGCCTGGGGACGGGCACATCCTTCAGGGTTTGGTTCTTTAGGTTAAGCTGGTCACCTCTTGTCCCCCAGTGCAGGCTGTCGTGCAGCCTGGCCGTCCCTGACACAGATCCTGTTCCCCTCTTTCAGTTCCATCCTTGTCTCCTCAGGACTCCCAGAATCCTGCCTGCAGCATTCCTTGGTGGCTGCACGGGAATGGCTGTGGTGGCAGAGCCCTGCTCCTGCCATGGGGCACATCCCCTGTCCTGTGCAGGGATCCAGCCACGTGCCCTGGCACACCCCAGATTCCAGCCCTGACCTCCTTTCCTGCCCTGGCTTGGGCTTCCAGCAGTGTCTTATCAGAGGCTGTCACAGAATCTTGGAATGATTTGGGTTAGAAGGGACCTTAAAGAACATCCTGTCCCACCCCTGCCATGGCAGGGACACTTCCACTGTCCCAGGCTGCTCCCAGCCCTGTCCAGCCTGGCCTGGGCACTGCCAGGGATCCAGGGGCAGCCCCAGCTGCTCTGGGCACCTGTGCCAGGGCAGAATTTCATCCTGTTGCAGGCTGTTCTATCCTCATGGGATGGGTGCTCAGCTGTTCCCAAGAGCCCTTTTCCCTGCTCTACACACCCAAATCAGATGGAGCCTTTGGCCCCAGGAGCTGCCAGGCCAGCCACGCTCCCTGCTGCATTTCTGCCTCAGCCAGAGGGACACGGTCCCTGCCCAGCCCTCACTGCCACTGTCCCTGCCCAGCCCTCACTGTCACTGTCGGAGAGAACCCAGGGAATCTCAGAGTGTGTGCTCGCTGCTGGGGGCTGCAGCAGCTCTCAGGGCTCTCTGTGCCCGCAGGAACTGCTCCCACGACAAGGTGGTGTCGATGCTGCAGGGCAGCGGGGCCATGCCCACCTTGGTGGTGGAAGAGGGCATCGTCAGCTTCCCCAGCGGTAAGAGAGCAGGGGGAGGGTCTGCAGAGCCACGCCAGCCCCGGCCCCGCTGCAGGAGGGGAGTGCTGGGGTCTCTGGGATGAGCAGGTGAACACACAGCCTGGGGATGCTGCTCTGCCCAGGCACGTGGGCCTGCCTCTGTGGGATCAGGCTGGATCCCAGGCTTGGCTGCCCTCCAGGAGGGCTCATCCTGCTGCGTGGCTGTCCTCGGTGTCCCTTGTCCTTGCTGTGCAGCGTGTGCTGTCCTGTGTGCAGAAACCCAGCTCCAGGGTGCTGCACACACCCGTGGCTCGGGGCTGAGCTGGGCAGGATTGTTATCCTGCTGCAGGATCCGTGCCTGCTCAGGGCTCAGCGTGCCTGGGGCACTGCAGGGGGCCCGTGGAGGGCAGCATCCCCTGGGCACAGCGTGGTCCCCAGGAAATGCAGGCTGGGGGGTGTCCCTGTGCAGGCTGGGGGTCCCTGTGCAGGGGTGACCCTGTGCTGGGGGTGACCCCGGGGGTTCCCTGTGCAGCCTGGGGTGTCCCTGTGCAGGCTGGGATGTCCCTGTGCAGGCTGGGGTGACCCTGTGCTGTCCCTGTGCAGCCTGGGGTGTCCCTGTGCAGGCTGGGATGTCCCTGTGCAGGCTGGGGTGACCCTGTGCTGTCCCTGTGCAGCCTGGGGTGTCCCTGTGCTGTTGGGGTGTCCCTGTGCAGCCTGGAGGGGTCCCCTGTGCAGGCTGGGGTGTCCCTGTGCAGCCTGGAGGGTCCCTGTGCAGGCTGGGGTGTCCCTGTGCTGTTGGGGTGCTGCTCCCCAGTGCCCAGAGCAGGGAGCCAGGGCCTGGCTGTCCCTCTGGAGCAGCACTGACTCCCCTCAGCCCCACGTCAGGAGCCCTGGGATGCCCCAGCTCGTTTGCAGGCGCACCCAGACCAACCCCAGCAGCCTGGAATGGTTTGGATTGCAGGGGACCTAAAGATGATCTCATTTCACCCCCCAGCCCGGGGCAGGGATACCTTCCACCAGACCAGGCTGTTCCAAACCCTTCCATCCCGACCCTCTCCAAAGCACACAGCCAGTGCCCTCCAGCTGCTCCCCTGCCCCCAAAGGAAGCCGAGGAAAGACAGAATGTTTATTTTGCAGACTCTGACTCTGCCGAGTGCCCGAGCAGCTCCTCGGCCCTCACCTCCCTGCAGTGGGTTGCAGAGATCCTCCCCTGTAGCATCAAGGTCCAGGGGAGGACGTTCCCGCAGCAGCTGGAGCACCTGCTGACCCCGCCCGAGCGTTTCTCCGTCTGCAGGGCCCTGGAGGGCTTCTTCCAGCACCGGTAACTCCTGCCAGCAGGGAGCCCTCCCTCGCCTGCCTGCAGCAGTGCCAGGGTCGCTGCCAGGCAGGGCACGGCTGGGCGGGCAGGCTGGCACAGCAGCTCTGTGCTCTCCAGCCTCCCCAGCCAGGGCTTCCCTGGCACGAGCTCACCTCAGCCCAGGTGTCCTGCCTGGGGACGGGCACATCCTTCAGGGTTTGGTTCTTTAGGTTAAGCTGGTCACCTCTTGTCCCCCAGTGCAGGCTGTCGTGCAGCCTGGCTGTCCCTGACACAGATCCTGTTCCCCTCTTTCAGTTCCATCCTTGTCTCCTCAGGACTCCCAGAATCCTGCCTGCAGCATTCCTTGGTGGCTGCACGGGAATGGCTGTGGTGGCAGAGCCCTGCTCCTGCCATGGGGCACATCCCCTGTCCTGTGCAGGGATCCAGCCACGTGCCCTGGCACACCCCAGATTCCAGCCCTGACCTCCTTTCCTGCCCTGGCTTGGGCTTCCAGCAGTGTCTTATCAGAGGCTGTCACAGAATCTTGGAATGATTTGGGTTAGAAGGGACCTTAAAGAACATCTTGTCCCACCCTGCCATGGCAGGGACACTTCCACTGTCCCAGGCTGCTCCCAGCCCTGTCCAGCCTGGCCTGGGCACTGCCAGGGATCCAGGGGCAGCCCCAGCTGCTCTGGGCACCTGTGCCAGGGCAGAATTTCATCCTGTTGCAGGCTGTTCTATCCTCATGGGATGGGTGCTCAGCTGTTCCCAAGAGCCCTTTTCCCTGCTCTACACACCCAAATCAGATGGAGCCTTTGGCCCCAGGAGCTGCCAGGCCAGCCACGCTCCCTGCTGCATTTCTGCCTCAGCCAGAGGGACACGGTCCCTGCCCAGCTCTCACTGTCACTGTCCCTGCCCAGCCCTCACTGTCACTGTCACTGCCAGCCCTCTCCTGTTTCACAGGAACATTGTCACTGTCCCTGCCCAGCTCAGGAGCATTGTCACTGTCCCTGCCCAGCCCTCACTGCCACTGTCCCTGCCCAGCCCTCACTGTCACTGTCCCTGCCCAGCTCTCATTGTCACTGTCCCTGCCCAGCCCACATTGTCACTGTCCCTGCCAGCCCTCTCCTGTTTTGCAGGAACATTGACACTCTCATTGTGGATGTGTACCCGGTGCTGGACACACCAGCCAAGCAAGTCCTCTGGCAGTTTATCTACCAGCTGCTGAGCTACGAGGAGCAGGAGCACTGCCAGCAAAAGCTGGACAGGTTTCTGGGGTGCAAGGCCTTGGCAGGTGAGAGGGAGGAGGGACACGCCGTGTCCTCACGGCTGTGGCAGCTCAGTCCCTTGTGCTGCTGTGCTTTTGGAGTGGAACTGCGTGGAGAGGAGAGATGGCACCTAAGGGTGGCTCTGGGAGCTTTTGGAAGCTGCTCAGGTGCTTAGAGGTGAGGGAGTCCAGGAAAGGAGCAGCTGCTGTGAGGGCAGCATTCGGATCAGAGAGGTGAAATAAGGGTGACACGGCGTCCCTTGGGATGCCACTGAAACAGCCCTGCTTGGAAGAGGTGCTGCTGTCCCAAAAAGCCACAAAGGCAGCTGGTGATCCCCTTGTCCCTGGTCCCCTGTCCCCTCACCATCACCCTCACCTGGTTCTGTGGCAGCACAAAGCCAGTGATGGACAGGGGAGAGCAGGTTTGAAGTGAAATGTCCCAATCTGTGTGTTTGTGCTCTTAATTGCTTCCAATTTCCCTATTCTCAGCTGCTCACACAGAAGTGTTCATTTTAGACTCAGCAAAGGTAAAAGGAGTGTTGTTTTGGAGGAACACAGTGGTTTGAGCAGAAAACAGAAGCAGCTCCAAGTCGTGGTGCAAACCTTCCCTGTCGTGCCCGGGATCCTGTGCTCCACTCTGGATCTGCTCACGGGATTTGCCCTCGGCCACCCCTGCTTTGTGTGTGCCGAATCACACTCGGCACGGGCTGTGGCTTCCCAGGAATCCATGCCCTTGTTTAGTGTAAAGTTCACAGCTGCATTCCAGCAATGCAGAGCAGGAATGCCCAGCTGGGGAAAGCGAAGCACAGGAGCAGATCTCCCCGTCCAGGCTGCTCCCCCAGCCCCAGCTGCTCCCTGGCTCCTCTCAGTGTCTCAGTGAGCGGGGCAGGCTCTGAGCATGAGCATTTTGGTTGTTCTGGTCTGTCCTGTGTCTGTGTCTGCGCCTGGCAGCAGCATGGCCAGAGATCTCCGGGTCTGGGCTGCTCCTTCCCCTGGGCTCCCAAACCCCGGTGATCCCCACGTCCCAGAGCTGGTCTGCAGGGTGCCTCAGGGATGGATGCTCCCTTCCTCCATCCTGCTCTGAGCTCCCGGAGCTGGGTGGACGGCTCCACATGGCTCCCTGATGGATGGACAGGGGCCACGTGCTCCTTCCAGGCAGCATTCCAGGCTGGCCCCTCTTCCTTCCTTCCCCTTGGGGGCAGGAAGGCTTTGCTGGGAGCAGCCCAGCTCAGGGCTGGGGTTCCATGCGGCCCATGAGCTGCTGGGTGGCAATCCTGCTGGGAAAAGGGCCTGGATGTGCTATCCCTGAGCATCCATCCCTCCCTGTGCCGGCAGCAGCACCTGGAGCCTGCTCAGCTGCCTGGGGAGGGCAGCTGCTGTGAGTCCTGGGGGGCCCTGGGGGGCTCTGGGGGGCTCTGGGGGCTGTGCAGGGTGGGGAGCCGTGGGGTCTGGCTGTGCCTCACAGAGGTGTTTCCCGTGCAGCCGAGGCAGAGGCTGAGGATCGGTACCGAGGCAGCTCCGTCCGCGGTGCCTCCCTGTGCCGGGGCAGCCTGCGGACCCCCCGGCCCGAGGAGGGGGCAGCAGGTGGGTGACGGGGCTGGGGCAGGGGGTGCTGCCTGCTGCGTCCTGCTCTGCCCCCAGCCAAATTCTGACCCATTCCTAAGCATGAACGATGGGGAAAGGTGGAGGGAGGTCAGATAGAGCCAGCAGCGAGGCATCGGCTGGAAATCCTTGGTTTGTGAAACAGAATCACAGAATTACAGAATCACAGAATCATTTAGGTTGCAAAACCCTCCAAGATCACTGAGTCCAACCTGTGACTGATCCCCACCTTGTCACCCGGCCCAGAGCACTGAGTGCCACACCTCCAGGGACAGCAATTCCATAGTGACAGAACCAATTCAGTAAGAGAGCACTTGATCATGAGGCTGAACGTTATTTCCAACCCCTTCCATTACTCAGATGTGAACTGGTCCTGCTGGTCTGGGCCCCCCCTTCTGGAAGGAAAATTTATGGCTTCCCTCTGAACATTCTCAGAATCCATCAAATTATCAGGGAGAACCACACTTGTGAAATCCCTGTGAGGAAGGAGATGATGGCTCAGGGCCGCTTTGAGACTCCTGACAAACCCCATTTGAGGCACCAGCCCTGCCTCCCTTCAGGGACACAGCCCCGCCTGTCCCATGGCTCCTGGCTGGTGCTGACGGGCCCTTGACCTGTGCTGCTGACCCCCTCAGCTGTCAGGGGGGTCTCAGACACTTCCCAGGGAAGATCCTCTGCCCTGGCTCTGAGGATTTCTCCTGCTGGGGATTAGAGCCCGCAGAGCAGCCGACAGCTGTGCGTGCTGGAGGGGAGCCCTGTCTGGGCAGATGTTGGCCAGCTGTGGGGAGCAGCCCTGTCCTCAGCTGCCCCGAGGGAGGAGTGGAGCAGCTTGGAACTGTCTGCTGACCTCAAACCCGCCCTGCACTGCTCCCTCAGGACCCCAGGGCCAGGAGCTGGGGCAGGGGGGTCACCCTGGGCCCCGTGTGGGTCAGGCTGGGGGCTGGGGGCACGGGCAGAGCAGTGACGGGTTTGTCTCTCCCTCCCACAGGCAGTGACACCGTGGAGGTCCCCGTTCGCCTCATCCCTGGAGAGAGGCAGGCTGGTGATGGCACGTCCCTCCCGGAGACACCCAACCCCAAAATGGTGTGTGGGGGCAGGGGACACCTCTGGCAGGGCTTCGGCCACGTGTGTGGGATGGCGTGTCCACGGGAAGGCAGTTTGGTTCCTTTACTGCGAGCACAGGGCAGCAGGAAAAAAGGAATGATGTGTCTGGGGGTGAACACCTGCAGGGGCTGACGGTGTCCCTGCCCCTCTCTGAGGTCACCTCCCTGGGCAATTAGTCACCTTTAATGAGGCTGATGTCTGCCAGTGTCTTCCTGCAGCCTCAGCAGTGAGAGGCTCTTGGGGGGCTCAGACAGGGCAGAGCAGCCTGGGCTGGGGTGAAGCCCCCCTTTAAAGAGTAAGAGATAAGTCAGAGAGTCCCAGACTGGTTTGGGTTGGAAGGACCTCAGCGCCCATCCAGTGCCACCCCTGCCATGGCAGGGACACCTCCCACTGTCCCAGGCTGCCCCAAGCCCTGTCCAGCCTGGCCTGGGCACTGCCAGGGATCCAGGGGCAGCCCCAGCTGCTCTGGGCAGCCTGGCCCGTGGGGACTGTCCTGTCCCCAGGGCAGGGCAGGTCTCTGGGGCAGGTCTGGGGCCCCACAGGCACAGCAGCAGCTCTGTCCTTCCCCAGATGTCGGCCGTGTACGCGGAGCTGGAGAACCGCCTGATCGGCGGCTTTGCGGGCAAGGTGGGCAACGCTGCCCTGCACAGGACATCGCCCCCCGCCCCCGAGCTGCCCCACGCTGCAGGTACCTCGGGGGGACCTCGGGGGGGGCGGGCAGTGCTGGCCAGGCTGGGGAGAGGGCAGCGTCCCCTGGGTGCCGTTTCACGAGGCAGCAGCCGTGGTCCCGCGGGCAGGGCTGGCTCTGCCGGGGGGCAGCGGCGTGTGTGGGATGGTTCATCCCCTGGGATCACAGCCTGGCAGCTCCCTGCTCCTCTCCTCTCCTCGGGCTGCTGCCTGCCGTGCCCGGGGGCTGCAGGACACCCAGGAACCCCTCGGCTGTGCCCCGCAGGTGGCCGCAAGCCGGGGCTGGCGTGGCCGAGCGAGCTGGCGAGCCAGCCCTGCTACTACCGGCTGCACAGCAGCGTGGCCTCGCCGTGCAGCACCGAGTCCAACCCCTACGTCAGCCTGGACAGCAGCCCGGCCCCGTCGCCCAAGCACCGCCAGTACTCGCCGCTGTCGCGGCGCAAGAAGCTCTTCACCTTCTCCCGGCCCCCGCGCAGCCGCGACACCGACCGCTTCCTGGACGCCCTCAGCGAGCAGCTGGGACACCGCGTCACCATCGTGGATGACTTCCTCACCCCCGAGAACGACTACGAGGAGGTGAGCGTGGCACAGGCTGCTCAGAGCAGGAGCTGCAGCGCCTGGGCATGGAGCCGCCCATGTGAGGGCTGAGGGGACACGTCCTGGGCTCTGCAGGTGGCAGGGAGGGGCAGGAGACCCCAGGGTGGGATGGATGGATGGATGGATGATGGATGATGGATGGATGGATGGAGGATGGATGGATCGATGGATGGATGGATGATGGATGGATGATGGATGGATGGAGGATGGATGGATCGATGGATGGATGGATGATGGATGGATGATGGATGGATGGAGGATGGATGGATCGATGGATGGATGGATGATGGATGGATGATGGATGGATGGAGGATGGATGGATCGATGGATGGATGGATGATGGATGGATGATGGATGGATGGAGGATGGATGGATCGATGGATGGATGGATGATGGATGGATGATGGATGGATGGAGGATGGATGGATCGATGGATGGATGGATGATGGATGGATGATGGATGGATGGAGGATGGATGGATCGATGGATGGATGGATGATGGATGGATGATGGATGGATGGAGGATGGATGGATCGATGGATGGATGGATGATGGATGGATGATGGATGGATGGAGGATGGATGGATCGATGGATGGATGGATGATGGATGGATGATGGATGGATGGAGGATGGATGGATCGATGGATGGATGGATGATGGATGGATGATGGATGGATGGAGGATGGATGGATCGATGGATGGATGGATGATGGATGGATGATGGATGGATGGAGGATGGATGGATCGATGGATGGATGGATGATGGATGGATGATGGATGGATGGAGGATGGATGGATCGATGGATGGATGGATGATGGATGGATGATGGATGGATGGAGGATGGATGGATCGATGGATGGATGGATGATGGATGGATGATGGATGGATGGAGGATGGATGGATCGATGGATGGATGGATGATGGATGGATGATGGATGGATGGAGGATGGATGGATCGATGGATGGATGGATGATGGATGGATGATGGATGGATGGAGGATGGATGGATCGATGGATGGATGGATGATGGATGGATGATGGATGGATGGAGGATGGATGGATCGATGGATGGATGGATGATGGATGGATGATGGATGGATGGAGGATGGATGGATCGATGGATGGATGGATGATGGATGGATGATGGATGGATGGAGGATGGATGGATCGATGGATGGATGGATGATGGATGGATGATGGATGGATGGAGGATGGATGGATCGATGGATGGATGGATGATGGATGGATGATGGATGGATGGAGGATGGATGGATCGATGGATGGATGGATGATGGATGGATGATGGATGGATGGAGGATGGATGGATCGATGGATGGATGGATGATGGATGGATGATGGATGGATGGAGGATGGATGGATCGATGGATGGATGGATGATGGATGGATGATGGATGGATGGAGGATGGATGGATCGATGGATGGATGGATGATGGATGGATGATGGATGGATGGAGGATGGATGGATGGATGGATGGATGGAGGATGTGGGTGAGGATGTGGAAGATGGTGGGTGGAGGATGAGGACCATGGAGGATGTGGGAGAAGGATGGAGGATGGCAGATGGAGGATGTGGATGGAGGATGAGGAGCATTGTGGATGGTGGATGGAGGACGAGGAGCATGGAGGATGTGGGTGGAGGACCAGGTGCCACCTTCAGCCCCTGCTGTGTGCCCACCCAGATGAGTTTCCAGGACGACCAGGGCAGCTACGTCACCAACGATGTCAGCAGCAGCGAGTACATCAGCAGCAGCGACGAGGGCAGCTCCCTGACCTACTCCACGCTCTCGGACCACATCCCCCCGCCCCCGCTCAGCCCCCCGTGCCCTGCGCCCCCCCCCTGCACCGGGGGCTGCTGCACCGCCGCAGCGACTGCAACCACATGAGCGTCAAGAGGCTGCGCTGGGAGCAGGTGGAGAACTCGGAGGGCACCATCTGGGGGCAGGTATGGCCCGGGAGAGGGGATGGGCGAGGCACGGGGGTCCCGGCCGTGCCGGGGGAGCAGGCTGTGCGAGGCTCTGCAGGGCTCCCGCTCGTCCTTCGGGGCTTTGCACCAAACCGCCGGGCTGGGAGAGGCCCTGGGAAGCCTCTGAGGTGCCGGATTTGTCTGCAGCATCCTGGGAGCACTTCCCTGCCCTCGGGGGTTGCCTCCAGATGTGTTCTGCAGCTGGGGGGTTCAGTGGGAAAGATGAGGATGGTTGGAGCAGTGATGGGAGAGCCCTGGGAGGGCAGGACAGTGGAGGGGACAGCAGAGGTGAGGGGTGAGACAAGACACGACAATCCCCTGGCATGGTGGCCGTGAAGTGGTGCAGGACTCAGGTGGATCCATCCCTCCCCGGGGTTTAGCTCCAGCCTCGGCTCTCTCCTGTGCCCTGTGCCCTGAGCAGCCAGAGGGGGGCCCTGGGATCATCTTCCCGTCCCACAGGCACTGAAACCCTGCAGGTCCCTCTGCCCAGCGCTCCAGAAAGGAAGATCCTTCTTCCCAGTGATTTTTCTGCGTGCAGAAAAATCCCTGAAGCTCCTGGAATTCCCGTTTTATCCTGCAGTGTGGGATCATGCCCAAGGAGCAATGGAGACAGAGGTGCTCTGTAGGATTTCAGCTGTGTCAGGAGCTGAGGGAATCTGCAGGGCAGTGGCTGAGCCTCCTGTCACAGGAGGGTGCCACCAGCCTGTCCTGCCTGCTGGGACAGGGAATGTGCCCGCAGAGGTGGCACTGTCGCGCTGTCCCTGAGCCAGCACAGCTCCTGACTCCTCCCCACAGCTCGGGGAAGACTCGGATTACGACAAGCTGAGTGATATGGTCAAATACCTCGACCTGGAGCTGCACTTTGGGACTCAGAAGCCCACGAGTAAGTACTGAGCCCCAGAACAGGTCCTGGTGCCAGCTGGGGGGAACTGGGAGGGACTGGGAGGGACTGGGAGGAGCTGGGGCTGCACGGGCAGCAAGGCAGTGCCTGTCTGTGACATCACCCTGGCACGAATTTGTTCATCCTCAGGGTTTTGTGGCTGGTGGCACAGAGGGTCATTAAGGTGGAGATGGTTTCATTATCTCCCTTAATGATCTCTGCTGCCATGGTCTATTTTCTCTCCATTTCACTGGGCACTGAAACCCGGCTGGAGGCTTTCACCAGTTGCAATTCCACCAATTCAAGCTTGAGAACCCTGGGAATGCTGAAAAAGCCGTGGAAACATTCCTGTGTCCAAAGAAATCCTCACCAGCAGCACTTTTCTCTTTATGAAACAATCAGTGGTGTCCCAGGAGCTGTGGTGGCTCTGGAGCTCTGTGCCCGTGCAGCTCCCATCACTCTTCACTGGGGTCCCCCACGGCCCCACTGGGACCCCCACCAGAGGAGTTTTTGGGTGCCCCAGGCCCAGAGCAGGCTCCAGGCTGGGCTGATCACTGGTGGTGCTGTGGGAACACTCCAGCACGGCTGCTGGGATGGCTGAGCTCTGCTGCAGGGAGCCCAGCTGGCAGAGGGTGAAAGGGACCCATCTCAGGGGACACTGAGACGTTTGTGGGATGTTTCTGAGCAGTCTGGGGTTTCTGTGTGCTTCACCTCTTGTTTTACCTCTTTCAGCTCCAGCTGAGTCCTCCATTGGGGAGATCTTTGAATTGCAGAATTCAAGGATTCCTGGAGCCATTGCAGTGTGCCGAGCATCCGTCCTGCTCCCTCTCATTCGTGGTTTCACTGTTTGCAGCACAGATTTCTTCCCGCTGGAGCCGCCTGAGCCTGTCCTTACCCGTGATTAAATCTTTCAGTTTCTCTTCCAGAGCCAACCCTCATGCCTGAAAACTTTAAAAAGAAAGACGTGGTTGAAATTTTGTCCCACAAAAAGGCCTACAACACATGTAAGTGAAGTCCAGGGTGAAGGTAGCCCCGAAAGGGGCCCACAGGTGGGATGTAGAGAACTGGAAAGGTAAAGGGAAGGAACACGAGCTCCATGGCATGGGCACAGCTCAGCTGGGATGGACTCTTCTGCAGCCCAGACTGCGTTCAGCCTGGCCAGGGGCAGGAGGGAACCTTTGGGGGAGGATGGGGATGGGATGGGATGGGATGGGATGGGATGGGATGGGATGGGATGGGATGTGCCTGGTGGTCCTGCAGAGCCCGCACGGAACTGGGGCAGTGCAGGGGCAGTGCTGCCTCTCCAGGGTGTTCCTGGTCCGGAGGAGGCTGGGAGGGCTCGGTGGGACCCTGCCAGGGACCCCCGGGCTCCGGGGGAGGCGGGAGCAGGGCCGGTGCCAGGGCAGCCCAGCCCGGGGTGTGGGTGCGGTGCACACCGTGCCCTGGGGGGCTGTGGGACCGGAGCCACCCGTGGGGCCCCACGCAGCCCCCGCAGGGTCCCAGCGAGGGGAAAACCCTCCCTGTGCCAGGGCTGTGCCTGCCTGGGCACGGGCACGGGGCTCAGGCCCGGGGGAGGGGGATGTCTCGGTCCTGTCCCGGTCCTGTCCCAGCACTGCGGGGCAGTGTGTCCCGGTCCTGTCCCGGTCCTGTTCCGGCACTGCGGGGCAGTGTGTCCCGGTCCTGTCCCGGTCCTGTTCCGGCACTGCGGGCAGTGTGTCCCCAGCACTGCCACCCCCGGGGTCCCCTCCCTCCCTCCCCCCGAGTGACAGTGTGTGCCTCCCTCCGCAGCCATCCTGATCGCCCACCTGAAGCTGTCGCACGTGGAGCTGCGGCAGATCCTGATGACGATGGAGACGGATCGCCTGGAGCCGTCCCACATCAAGCAGCTCCTGCTCTACGCCCCGGACGGGGACGAGGTGCAGCGCTTCCAGAGCTACACGGAGAGCCCCGGCAAGCTGAGCGAGCCCGACCAGTTCGTGCTGCAGGTACGGCCAGGGCTGGGCTCCGGGGCTGTGTGTGCCCGGCCTGGGGGGGCACACTCACCTGGGCACACTCACCTGGGCTCTGTGTGCCCATCCTGGAGCAGCACACTCACACCGGGGCACACTCACCTGGGCACACTCACCTGGGCACACTCACACCTGGGCACACTCACCTGGGGCTGGTGGCACTGGGACCTGGGGGTGAGGCTCAGTTGATGCCTGCAGGGTCTGGCAGCCCCCAGGGGCAGGTTCAGAGCTGCAGCGCCACCACCACGTTTGCTCCCTGCTGACAGTGACTTTGCCCAGCTCTGATTCATCTTCCATTGAGGAAGCCACCCGTGGATGGTGGTGTGGGAGTGCCCATCCCGTGGCAGCACACCTGCCCAGCCTTCCCGGGCCAGCTGCAGCTCCTGCTCTCCCCGTGCCAGCTGCAGCTCCTGTATTCCCCGTGCCAGCTGCAGCTCCTGCTCCGGGCACAGGGCAGCAGGAGAGCCCTGAGAGGGGGCTGTGGCACTGCAGAGGGTGACCCTGCCCTGCCCGTGCCAGCTGCAGCTCCTGCATTCCCCGTGCCACCTGCAGCTCCTGTATTCCCTGTGCCACCTGCAGCTCCAGCCCTCCCCGTGCCACCTGCAGCTCCAGCCCTCCCCGTGCCACCTGCAGCTCCTGTATTCCCTGTGCCACCTGCAGCTCCAGCCCTCCCCGTGCCACCTGCAGCTCCAGCCCTCCCCGTGCCACCTGCAGCTCCTGTATTCTCTGTGCCACCTGCAGCTCCTGCTCTCCCCGTGCCAGCTGCAGCTCCTGCTCTGGGCACAGGGCAGCAGGAGAGCCCTGAGAGGGGGCTGTGGCACTGCAGAGGGTGACCCTGCCCTGCCCTGCCCTGCCCAGATGCTGTCGGTGCCCGAGTACAAGATCCGCCTGCGCAGCCTGCACTTCAAGACCACCCTGCAGGAGAAGACCGAGGAGATCAAAGCCAGCTACGAGTGCATCTGCAAGGCCTCCCTGGAGCTGAAGAGCAGCAAGAAGCTGGCGAAGATCCTGGAGGTGAGAGCGCTGCCTCCCCCTTGGGGCAGCCACCTCTGGCCCTCAGCATTGCCCCGGAGCCCCCAGGGCTGTGTCCCACTGCTGGGCAGCATCCCAGGCTGCCCCCTGTGCCCCCCACACTGCCCTTCCCCCTGAGGAGCTGGTTTTGGGGTCCTGGGATGGGCTGTACCCGGCAGAGAGAGAACAAATTCCACTGCAGGTCCTCCCTGACCCTCCTCAGATGAGCTGTCCCAAATTGCTGTTAATTCATTTGGTTTTACCTTAAAAAAAAAGCAGGTGGGACAAATGAAGTCGCTGTGTGCTCAGAGGTATTCGCAGAGGAGGGATGAAGCTCCTCAGTAGCTCCTGGCCAGTGACCCCTCACCAGATCCTTAAATCCATGGGGACAGTGTTTGCCTGCACATTTTTGGGTGGGGAACAGAAATTCTGGGAGCTGGGAGGACACAGGGGCAGGAGCCCACAGCCCCTCATCCCCTGCTCTCCTCTTTGCAGTTCGTGCTGGCCATGGGCAACTACCTGAACAACGGGCAGCCCAAGACCAGCAAAACGACAGGATTCAAAATCAACTTCCTGACCGAGGTGAGGAGAGCCAGGCTCGCCCCCGGGGCAGGGACACCGAGCCTGGGAGCCAAGCTGCTCTCAAGGAGACCCCGGGGGCCAGGAGGGGCTGGGTTGATCCGCAGGGGCGCTTCAGAGGGGCTCTGCTGTGGCTCTGGTGGGAATCCTGCCCACCAGGGCTGGCAGGGGCCAGGGGTGGTGGCAGAGGTCCTCACCCCACAGGGTGACAGGGGACAGCCCTGCCCTGCAGGAGGGGCACCCCCACAGCCCCCAGCTGGCACAGGTGCTGTGCAAGCATTGAATGTGCACTCTAACCACCAACCCTGGGCACGTGGGGCTGAGGCAGGAGCAGCCCACCCCCCGAGTGTGTGTGTGACCCCCTCCCTCCGCGGGGGGCTCCTCACTCGTTGTGCTTTGCTGCAGCTGAACACCACCAAGACCGTCGATGGGAAATCCACCTTCCTGCACATCCTCGCCAAATCCCTCAGCCAACACTTCCCAGAGCTCCTGGGCTTCGCCAAGGACCTCCCCACGGTGCCGCTGGCTGCCAAAGGTAAAGCACAGACGAGCTGTGTGCCCTCGGGGCTTGCTGTGAGCCTGGGCTCAGCCCGGAGCTGCACAGCCCTGGCAGGAGCAGGACGGGAGCCTGGGCAGGTGAGGAAGGGCCCTGAGCAGGGGGAGAGCCTCAGGGAGGGCTGAGCTCAGTGACAGGGAGGTGACAGCCATCCCACACTGCTGCAGGTGGCAGTGCCTGGGCAAGGCTCTGCCCCTGCCCTGCTGCTCCCTTCTGCCTCAGAACCCTGATCCCAGGCTCGGAGCATCTTGGAAGTGCAGGGGAGCAGAGGGAATGGAAGAGCCAGGAGATGGCGTGGCCCGGGCTCTGTGCAGGTGTGCAGGTGTGCTGCAGCTGCCAGCACTGCAGTGCCACTGTCCCCGGTGCTGCAGAGCCCCGGGGAGGGTCTCAGCTCAGTCACAGCTGGCTCACCTTGAACGAGGAGCTCAGTTTTCTGCAATGAAAATCCATCACACACACACTCTGGAGCTGTTCTGCCTGCTCCGGAGCTGGGGTGGCACAGGAGGCTGGCAGGGGTGACACGGGAGCAGGGCAGTGCCCGTCCCTGAGCTGGCACTGCTGCGGAGCCCTGGGGCAGCTCTGGGCCCCCACGACAGGGACACGAGGGGCTGGAGCGTGGCCAGGGCAGGGAACAGGGCTGGGAAGGGGCTGAGCCCCAGGAGGGGCTGAGGGAGCTGGGGAGGGGCTGGAGAATTCCCGAGGGAGCTGGGGAGGGGCTCAGCCTGGAGAAAAGGGGGATCAGGGGGAATTTCAGTCTCTGCACAGCTCCTGACAGGAGGGGACAGCCGGGGGGATTTGGGATCTTATCCCAGGGAACAGAGACAGGAGCAGAGGGAACGGCCCCAGGCTGGGCCAGGGCAGCTCAGGGTGGATTTTGGGAGAATTTCCTCCTGGAGGGGCTGCCCAGCCCTGGCCCAGCTGCCCAGGGCAGGGTGGAGTCCCCATCCCTGAGGGGTTTAACAGCCCTGGGCATGTGGCACCTGGGGACAGTGCTTGGGTGGCTTTGGCAGAGCAGGGGAACAGCTGGGCTGGGTGACCTTGCAGGGCTTTCCCAACCTAAATGATTCCCTGATTGAGATTCTAAATGATGCAGTGAATTTGTGCAAAGCACGAGCTGCATCCCCCTTGCCCATCCTGCTGTGTGTGAGCAATTCCCTTGGGAATTGGTGCTGCCCTGGGTAAATAAAGGAGCAAACTCGCCTGGAGCTGTGGATTCCACTGGAGGAAGGTCTGCCCCTGGAGCTTTCCCAGCTGGAATTTCTATCTGGCCTAACTCTAAATAACCCTTCCCTGCCTGGAGGCCCCCAGCTGCCCAAACTCCTGCCACTGTGTGCCCTTGTCCTGATGTCTGTGTCCCTCCTGTGTCACTGTAGGACACGAAACAACACGAGGTGGACACGCTGCTGCTCTCAAGGCAGGAAAAAGGAAGTTTATTTTCTGACTCCAACAGTTATAGGTTTCCAAAGGTGGCAGTGGATTGCAGGGTGGCAGTGCCACCTCTCCAGTGACGCTGGACAAACCAACAGCCCATCAAATTTCTCCTCTTCCATGAAAAGATGCAAAACATTGAGTTGTTTACAGAAAGTTTGCTACAAAAATGCAAACATCAGGAAGCTTAGAAAAGCTTAGAAGATCAAAGCAGCACTCCCGGGTGTCCATCCCACGAGCCCTGTGTGCCCCCTGTCCCTGGCATGCTTTGGCACTCCTGGCTGCTCTGGTGTGAGCCCTGGTGCCCTGCTGGACACCTCTGGCTGCCCACCCTGCCTGGACAGCAGGACGTGCTGCAGACAGACAACCAACAGCCCATCAAATTTCTCCTCTTCCATGAAAAGATGCAAAACATTGAGTTGTTTACAGAAAGTTTGCTACAAAAATGCAAACATCAGGAAGCTTAGAAGATCAAAGCAGCACTCCCGGGTGTCCATCCCACGAGCCCTGTGTGCCCCCTGTCCCTGGCATGCTTTGGCACTCCTGGCTGCTCTGGTGTGAGCCCTGGTGCCCTGCTGGACACCTCTGGCTGCCCACCCTGCCTGGACAGCAGGACGTGCTGCAGACAGACAGACAGACAGGCTGCCCACGCTGCCCCCCCCGCCCCGCTGACCCCGCTGTGCCCCGCAGTGAACCAGAGGACGCTGACAGCCGAGCTGAAGGACCTGCACAGCACGGTGAGTGACATCCAGAAGGCGTGTCACAGCATGCCAGCCACCGCCGAGGACAGGTTTGCCATCGTCATGAGCGTATCCTTGCGGGAGAGGGGAGCCCGGGGACACCCTGCCTCTGCCGGGGGGCTCTGCCCGGGGGGCTCCCCGTGCCTGGCACGGCTGGGAGCAGCTTTGGGGCTGCCCCGTGTGGCACAGAGCTGGCACGGCGTCCTTGGGCACAGCAGAGCCTGCCAGCCCCTCCACGTGCGCTCCCTGCTGCCAGCTGGGCTGGAGGCCAGCCGGCTGATAAGGGATTGATAAGGGATTGATAAGGGATTGATAAGGGATTGATAAGGCTGGGGTGCAGCCCAGAGCAGGTGTGGTCCTTAAGCAGCTCTGCAGTCCTTCCTGGAGAGCGCCCAGCCTGCCATGCGCTCCCTGGACGAGCTGCAGCACAAGGCCATGGAGGAGTTCAGCAAGGTGCTCTCCTTCTTCGGGGAGGACTCCAAGATGACCACTTCTGAAGCCTTCTTTGGCATTTTTGCAGAATTCATGAGCAAGTTTGAGGTGAGTTGGAGCTTTGCAGGGCAGCCAGGTGTCTCCTGTGGGGTCACTGAGGTGTGTCATTGGTGTGTGAGGGATGGGATTTTGTGAGCAGCTGACCCGAGTTAGAGGCAGCTTTTCTGATGCTGATAAAGTGCAATTCTTCTAACACACAATCAGCTGGCCGGCGTGGCACACTGAGGGAGGCCCCAAGCACAAGCCCCAGGGGAGAGTGATGTGGTTGTTCACAGAGTCCTGGAATGGTTTGGGCTGGAAGGGACCTTAAAATCACCCCATGTTCACCCCTGCCATGGCAGGGACACCTCCCACTGCCCCAGGCTGCCCCAAGCCCTGTCCAGCCTGGCCTGGGCACTGCCAGGGATCCAGGGGCAGCCCCAGCTGCTCTGGGCACCTGTGCCAGCCCCTGAAGCTGCTCCTGGCACAGCAGCCTCTCAGCGCTGCCCTTTGTGTCCCACAGCGGGCTCTCAGTGACGTGCAGGTGGGCGAGAGCCAGCGCAGCCCCAGGATGACCTCCCCCCTTGCCTGGTGACGGCCCGAGGCCACCTGAGGGGTGACAATTCCTTGCCAACAAAGTGCAATTTGCTCCTGTCCAGTCTGGTTGTAAATACGCTGCTGCCACCTGCTACCACCCAGCAGAGCCCCAGGGGACACCGGGGAGGCACCGCAGGTGGCACAGGGTGGCACAGGGTGACACAGGGTGACACGAAGATAAACCCTGCCTGCTCCTGCTCTGACAGAGCTGCCTCAGCACCCTCCACTCCCAGGGCATCCCCGAGCCCAGGGTTTTGTGTCCATCGGGTAAAACCCCACCGTGCCACGTTTCCCAGACTCCTGTGACCCCCCCAGCAGCTGCAGAGCCCCCACACCCCCCGGCCCCTGCCCAGCGTGGGGGCTCTGCCCAGGCTGCCCTGGGCTGGGGACAGCCCGGCCTCAGAGCCCTGCGAGCCCAGAGCCGGCCAGCAGGGAGGGAGCGTGGCCACCTCCACTCCCCTGGGACCCTGAGGACGCTGCTGTCCCCTCCCGTCCCTGTCCCAGCCCTTCTGCCCTGGGCAGAGCAGGGGGCTGCAGCTGCACCTGCCCAAGGGGAGCAGTGGAGCAGAGAGCCCTGCAGGTGCCTGGAAGCCTCAGCTCCCTTCCCCTGGCAGCCAGGGGCACTGGAAAGCAGCAGGACCTTGCAGACCCTTCTGGCACATCCCTGGGGCCCGAGGATGGATCCGGTCTGATCCTTCCAGCTCACGGGTCCTTCCTGGCCACCAGCTCTGCTCAGAGCTGTGCCAGGGGCTGACGGGCCTTGAAAGCTTCCCAAGGGAGGAACAGCCTGAGCACGAGGTCGTTGGAGCTCGCCAGCAGCCAGCCCTGAGCATGGCAGCCTCCTTGGAAAGCACAGAGGCCTGGAGAGGAGCAGGAGCCCCCAGAGAGGGCAGGGGCCCTGGGGAAGGCATCCCTGCCCCGCTGGGCCTGGGGGGGCTGAACAGCCCTGGGCACGTGGCACCTGGGGCCAGGGGACAGTGCTGGCTTTGGCAGGGCAGGGGAACAGCCCTGGTGACCTTGGAGGGCTGTCCCAGCCTAAATGAGTGCACGATTCCGGGAGCCCCTTTGCTGGAGGGGCAGGTTCCATGGGGAACAGCCCAGGGAACTGCAGAGGTGTCCACGGCTACCTCCAGCCGTGCACACCCACAGTGCACACCCACCTCCCAGGGTGCACACCCAGCTCCAACCGTGCACACCCACCTCTTGATGTGCACACCCACAGTGCACACCCACCTCCAGCCGTGCACACCCACAGTGCACACCCTCCTCCAGCCGTGCACACCCACCTCTTGATGTGCACACCCAGCTCCAGCCGTGCACACCCACAGTGCACACCCACCTCCCAGGGTGCACACCCACCTCCAGCCGTGCACCCCCTTCCCTTGATGTGCACACCCATGTCTCCCCGTGCCCAGCCGTCCCTCTCTCCCCGTGGCCCGGCTGTCCCTCAGCTGCCCGGATCCCCCCCGGATCCCCCCGTTCTGCCCCGGGCAGGGAGGGACAGCGTTCCGCGGCCAGTGCATCTCCTGCGGGGGCTCCCGAGCTCTCGATGCTTTGTGAGCATCCCCTCCGTGCAAAACCCACCCGAGTCCCCTCCGTGCAAAACCCACCCGAGTCCCCCCAGCCCCACCCGTGTCCCCCCGTGTCCCCCCGGCCCCCGCAGGGCCCTGCAGGTCCCCCCTGCCCCCGGCCAGCACAAGGGCTCCTCCTGCAGCCGCGGCTCCAGGACGCAATCACCGACCGGTGCATTACTTACGGGACACCTCACGCCCCTCAGATCTCCGGGTTTGGGTATTTTTTTAAGCCCTGCTGTAGAAAGTGAAGTTTATTTTCACGTGTTCTCTCCGTTTGTACAGCTCTAAGTGCCAGGTAGTGGGTAGCCTTGTGTTCCCAGAGGTCCAGGACAGGGCCACGCTCCCCCTGCTGCCCTTCCCTTCTGGATGTTGCACACTGCATTCCGTTGGATTTTGTTTTCCTTTTTTTAAAAAACATACCCAATATTTAAACCACCAGAGGTTCTTTTGAAACTGTCCTGACAGAAGATGCTGTACATAGATTTTGCTACGTGTTGTAACTTTCTGACATAGTTAGGACTCCAATCCCTTTGGTATTTTTATGTGAATATTTTCAAAGAGCCAGAACTCCTGATGATATGATTTGATAACGGGACGATGTATATTCACAGTTCAGTCTCTGCCCAATGCCTGTGTGCTATTCCTAAAATAAAGCTACTGCCTTCTGCCTCCTGACTGCACAGGCCTCTGTCTTCTGTCCAGAAGTGCTGCTGCTGATGTGTGAGGAGTTCTGCACTTGTTCATCCTGGCCCTGACACCTGCAGGCTCTCACCTGGCTGGGCTGGGGCTGGTGTGGAGAAGAACCTCCCTGCACCACAGCATCCAGGCTGGAGGGATCAAAATCAGCAGCAAATTCTTAAAATACTATGGATTTTTAACTCCAGCCTTCAGAAGAAAACATTTCGTGAACTGTATGAGCCAATGAATTGTTTCCCTCTGAAAAAGAATTCTTGGCTGAGGCTGAGTTATGTCCTGGGGCGATTTGTCCCCCGTGACACTCGGACAGACGGACAGGAGCAGCTCCCTGTCAGGTGCTGTGCTCCAGCTGGCTCCCAGCAGCCTGCTGGGGCTGCCCGGGGGCTGGAGCAGCTCCGTGCAGAGTCACCCACAGTGTCCCTGGCTGGGCACGTCCCCTCCTTCCCTGGAGGTACCGAAAGCACCTGGAAATACGGCACAGGACCCCGGGGCTGCGCTCCAGGAGCGGGGATCAGCGACCTGCGGGGCTCCCGTGCAGCCTGAGCCCTCCTGAAATTCCATTTGGAGTGCTCCACTCCTCCTGCCCCAGGGACCGGCCCAGTGCTGCTGTCACAGCTGCAGGGCAGGGCTGAGCCCATAACCCAGCAGGATGGTGTTCCCGAGCCCATAACCCAGCAGGATGGTGTCCCCAAGCCCCATTCCCCATTCCTGAGCCCATAACCCAGCAGGATGGTGTCCCCAAGCCCCATTCCCCATTCCTGAGGCCATAACCCAGCAGGATGATGTCCCCAAGCCCCATTCCCCACGTCCCCACAGCACCCACACCGTTCCCTGCACGGCCCCACTCTCCTGGCTCTGGTAACCCTTCTGCACACACGAGGTAATTCCTGACCCAAGCTGGCACCCTTGAGCCTCACTCAGGATTCGTGTGGCAGCCCTGCCCGGGATCATCCTCACAGGAAAGGCTGTCCTTGGAAAGGAAATACCAGCTCGGGCAGCAGCCAGGGCAGGGCAGGGCAGGGAGCACAGCCCTGGCTGCTCCTGCTCCACGGGTGCCACTTCCACCCCCTGAAATGGTGTCCCTGGAAATGCCACTTACATCCCAAACCCCAGGAGGTTCAGGGGCTTCGTTCTTTTGTGCAAGAAGCAGAGGGGAAAAGACCTCAGAGGGGAAAGGAGCAGCTTGAGCACAAGCAGGTGGGTCAGAGCTGGGCACATTGGAACCAGGCAAAGTGGAACCACCTGGGAACCTCCCTCTAAGTGCCTTGACTGTGGTTTGCAGGGCCACGATCTGTAATTACTCCCCAGGTGCCATGAAAGATGCCCAAGGGGCAAAGAAGGATCTCAGCTGTGGACTGGAAGGGTAAGTCAGGGGGAAAAGGGGGCACAGACTGGGAGGCAGCACAAGACTCCTGGTGCTGCTTTTGCAGGATCCACCTTTAGGAAAATTTGGGGTTTCCAAATCATAGCAGATCAATTAACACATCTCTGATTAACATGGATTAATTAACACATCTCCAATTGCAAGATTCAGAGCTGCGGTTATGTTCATCAGAGCTGTGACTGGGAAACAAGGAGATGAAATACAGCCACTGTTTTTTTCATGGAATCATCAAGTTTGCACTGGAAGGGACTTTGAAAACCATCCAACCCTAACCCTGCCATGGCAGGGACACCTTCCCCTGTCCCAGGCTGCTCCAAGCCCTGTCCAGCCTGGCCTGGGACATTTCCAGGATGGAGCAGCCACAGCTTCTCCTGTGCCAGGGCCTCCCCACGCTCACAGGGAAGAATTTATTCCCAATATCCCAGCTGCCCCTGCCCCTGGCAGGCTAAATGCCCTTAGGGGTCACCTGCAGTAAAGTCTGTTGGTGACATCAAGGCTGGGAGTGGATTGGGCTTGTGAGGGCCCAGTGCCCATTGTCCATCAGGCTCGTGGGTCACCTGCCAGCCAGGGGCTCCTCAGTGGTGCTGCTGGGATGTGGGCACCCAATTCCAGGGGCTGAGAGCTGCTCCTGCCAGGGTCACTGTGCTGTGAGTGCCTCTTCAGCATCGCTCTGTGTGCCTGGCCCTGAGGGTTTGTCAGGGATTTCAGACAGGTGATGCTGAAGAGAAAACCCCAGCCAGTTCCCAGAGAGGGACTTGGTTCTGGGATGAACCCACAGCCTCAGCAGCGTGCCACCAACCCCAGCCCACGGGTGGATCCTGCGCTCTGCCAGGCTCGGGCACAAACACAGGCACGGGGCTGGCTGTCAGCTCCTCCCTGTGCCACGGGCTGTCAGCCCCAGAGGACATCAGCCCCGATTTTTTATTGTTCTGTGTCCCTCGCATAGCCGCACAGATTGCTTAAGAGAATGGCACTCCGTGGAGTTTGACCCGGGAGCCTTGATAGTGAAAATAATGCACTTCTCACCAGAGCCACGGGAGACCAAAAGAGTAACTTCGGTCAATTAGTTTAACTTTGACTATAAATATTCCTTCTCATTCCTTGTGACCCTGTTAACAGCTCCGCTGGCAAACCCCGATTCTCTGGCAATATTTAAGCTGCCTGTCAGTTGGCAGAGCCCTGCTGGTGCCCGGCGCGGGGAGCAGAATAAGACCCGGCTGAGCGCAGTAAGTTCCCTTTCAGCTTCTACCTCGAGTCGGGAGCTCCGGCGGGTCGGGCTCTGCGGGGCTGCTCGGGGCCCGGCTGCGGAGGAGGCGGCTGGCCCCGGGAACGCTTCAAACCCCCCGAGGAGGGGTCGGCGGTGCCGGGCTGCTCGGAGCCACGTGTGCTGCGCTGCCGATGCTCGGCCGGCCGCAGCAGCTTCATTCCCATGCCGCGGCCGTGCCTTGCTCACAATCTCTGGCGAGGAAAGCGCCGCCGCCTGTGCCAGGCACCGGGGGACAGCGGGCTGTGAGCTGAATTCACAAAACGGGCAAAATTTCCACTGGGCCACGGCGGAGTCGGGATCTGGGGATCCGCGGCGCTGTCGTGCCCCGGGAGGAGCGGGAGCGGCACCGGCGGCACCGCGGGCACGTCCCCGCAGGGCACCCGCCCTCCCTCCGGTGCCCGGGCACGGCAGGGGCTGCGGGGCTGGGCCCTGCCCGGCACCTCTGGAGGGACAGACGGACACGGCTGTCCCTGTGTGCACACCTCTGGAGGGACAGACGGACACAGGTGTCCCTGTGTGCACACCTCTGGAGGGACAGACGGACACGGCTGTCCCTGTGTGCACACCTCTGGAGGGACAGACGGACACAGGTGTCCCTGTGTGCACACCTCTGGAGGGACAGACGGACACAGGTGTCCTGGGTCCGGCACCTCTGGGAGGGACAGGCACAGCCCTGTCCCCCTGCCCGACACCTCTGGAAGGACAGACAGACATGGGTCTCCCTGTGTACACAGGTCTGTCCCCTGTATGCACACCTCTGGAAGGACAGACAGACATGGGTCTCCCTGTGTACACAGGTCTGTCCCCTGTATGCACACCTCTGGAAGGACAGACAGACACAGCTGTCCCTGCCCGTCCCTCTGGAGGGACAGACAGACACGGCTGTCCCTGCCCGTGCCTCTGGAGGGACAGACAGACACGGGTGTCCCGGCCCGTCCCCTCTGGAGGGACAGACAGACGCAGCTGTCCCCTGCCCGTGCCTCTGGAGGGACAGACAGACACGGGTGTCCCGTCCCGTCCCCTCTGGAGGGACAGACAGACGAGGGTGTCCCGGCCCGTCCCGGGCTCGGCCCCGCTGTCCCCACGCTGTGACCCTGGGCGCACTCGGGCGATCCCGGGGGTCCCTCGCAGCCCAGGAGGGTCCCTGATCCCGGGGTTCTGTGCCCTGCTCCGCGGGCCCGGGCTGGAAGGAGCCGGGGCCGCTGGAGGAGAGGAGCAGGGTGAGCAGCTTCCCGGGCTGACATACCAAACCCTGTTTTTCCTCTCCGAGTCAGAGGTTAGGCGTGCCAGTAAAAACTCAGCAGCAGCCAAGACACATCGGCCCTCGAGGAGGTAAGATAGCAGCGGGCTGGCCACCAGTGCCCTGCACCCTGCCCCGGGGTCCAGAGGGATCCAGGGGCTCATAGAGCATGGAACAGGCTCTGCCGGGGTGCTGAGTGTGCCCAGCCCCAGCCTGGGGCTGGCACCACTGCCCTCAGCTGGCTCACGGCTCTCCTCCAGCTCTGGCACCTGTGCTGGAGGCTGCAGGGCCAGGATGCAGCTGCCAGCTGTGGGCAGCAGGTGCTGGGGTGGGTCCTGCCCCGGGAGCTCCTTATTTACTGCCCGACCTTTGGTAAGAGGATGAGCCCGGCGGTGCTGCAGGAGGCAGGGCAGGCCTTGCCCTCCTCATCCTCCCGCTCCTCACCCTGCTGCTCTCCTGGCTCACCCACCGGGGTGGGAGCACGCTCTGGGCGAGCCCCCAGGCCACAGGCCAGCTGAGGGCAGGTCCAGCTCGGCTGCACAGCTGGCCAGAGGTGTTGTGGAGCCCGTGGGGCAGGAGAATGCCCCGGCCCGGCTCTGCTGCCCTCGGCTCAGAGGAAGAACTTGTCGGACAGCTTGTGAGTCCGTGCCGGCTGTCGCGGCACCCTCGCCACACCTCCCGCAGCCTTTTGGCAGGGGCAGCCTATAAGTGTCCCCTGAGAAGCGCAGAGAGGCCAGAGGAGCCGGCCAGAGGCGCAGGAGGGGACCAGCAGACACCTGGCACAGGTGTGTGGTGACACCGGGGCTGGTGGCTGCTCTCCCTGGGGAACCCAGCAGGGTAAGAGGAACGATCCCAAACCTGCTCTGTGCAGCCCCGAGGGCTCCTTGGGGACCGACTGTGGCCACTGCTGAGCCAGGCACTGCCCAGGTGGCCTCGGGTGCCTCTCCTGTCCTGCTCCCAGTGTGCCTGACTGAGGGAAGGAGGAAATGGGAAGGAACTGCATTAATTCAAACACCCCTGACCAACCTCCCCACCTGGGCTTCATCCTGCCCCTTCTGCCAAGGGGATGCTCCAGGGAGCCCTTCAGGGACCCCACAGTGCTGCCACACCTCACCATCAGGCGATTCCGGAGAAGAAAATGGGTTTTGTGCTCCTTGGTGACATGTTGCCAGTCTCTGCTCCTGACAAGGAGCAGGGGACAGGGTTCCCTGGCTCAGGAGGAGACCCAAGTGCTCTGCACAGGGCTCGAGCCCTTGCTGTGGCAGAGGAGGAGAATGGCAGCACTGCTGGGGCTGTGCATGTGCCACCACACTCTGCTGGGTGTGAGGGACACGTTTCTGGCAGCAGCTCCTCTCTGGGGCCAGTCCTGCCCTGCTGCCCCCAGGCTGTCACCCCCAGCTCTGCCCCTTCCCTCTGCCTGCTCCAGCTGCTTTCACCTTCTCTCTAATGCCCCCATTCCTCAGCAGTCAGAAAACCACCCAGGAACTGCACCAGCATCTGCAACTGCATGGGGCAGATGCCAGGGGCAGGAGCCTGCCCAGAGCTCTGGCAGCAGCAGCTCCTCGGCACCCTGAACCCCTCCAAGACCAGTCCACCTGCCTGGGGCTTTCCCTGGCCACGTTCCCGTCCTTCCACAGGCGTGTGCAGCAGGACAGAGGCGTGCTCAGGAAGCCATGGAGCCCACCAGCGTGCCCCCCGCCTCTGTGACCCCCTCGTGGGACGTGTTCCCCCAGCAGACCCTGGAGCCCGTGGACATCGCTGTGCTCGTGCTCTATTTCCTCTTCGTCCTCGCCGTGGGGCTCTGGGTGAGCAGAGACTTCCAGAGCTCCCCGTGTGCCCTGCTCTGCTGGAAAACGGGGCTGTTTTAGCTGGAATTGGGCTGCTTTCCCCTGCACTCAGCTGGAGGGGGGAGTTCACAGGTCCTCGTCCTCCCCTCAGCCTGGGGAGTGCCCTCACTGTCCCTGGGGAGGGCCAGGGCTGTGTTAGCCAAGGTTTTGAGAGCCCTGCTGAGGAAGAGGCTGTCTGAGCACAAACTCTTGCTAACAATGGTGTTTTGTTCATCCAGGAAGGAACTGCTGTCCTATAAATCACCTGTGCTCGTCCACAGGGGTCCTGACAGCAGATTCCTTAAATTATTAACGCTGCCTATATACAATTAAGGCAGAAGGACATCCTCTGGGATGGCTTTTGTGACGGCCTGGCTGTCAGGAGGCAGAGGGAATAGCTGCTCCTTGGATGGGGTGCACAGCTCAGAGCATTGCACGGATCACCTCTGGGGCAGGGGAGTCACACGTGCAGTGCCCAGCATTCCTCCTGCGTGCTCCTGATACCCAGGATTCTGCAGTTCTTGCCCAAAACTGCTTGCCTTCCTTTCTGCCCTGGAGGGATCGAGTTTGCTGCTTACTCAAAACTTTCCATCAGGGGCCCAGGTGATGGAAAACTGCCTGGGGCTCGGGGCACGTCCCTCAGCCCCAGGATCTGCAGCAGCAAGTGTCCCTCAGGAAAGCCTTCTGCTGCAGCCCAGGGCAGCTGGGGGCTCTGCTGGGCTGGCCTGGGGCAGCCCTGAGCCCGTGCCCCTCTGTGTGCCCGCAGTCCATGTGGAAGACGCAGCGCAGCACCGTCAAGGGCTATTTCCTCGCCGGGGGACAGATGGTCTGGTGGCCCGTGAGTACCCCTGTCCCCTGCCCACGGCCCCGTGCTGCACCAGCGCTGCCGCTGGGGCACTGCCCGCCTCTCCAAACAGGAACGGACAAGCAGAAGTTGCTCCTGTGCTTTGCCAGCTTCATGTTGGCTTTTCCCCCAGATTTGAGGCTGCAGGGCGAGGCCCAGCCCAATGCCTGACAAAACCTGGTGGCTTCTGGAGATTTCCAGAATTCCCTAGGGGCCCTCAGCTTTGTGCTGAGCCTGTGCTGGCTGGGTGTCTCCTCTGGGCTGGGCTGGTCCCTCAGCAGGTGCTGATGCCACAACCTGACATTTCTACCTGTTCCCCTCACCAATCTCTGCAAGACTGGATGCTTTGGAAGAAGGATGGTCCTGAGCACAAATGGGCAGTGAATGGTGAAAGGAGCTGGAGAGAGGTGCCAAGGCCACTGAACCTGTAGGGAAAAGAAGAAGGTGGCAGAGGCTGACAAGGATTCCCTGTCCTCTGCAGCCAGGAGCGGGGACAGCTTCCCTGTGCCCCCTGTGCCAGGGCCAGAGCTGATTTCTCCCTTTCCCCAGGTGGGTGCATCCCTGTTTGCCAGCAACGTGGGCAGCGGGCACTTCATCGGCCTGGCAGGCTCGGGAGCTGCCTCGGGCATTGCAGCCACAGCCTATGAGTGGAACGTGAGTGGCACAGGCGGCTGGAGCCCTCCCTGCCCTCCTGCCCTGCCCTCCCTGGGGGACAGCGGGGCTCAGCCCGCTCCTGCTGCGGGGCTGGCAGTCCCCAGCTGTGGGGACACCTGTGCCAGCCCAGCCCGGAGCCCCGAGCCCCACTCTGACCCTTCCCTCCCTCCGCAGGGGATGTTCTGTGTGCTGGTGCTGGCCTGGCTCTTCCTGCCCATCTACATCGCCTCGGGGGTAGGTGTGGGCTGGCTGTGCCTGGGGGGAGGGATGGATTGGATGATGGATGGATGGACGGACGATGGATGATGGATGGATTCCCTCCGCTGCTCCTGGCTCTGCTCCCCTGGCCCGGCTGGGTGGCAGAGCTGCTGGCAGGGGCTCAGGCTGCCCCCATCCCCTGGCCATGGGCAGAGTCCCTCCATGTCCCCAGCACGGGGATGGGGACTCACGGTTGATGGAGAGCCCCGTGCAGCATCACGGAGAGCCAAACACCAGCCCGGGGCAGCCCCGGGGCCCTCCTGCCCCTGTCCCTCTGCAAACACCCCCAGGTCCTTGGGGAGCCCCTGGCAGCTCCAGGAGTGCCCCAGGGACCCTCCCACCTTCCCTCACTCCATTCCCTCTGCAGGTTACGACCATGCCGGAGTATTTGCAGAGACGTTTTGGAGGCAAAAGAATTCAGATATTCCTGGCCATTCTCTACTTGTTCATCTACATCTTCACCAAAATATCCGTGAGTAGGAAAAAAAGAAAAAGGGAAATGGGTTGGGTTGGATTCGCTTTGGAAATGTGTGCTGAGCAGTGAGGCTGAGAAAGGCAAGGGTGGCTCTGCCTGGATGAGCACAGAAGGGTTTGTGATCAAACACCCGAGGAAGAGAGGCTCTGTTTTTTTAGAACCTACACAAAAATGAGTAGCTTCTCTTTTTTTGCTCAGTTAGCACCTGAATGCTTGTTACAGCAGGAAGGAGAGCTCGTGTCAGTGTCCTGAGCAATAGTCCACGGAAAGGTGGGGCTGTGAGGGTGGATGTGGTGGTTGTTAGATTTTGCACCCCTGGCAGCTCCCCCAGTTTCTCCCCTTTGCACATTTATTGCCTGTGCAGACACCAGGTGCTGTTAGGGCAGGATGGACGAGCTGGGAGGGTTGGAAGAGAACTCTTCATTCCTTTATTGCACCTGTTTGAATAAATAACTGAATCAAGCCTTGCACAACAGCTTGGTGGCTGTTCATTAACTGGATCCAGGGCACGGATCCCTGGAACAGACAGATCCCTGCTGGGGTTTTTCCTGTCCAGAGGGGGACACGGTGTCCGACCCTGCCTCTGAACCTCCCAGAACTTCTGACAAAGGCTTGGAGTGCCAGGACACAGGGAATGGCTCCCCACTGCCAGAGGGCAGGGCTGGATGGGACATTGGGCAGGAATTCTTCCTGGGAGAGATGTGAGGCGCAGGTGCCAGAGCAGCTGGGGCTGCCCCTGGGTCCCTGGCAGTGCCCAGGCCAGGCTGGAGGCAGGCTGGGTCACCCTGGGACATGGGAGGTGTCCCTGCCATGGCAGGGGTGGCACTGGGTGGGCTTTAGGGTCCCTTGAACCTCCAGGGTTGTATGGAATGGGTGTGAGTGCTGGGGTTGGGATGGCACCGATGGGGAAGGCTCAGCTTCCCCCCAGATCAAAGGGCATTGATCCATCTCCATCTGCGGGGATGCCTGCCAGTGCAGCTCCTGTGCCCGGGCTGTTTTACCCCTCCTGCCCTCCCCTGCCCTGTCCTGGAGCTCTCTATCCCGCAGCATTCTCACCGTGCTGCAGAGCGGGCTGGGCAGGGCAGGGCTGGCCCTGGGGACACTGCTGCTGGTCACCCTGTCCCCACGGCAGCAGGGACAGCTCCCGGGGCAGCCGGGCAGGGGGTGCAGGGCAGATTCCCCAGCCCAGCCCAGCTCCCCACCCTGGGCTTGGGGAAAGGGAGAAGCTCACCCCACCCTTTGTCCCAGAGCTGGGCACGTCCCCTCTGGTGACCGCCCTGCCACCCCCCTGCTGTCACCACTGCAGTGACAAACTGCTCAGGAATGGCCCTGGTCCTGCTGTGGGGGCAGCTGGGGCTGGGGGGCCAGGAACAAACCAGGCTGGTCCCAGTAAAGGGGGCTGGGGGCGGAGTGGGGACACTGGGAGGGGCTGGGTGGTGCTGTCCCTGCAGTGTGTGACAGTGACGGTGCTGTCCCTGCAGTGTGTGACTGTGACTCTGCTGCCCTGCAGTGTGTGACTGTGACAGTGCTGTCCCCTCGGTGTGTGACAGTTTCTCTGCTGTCCCTGCAGTGTGTGACAGTGACAGCGCTGCCCCTGCAGTGTGTGACAGTGACAGCGCTGTCCCTGCAGTGTGACAGTGACAGTGCTGTCCCCTCGGTGTGTGACAGTTTCTCTGCTGTCCCTGCAGTGTGTGACAGTGCTGTCCCCTCAGTGTGACAGTCTCTCTGCTGTCCTGCAGTGTGTGACAGTGACAGCGCTGTCCCTGCAGTGTGACAGTGACAGTGCTGTCCCCTCGGTGTGTGACAGTTTCTCTGCTGTCCCCTCGGTGTGTGACAGTGCTGTCCCCTCGGTGTGACAGTCTCTCTGCTGTCCTGCAGGTGGACATGTACGCCGGGGCCCTGTTCATCCAGCAGGCCCTGCACTGGGACCTGTACATCGCCGTGGCCGGGCTGCTGGCCATCACTGCCGTGTACACCGTGTCTGGTGGGTGCTGGGGACACCCTGACCAGCACTGACCTGCACTGACCCTGCCCCAGACCCTGCACTGACCAGCACTGACCCTGACCCTGCACTGACCCTGCCCCAAACCTTCCCCAGACCCTGCACTGTCCCTGCCCGTGTCTCTGACCTTCCCCTGTCCCTGTCCCTGCCCTGTCCAGACCCTGTCCCTGCCCTGCCCACTCAGCTGAGCCATTCGAGTGTCCCAGGCCAGGCTGGGCAGGGCTGGGAGCACCTGGGGCAGTGGGAGGTGTCCCTGCCATGGCAGGGGTGGCACTGGGTGGGCTCTGAGGTCCCCTCCCACCCAAGCCATTCCAGGACTCTGTGATTTGTGCCATGCACTGTGTCCTGCCCCACAGCAGCCTGGTTTTGCCATGAGTATGGATACTGGGGTGGGAAAGCCATAGAAAAGTCACCTTTTTGGAAGCAATTGCCCAGTGAGGGTAGGTGAACACTCCTGAGGGGCTGCCCCAGGTGGGTGCAGGTCGCTCTGCCCCAGGAGAAGCTCTGCAGGGCATTCTCAGGGTGCATTCCCCTGTTCCCCGGGCTCGGAGGTGTGAGGGATTTGCAGCACAACGAGCGTGTAATGCAGAAAGACTCCGGGCTTGGATGCCCTTTCAGGGTTTAGGAGTGGCCAAATGGAGAGCAGCCACACAGAAACCCCAGACAAATAAAGGTTATTCCTTTCCCAGTGATGAAAAATCCCACCCCCTTTTTTCCCCTCCTCCTTTTCCAGCTTGAGCTTTGTTTTAGAGCTTTTCCATGTATTTCCCGTAGAACTACTTCTGGTTTTGGCTTGTAATGACAAAATAGTGACTCATGGTGACTCCAGTCCTGAGGAATTCCAAGGAGTCATCGGCCAAGGTTGCCCCCAGCCAGGCTGGGGCTCAGCTCGTGCTGCTGGGCAAGACCCTGTGCAAAGTGTGAAATGAGGTGGCAGGACAGGCCCGGCTGACCCCAGACTGTGGCTCTGTGCTCTGCAGGTGGCCTGGCAGCTGTGATCTACACGGATGCCCTGCAGACCCTCATCATGCTCATCGGGGCCCTGTCCCTCATGGTCTTCAGTGAGTGCTGTCCTGGGGCTGACAGGAGCCTCATCACCTTAAATACTGGGGAGAAATTAGGGAGAAATCCTCTTCTCTAGAGGGTGGGCAGCCCTGGCACAGGTGCCCAGAGCAGCTGTGGCTGCCCCTGGATCCCTGGCAGTGCCCAAGGCCAGGCTGGATGGGGCTGGGAGCACCCTGGGGTGGTGGAAAGTGTCCCTGCCATGGCAGGGGTGACACTGAGTGGGATTTAAGATGGCACTGGGTGGGCTTTAGGACCCCTCCCAACCCAAACCACGGCAGGACTCTGTGATTCCACAGGGGAGGCAGCACCTGCTCCAGCCAGCAGCGAGTGCCTGCCCTTCCCCAGCCCAGGGGGAGGGTCAGGAGCTGCTGATTTTTAAGGAATACTTGTGGAGCATCATCCCCAGAGACTGGAATCAGAGTCCTGCCCTGGGCGGGTGCAGTAACAGCTTCTCACGACCCTTTTCAGGTTTTATTGAAGTTGGTGGCCTTGAAGGTTTACAGGAAAAATACTTTGATGCCATTCCCAGCATCCGCAGGGAGAACAGCAGCTGTGGCCTGCCCAGGGAAGATGCTTTCCACATCTTCCGAGACCCCGTCAGCTCCGACCTGCCCTGGCCAGGCGTCCTGCTGGGAATGACCATCCCCTCCCTGTGGTACTGGTGCACAGATCAGGTGGGTCACTGTGGTTCCTGTGGCAGGGTGGATCCCGTTACACACCTGGGGCTGCCACCTCACCTGGACTGATTTTCTGAGGGGGATCATCAGTAAAATCTTATTTTACCATTGGCAAAATCAGATGGTTAAGTCCTAAAGAAGGAAATATTGATATTAAATATATTTATATTACATATATTCTATTAATATAAATATACTGATATATTAAATACATGAAAATATATTAAAATATAATTATTATATATAAATATACTGATATATAAAAATATATTATATATAAAATATATATTATATATAATGTATTATACCTATATATATTAAATATATACTATTGATATTAAATACAACTAAATATTCGTAATCATCTCCGTGGAAAAAGGAATAAGAATGTGTTTGTGTTTTAATCGCAGTCTATAAAGAAGTCTTTTGTTTGTTTGTTTGCTTTTTAACTTGATCCTTGTGTTCCTTGTGAGCCACCTGTGGATTTCCTCTCTCACCTTTCCTGGGTCTGGCTCCCACCGTCCCAGTGGCACCGTCAGAGCCCGGGACCTGCAGCCCTAAATCACTGCTGCTGCTCCAGCTGTGCTTTCTTGCTCTCTCATTTAGCTGTGCCCATTTCAGCTCTGTGCTGCTCCTTGGCCAGGCTCCTCCGCAGGGCCAGGGCAGTCCCCGAGCAGGAGAATGGAAATCCTGCTTCTGGGTAGGCGAGGGTCAGGCCCTGCAGCACGGAGTCAGTGCCTAGAGTCAGTGCCTGTGCCAGGACCCAAAGCTGTGCTCCAGAGGCACAGCCAGGCCCTGTGATCACCCTGTGAGACCTGCAGAGTTCAGTGGAGATCAAAGCCAGGTCCTCCACCCCAGGCAGCTCCTGCTGCTGGCAGCCAACCAAACCCATTCCTTCATTCCTAGGTCATTGTTCAGAGGTCCCTCGCTGCCAAAAACCTCTCCCACGCCAAAGGGGGCTCCTTGATGACCTCCTACTTGAAGATTTTGCCCCTCTTTATGATGGTAATGCCAGGCATGATCAGCCGGGTTCTCTTCCCAGGTAAGTGCTGCGGGAGATCTCCCCTGCTCTGGCTGGGCCAGCTGCAGAGCTGGAGAAGCCTCTCCTCAACCAGGGAGAGCTCCCGGTGCATCCAATGCCCAACACACGAGGAAATGTCCTTCCAGTTAGGAGCTGGAGGGTGCAGATCCTGGAGAGCAGCCCCAGACACCCCTGTGCTGAGCTGTCACTGCTGGGAGCCCCCCAGGCTCTCCAGGAATTCCCTCAGAAAACACTTTACAACACTCAGCAGAGGAGATCAGGGACACTGCTGTGCCTGGGAGTGCTGCCTCTCACCCCACACTGCTTCTTTCAGATCTGGTGGCTTGTGCGGACCCGGAAATTTGCCAAAAAATCTGTGGCAACCCCTCTGGCTGTTCTGATATTGCTTATCCCAAGCTGGTGTTGGAGCTCCTGCCCGTGGGTAAGAGCCTGGTGATGGTTCTGGCACTGGTGGGGTTGGCACGTGGCAGCCACAGGCGCCTGGGAGGGAAGCTGAGAGAGGCAAATAGCCTGGAACTGTTGTTTAGTGGGGTTTGTGTGGGGAGAACCTGCCACTGTCATTTTGAATTGGAGCTAAAACCAGTTTTACAAGTCTGTTCTAGCCCACAGAAGAGCTCAAGGCCACCCTGCAGCGGAGCCTCTGAGGGTTCCTCAGGGTGGCTGTGCCTCTCCTCGTTCCCAGGGCTCAGGGGCCTGATGATGTCCGTGATGATAGCAGCCCTCATGTCCTCCCTGACCTCCATCTTCAACAGCTCCAGCACCATTTTCACCATGGACCTCTGGAAACACTTCAGGCCTCGCTGCTCCGAGTGGGAGCTGATGATCGTGGGCAGGTGGGGACAACTGGGATGAGCTGGGCGTGAGCCTGGGTGCCTGGCACAGCTGGCACAGCTGCTGAGGTGGCACACCCTGCCCAGCCCGGGCAGCACCGCAGCCGAGGCACCTTGGGTGGGACACCGTGGTCACCCCGAGCAGCAGGGCCTGGGCTGACAGCAACGATCCTCTGTGCCACTCAGGGTGTTCGTGCTGCTGCTGACCGTGGTGTCCATCCTGTGGATCCCCCTGGTGCAGGCTGGCCAGGGCGGGCAGCTCTTCATCTACATCCAGTCCATCAGCTCCTACCTGCAGCCGCCCGTGGCCGTGGTCTTCATCCTGGGCTGCTTCTGGAGGAGGGCCAACGAGAAGGTAGGGGCTGTGCTGGCCCGGGAGCAGCCCTGCAGCCGGCCGGGCGCTGCTGCAGCACGGAATTGCCTCCCTTCCCTCGCCAGGGTGCCTTCTGGGGGCTGCTGGTGGGGCTGCTGCTGGGCGCCGTGCGCCTGGTGCTGGATTTCGCCTTCCCCGAGCCGCGCTGCGGGGAGCCCGACGGCCGCCCCGGCCTGCTCAAGTACATGCACTACCTCTACTTCTCCATGGTGCTGGGGGCCGTCACCACCCTCACCGTGCTCCTGGTCAGCCTGGCCACCGAGCCCCCGGCCCCCGAAATGGTGCGTGTCCCCCCCGTGCTCCCTGAGCCCTAAACGCCTTCCTGGGTGCCCCTCGCTGCATCCCCGGGGGGATGAGCTGCAGGGTGAGCCCCTGTCCATTCTGGGTTTGTGGCACAGTGACCCCTCCTCTGCTGCAGCCCCTTTGCTGCTCTTTCTGATTTGGGGCACATAAATCCCACCCTGGGCACTGGTCAGCAGCAGATTCCAGCAAGAGCTGTTGTTAAGTTAAAGCATGTGTGTTTCATCCATGACAAATCAGCCTTTCCCCCTCCATTTCCCAAGAAATTCCAGCTTCTGGGTCATCTTTGCCAGCTCTCTTACTAACTTAGCGAGGAAAGGTTTTTACTCACAGAAAGAGAAACCCCGTGCAGGGACACCTCTCCTCTGGAGCAGGTTTGTGCAGTTTGGCTGTTTGCAGTTTGTCCTGGTGCTGGGGCTGCAGGAAGGGCCCGAGAGCAGAAAGGAGGGGCAGGGGGGCTGCACAGCTCACACAGCAGCTCATCCTCATCCTCAGTTCAGGACTAACCCTGAACTCAGAACTGGCCAGCAAGGGAGGTGCTGCAGGTGTGTGAGCAGCCCAGAGCTCAGAGCTCACACAGCAGCTCATCCTCTTGCTTCAGTTCAGGACTAACCCTGAACTCAGAACTGGCCAGCAAGGGAGGTGCTGCAGGTGTGTGAGCAGCCCAGAGCTCACCTGCCCTCCCTGGAACAGCTTTTCCTCATCTCCAGCCTGAATCTTTCAGCTTTACGTGGTGCTCATCCCTCTCTATCCATGCTGCCATTGAGAACATCCCTCTATAATGTCCTTTAGATATTTGAAGGAAAAAAAAAACTATTTCCCACCCCCAGTTCAAGGCAGCCCTCCCTGGCCACAATTTCTGCTCTTTTTGCCCCTCCCTGAGCTGCTGTGCCCAGGGACGGTCCCACACCGAGCTGTCCCTCGGCACAGACCTCACAGACCCTTCTTCTGGGTCCTGGTGCTGGGGCTGCAGGAAGGGCCCGCGAGCAGAAAGGAGGGGCAGGGGGGCTGCAGAGCTCACACAGCAGCTCATCCTCTTGCTTCAGTTCAGGACTAACCCTGAACTCAGAACTGGCCAGCAAGGGAGGTGCTGCAGGTGTGTGACCAGCCCAGAGCTCACCTGCCCTCCCTGGAACAGCTTTTCCTCATCTCCAGCCTGAATCTTTCAGCTTTACGTGGTGCTCATCCCTCTCTATCCATGCTGCCATTGAGAACATCCCTCTATAATGTCCTTTAGATATTTGAAGGAAAAAAACCCCCTATTTCCCACCCCCAGTTCAAGGCAGCCCTCCCTGGCCACAATTTCTGCTCTTTTTGCCCCTCCCTGAGCTGCTGTGCCCAGGGACGGTCCCACACCGAGCTGTCCCTCGGCACAGACCTCACAGACCCTTCTTCTGGGTGGAGGAGGAGCAGCTGCCGTGCTCCGGGGGACGCCCCCCGGTGCTGCCGGGCAGGAGGGGCATTGGGCCGGCAGCCCCTGAGCAGCTCTCTCCATGCCATCAGATCAGCCGGCTCACCTGGTTCACCCGCGGGGATGCTCCGGCCGGGCAGGAGGGGGCAGCCCCCGGCCCCGGCGCTGCCAAGGAGCCGCTGCAGCTGGAGCTGGGCCCCGAGAGCTCCGAAGGGAACAAAGGTCAGTGACCCCCAGCCACAGCCCCTTCCAGCGGCCCGCAGGACAGGGAACCTTCAAACTCCCTCCTCTGGAGCTCTGGAGCTTCAGCGTGTGCTGGAAGAATCGTGGAGTTAAAGAACAGAGGATCTGCTGGGTGGGGAGGGACCCCCAGGGCCATCCAGGCCAGCCCTGGCCCTGCACAGACCCCAGCAATCCCACCCAGCATCCCTGCAGTGCTGGCCAAAGGCTCCTGGAGCTCTGGCAGTGCCCATCCCCTGGGGAGCCCGGGCAGTGCCAGCCCCTCTGGGGCAGAGCCTTTCCTGATCTCCAGCCTGAGCCTCCCTGGCCCAGCTCCAGCCCTGCCCTGGTCCTGTCCCTGCCCCAGAGCTGAGCTGGGAGCTGCCCCTCGGGAGGAGCTGCAGAGCACAGGGAGCTCTGGCCTCCATCTCCTCCTGTCCAGGGCAGAAAGGCTCTACCTGGCATTTCACCTAAGCAGGAGTTCAGTCTCTGTTCCTGCTCTGGATGGCATTCCAAAAGCTTGGAACAAAGGAGCTGGAGGGGACACAGAGCCATGGCCACTGTCCCGTGCCTGGGGCTGTGGCACCTGCTGCCAGAAGTGGCTGGAAAAGGGGAGGGTGGAGGAAAGCACAGCAATGTTGAGGAAATTCCCTTTGTTCTCCAGCAGTGTTCTCTGATCAGCTCTAGCAGCAGGGAGAGCCCAGAGCCCTGGGCCGGGTTCTTGGCAGAGCAGAGAGGGAGGATGTGTGTGTTTCAAAGCTGGTGCTGTCAGGATTGGCAGAGCCAGAGCTCCTGTGCATTCTGCAGCCGTGGTTCCATCCCTTGTTTTTGCCAGGCTCACCCTGTTTATGTAACGGGTCAGCTTCGCTGCTGTCCCTTTGATCTGTGACAAGCTGCTGTGGGTTAATGAGTTATGGGGCAGCTCCCCTGCTGCTGGGAAGTCTCACACTCCTTGGACATGAGCGTTTAATGATGTGTCCCATGTGAGGCACTGGGGAGCCAGGCTCCAGGTGTGGCAGGGATGGACCCCAGCAGCACTCACCTGAGGGGCACCAGGCAGCTGCAGCTCGCTTTTTGGGTTGGTTTATCGTTCCCACGGCTGCTGGGGAGAGCAGAAGCTGAGCTCAGAGTGCAGGGAGGAGGGAACTGGTGCTGGCTGGAGGAGGGAACTGGTGCTGGCTGGAGGGTGGAACTGGTGCTGCCTGGAGAGTGGAACTGGTGCAGCTGAGAGTGGAACTGGTGCAGCTGGAGAGTGGAACTGGTGCTGCCTGGAGGGTGCCAGTGCTCAGCAGAGAGCAGGGCTGTCTCTGCACCAAACCCTGCACCCCAGCTGGGCTGGCCAGGCTCATCCCTCACCTCCTGTTGCAGGTGCAGCCGAGGCCAAGGGCAGCTCCAAGCTGCTGAGCACCTTGCTGTGGCTCTGCGGGATGGAGCGCAGGCAGGAGCCTGCTGAGAACGTGCCCAGGGCTGAGCCCCTGCCCCTGGCGGCCCTGGAGGAGGAGCCGCTGGTGAAGCACGTCCTGAACATCAACCTGCTCCTGTGTGTGTGTGCTGGGGTCTTCCTCTGGGCGTACTTCGCATAGCCAGGGGGCTGCCAGTGCCCACAGCACCACCTAATCCTAACTGGTGTACATATTAATGATTAGCAGAGGGTTAATGTAATTCTTAATGCTTTCTAAATTTTATTTCTTTATTTAAGACATTTTAAAGACGTAATATTTTCCTTATTTCTAATGGGGGCCTGGCTGTGCCCACTTGGCACTGGCACTGTCAGACCCCACCCGGCACCAACCAGCTGAGGAAGGTTGGTTTGGTTATTTTAAATATTTAATTTTGCTCTTTGGCCTTAGAGCACTGCCTGGAATTCAGGAAGTCTGGAATCTCTTCTTATTTATGCCTCTATAACCAGCTACGACCACTTGGGTTCCCTCTGGTTCAGCCCTGAGGGACAGGAGTGACACCTCGAGTGCCCAGAGCAGAGCCAGGGGCTGTTCCCTGGGCTCTGGTGTGCCCCTGGCCCAGCCGTGCCCGTTCAGCTCCTTCCCTGTGTGCAGTGAGTGCTGAAGGGCCTGCCTGGGACCACTGACACTCCAATGGCAGCACCAGCACCCAGCGTGGAAACTGCCCCTCAACTCTGCTGGGGCCACCTGCAGGACCTGAGCCAGCCAAACCCACCAGCTGTGCCAGGGCAGAGGTGCCAGGGCCAGCCCCTCATGGCCTGGGCACCCACAGCCCTTCTGGAGTGCCTGAGCAGAGAGCCCTGGGCTGGGACCACCACTGGCCCTGGGCCTCGTGCAGCTGCAGAGAAACATTAAAGAGTGAGAGCTGGTCCCTGCCTGCCTGGAGTCTGTGGGGATGGGGGGGCTGCCAAGACCTCTGGGCCCCAAGCTCCTGGAGCCCCCCAGCTGCCCTGGCTGCCTGCAGAGCCTGCTGCCCTCCCCAGCCTGCTGGGGCTCCCCAGAATTCACTGAACACTGCAGGGTGGGAGCAAAGCTGACCCTGCAGAGCCTGCTGCCCTCCCCAGCCTGCTGGGGCTCCCCAGAATTCACTGAACACTGCAGGGTCAGAGCAAAGCTCACCCCAGAGCTGCCAGCACTCCATGTGCAGGCAGTGACAGCAGGCAGGAGCACCTGGGCACCTGCAGCAGCTCACAGAGTCAGGAAATCCTCTTGTTAAAGCACACAAAGGGAATTGGCACTGGGGGATCCTTCCTGAGCCTGTGAAACGCTGCTGGAAACCTGGGGGAGAGAGGCACTGACAGTCTGGGGGATAAACATCAAAATCAGGCACAGGATGGAGTCTGTGGCTCTTCAAACTGAACTCAGAGTCACAAAGATTTGTTACACAGGAAGGTCTCAGTGCTCCCACTGAAGTCCTTAAGGGAAAACCACGCTGAGCAGCCAGTGACTCCAAGCTACAGTCCAGGGGATCACTGTGACATTCAGGACCCAGTGGAAGCAACAAAACTAGAATAAAGATGCCTTAAGTTGACAAAAAACAATCTTTAATTTTATAAATGTTCACTCAACTTCTGAATCCAAACAGCTGTTTCAAAGTTCTTTCAAAATTCAACCGTTTTCAACAAAAGCACAAACCCCATTTCCACGGTTTCCTCGTGAAACAGTTGCCAGTTGCACATGAACAAAGCAGGTTAATACAAGTAACTATGAAATCAGGGTAAGTACTGATCCTAAGTAGCAATGAAATGATTAAAGAGACAGAAGTTCCTCCTACAGCACGACAGTCCTTCGAGGCACTGGATGCATCCACAGTTCCACAGGTGACTGAGAACCAGCAGTCACCACCAGCACTGGGGCAGGGCTTGCTTCATGGCCTGGGGGGAATCTGCAGCAAATCCGAGAGGGAATGTCCCTTGGGAGGCAGCTCCTGGGACGGGCTAAGAACTACAAGAACCTCTAACCGTGCCGTGGCAAGGATTATTTCCGTAATACAGACATGCACTTTAAATAACTAACCTTCTTATTCTTTTGGAATTTCTGCTACCACCACCTGTAGCAGCACTGACCACGCTTCCTAGGCGAGTTCCTGCAGGAATTCATTCCTTCCATCCAAGAGTTTGAAAACCGTTGTCCAGACCCAGATCATTAAACTTCTTCTGAGGGCGAAACCGGAGCGCGGCCAAAGGTTGGGCTCGGTTTCCTGAGAGGTCTCCTCCAACCTCGGCCACCCTGGAGCTCAGTGTCCCCACGCGGCCCCAGGGCCAGCTCTGCCCGGCCGTGGCACGCTGCAGAAGAAGCCTTTCCCTGTCAGGTCTGTGGTTTTCCCCCCGGAGAGGAGCCAGGGAAGCCGGAGCGCCGCGTCACAGCGCCGTGCTCTCCGTGTCATTGTCAATGTCCAGCAGCAGGTGGTTGTGCAGCTCTCTGCCCGCCAGCTCTGCAGCAAGCTCTGGAGGAGGGTTTGCAAGTGGCTCTGGAATACTGGAATTAGAGTCTGCACAAAAAGGGAACAGCAAGTTTAGCAGCCGGGCCAGGGCCAGCTCACTCAGTCGGGGGGTCCTGGGCATCTCCTTAGACAGAGAAGGGAAAGCAGAGATCAACAAAGGCTCTGGGCACAGAGCTGGCCCCGTGGGCACACAGGGCTGAGCCCAGCTGGGCACCTGGGACTGCTCCTCCTACAGCCCCTGGGCCAGGCCTGGGCAGAGGAACAGAAACCCTCTTCTTCCTGAGGGAGGGAGGACACCGAGCCTGACTTCGGCTCAGATCCCTCAGTGCCCCTGGAGAGCTACTCTGGACTTTCATGTCAAACACTCAGCAAAATGATCTGGCACCTAAATCATCCAGCAGGGAACACCACCCGTGACTCTGAGAAGCAGCAGGAACAAGGATGGTGTCACAAGTTATGTACACCAAGTGCAGATTAAACCTCTCTCCTGTGTACACAGGGCATGTCATGGTCTTTGCCTCTTCTGAGGAGAGGATTTTGTTCAAACCAAGGTGTCAAAAAAGGATCTCTGCTGCATCTCTGGTGACTGACTGCCCTGGCAGCTAGAATTATCAGACCAGAAAAATCCCTAGCAGCTCAAAGAAAGGTAACTGAAAATCTTGTCAAGATTTTGGAAAGCTGATTTACAATGTGCCATGACATCCCTTACTGCAGTCCAGCAGCTGCTCCACATAGGAAGTAATTTAGATCACTTAAATCAACAAAAAATCCAAATAAATGCCTTGTTTTCAAGCACAGGAGGTGCAGACAGGCATCCTAGAGAGACTGGGACTCATAACTCAAGCACAAAATCCTGGAGTTAACCCAGAAGTTACTGCAGAAAAGCTCAAGTTGGAGGTTTCTGAGCTAAATGACCTGGAAGAGGGGGAAGCAGCCCCTGAGTGCAGCCTGCCCTGCTCCTGAGCCTCCAGGCTGCAGGGATCTGGGACCCTGCACAGAGCAGCTGAACCCCACCCTGGCCTGGCACTGAGCACGAGCTTCAGCCCCAGGCCCCCAAATGGGCTGGAAGGCACCTTACACCCCACCCCACCCCAGGCTGGCACGGGCAGGGGCACCCCAGCAGCCTGAGCCCCTGCAGCAGCCCTCTGGGAGGCTGTGGCACCGGGGCAGCACTTGTGACACAGCACAGGGACACTGGTGCCAGCGGTGACAGCAGGAGGCTCTGCAGGGACACAGCAGCTCTGCGCTCCTGCACACGGCACAGCACAAGGGACAGTGGCCAGGGGACAGCAAGAGCTGCACATTCTGCTCTCCAGGGCTTAGTGGGTTAATGGGAGCAGCAGCAGCCCCTCTCTGGCCATGCCAGGGACACACGCAGCAGGGCACTGGGGGGTTAGTCGTTAGCACACACATCATTAGCAATTAGCAACAGTGTCGGCCAATCAGGGGCCTTTTCCTTACCATTGCACTTGCCAATACAGTTCCTACTGAATGCTGGTCAAACATCTGGATTATTTAATAAAACCTTTGATTAGAATATTCTAGGGCTTCTTACTTGAACACCCTAAATAGAATCAGAGGCATTACTAAAGCCCAGTACATGGACAAGGGAGCCAACAGTACAGGGGTCATGATGAGGATTGCTGGCACCTTAATTTTGTCCCCTCATTCCACTCGTTAAGGTTCAAATTAAAACCAGCAGCTGCACATTGTGAATTAGTGAGTCTGTAAGTGCTTTTATGTGCAGGTGTGAATATTAGAGCAGACACTCTTATGTGACAGGTGGTGGTGTTAATTCAGATTATTAATCCTTTAAAAACACACTGATCTGGAGAAGGTGGATGCTTTAGCATGGAGTGTACTGCTGCAGGTGAGCTTGAGAGTCACTTCAACCCCTCCCCAAGGGATTTTAGCTGAGCAGGCTGGATCTTCCAGGTCCCTTCACCAGTTTTGGAGAGAACCCTCCCTCAGCAGCTTTCCTGTGCCAGTTCTCCTGCGTGGCAGCTCCCATCCTGGTCACAGCACACACCTGGGCCACTCTGCTCTGCTTTGCAGCCCCTCTGGCAGGTGCTTGCTGTGGCCAATTCTCATGAAGAGCCCCGGCTGGATGCTAATTACAAGATCAGGATTTCTCCCATTGAACTGGGGTAAAACAAACCCTCCCTGCCTGCCACCATTGAAGCAATTTCCTCAGAACCAGGAAAACCCTAAAGTGAAAATAAATATGGTCAAACTATGGAACACTTGGAAATTTAGATTAAGTCTTTCCTGGAAGTTTGATTCACTAGCACAGCTGCTGCTGTTAACTCCACTGTGAAGTGCTGTCAGGATTCAGAGCCCAGCCCCACTTCTGACTTCAGCTTGGGAGTGAATTATCCTCCTATTTTAAATATAGTGACAAAAGTACAATCAGAAGTCAGTTGTTTTAAGAATCAAAGCTACTCTTCAGTTGCTTAAGCAGCTCATTTACTGCAGGATTCTTCATGGAACCCCAAAATGAGCAGGGACACCTCCCACCATCCCAGGTTCCTGGCCTTGGCCACCTCCAGGGATGCAGGGCAGCCCCCAGGCCACCTCCTTCTCCAATTCACAGAAACCCCAAACCTGAGTGATTTCCAGCCTGACTTCCAGCCTGCTTTCAGTGTCCTGTGCTGCTCTCCTCAGCAGGCAGCCCGAGTCCCCAGCTGTGGCAGGGCTCAGGAGCAGCAGCAGCAGCCAGGGCCCCCAGCCCAGCAGGGACACGAGTGGGGTGTGCAGGGGGGACTGAGCAGGCAGAGCCAGCAGGGAGCTGGCAGCCAGCGTGCCATGCTGCAGCTGCTCTTCTGCCAGGGTTTAGGCACATCAGCCTGGGTTTTGCCAGAAAAACTCCAAGTGGTTAAAGATAACTGCAAAGCTAAAGGGAGAGCTACACTAAAAGGTAACCACAAACCACCAAATTGTAGGAAAAATCATATTTCCCTGCACTGAAGAGAACAAACCTGCTGGAAAGGGGTCACCCATCACACCTGACTTGGGGACTAACTCTGGGGGCCTGGTGTGAAGTGTAATTCTCTCCAGGGACTTAAGGAATAACTGAAGGCTCACAGTCCCATTACAGCTGAGCAGCAGAGCCTCAAACCCTCCTGCTGGCAGAATGCTGTGGAGGGACGAGGTACAGAGCTGGCAGAGCTCAGTTCCTGCATGGGGATGAGCACACAGGGCTGGTACAGCTCAGTCCCTGCATGGGGATGAGGATAAAGGACTGGTAGAGCACAGTTCCTACAAGGGGGTGAGGACACAGGGCTGGCAGAGCTCAGTTCTATGGAGGGATGAGCACACAGGGCTGGTACAGCTCAGTCCCTATGTGGGGATGAGGACACAGGGCTGGCAGAGCTCAGTCCCTATGTGGGGATGAGGATACAGGGCTGGTACAGCTCAGTCCCTATG